CTACCGCATAGTGTGAAAAAAGACTCGGCCGCAGGCCGCGCGCGGTACTGCCAGTCTCTGGAGGCCGCCGGCAGAAGAGAGCGCATTTCACCGCTTTCTGCAACACAGCCCAACCTATTTTATGGGATGAGCGAATGGTCGTGTGGTGTGGCCGGTAATTTTTGCCCTTTCCATCAACTGTCAGCCTTTTGAATGATGGCAGCACGCACTGCCGTTGTGTTGAATTTCACAATTTTGTGCCGCTCGAAAACTGACTCTGGGCTTTGTGGAGGGTATACATTTTCTATCAAACGCACAGCCTATTTTGCATACGTTAGTAACCTTTTTAGCTGAGAAGCATAATTAACACCCCAAATCAAGGAGGAATTCAAATCAGGAGGAACAAAAGTGTTATTGAGCAGGTGTGACGTATTAAGTATTAAGCATGCTATTGGGCAAATATCCTTCCCAATACCTTATTGTTTGTTTGTGTAATGGGACATTTGTGAGACGATGAGGTGCTGTCAAACTAGACGTGCAAAATTATCACCCTAGCACTCAAATGTAGCTCATCAGCTTGCCCAGAGATGGTACTGGCGGTGCTGACTGAGCCAAATGATATATGCTTGTGTTCTGACCCTTTCTCGTGTTGTTGTTGCATTATTTATTTACGTGAGTTTAAGAAGTTTACTTTCTTTCACATATTCCCCTATGACGCTATTCTTAAGTTACCTTATTACTAGCCTTATTTCCGCAACAACGAGCAGCTATATCCACCTTGTTATATTATGTGGGTTAAAACGACATTCGTGGTTAAGACTTGCACGGCTTGATTGAATGCCAATTGACGTCCTCCATATTTCGAAATGGCATTCAACGTCAGATTTTAACGACTCGACAGTAATGTTCTTTTTGGCATTGAGCGCCACATGGCCTTCGAAGTGGCACAATTTAAGAGACATTGCTACGGCGTCATGCATGCCAAAATGGCCTAGAACTAGCCTGCACAAAATAGCCTACATACTTTCGCGGGTGTGTAGCTCACACCCTTGAGGGCTTAATGTCTTGAAAAGGGCATGACTGTGAACTGCATCAAATAATAGTCAAAATGGCTATTACACTGCAAAACCCAATAGAAATAGGAAGCCATCCGTTCAACGTGTTCAAGGGTACAAGACATGGGATGAGAGTTTGGGAGACGGTTGGTTCATACACACGACCGAGTAGATTTTTTTTTTCTGAACAGAACTCGCTTTCGGCATCGGGTTATACCAGCCAACACGTAAACAATTAGTCTTGAACCTAGTTGGAGTTATCCGAATTTGGTCGAAATTGTAATGAGGGGGCGGGGCTGGAAACTAACGTGCAGTGACATAAGCTCCCTAGTCAAATTACAGATGAATATCTTTGACGAGCCTCCCAGTGATTATACCCACTGAGATACCCTTTACCATACCCTTTGAGAGAATTTTGTCATAGAGGAAACAGTGAGGGACGATTTGATGTTCAAATGGCATGCAGGCTCGAAAGGACTCCCCGAGGTTCCAAGCTGCAACGAGGCAGATCAAAAGCAAAAAATAGGTAGATGGGAAGTAGTATCAGCAGTTTTCAACCTTTGTGAAATGCGTATTCATGGCTTGCTCAAATGAGTTGAGCCAAGATATGTATCTCGATGAGTAGCATGAGCATCAGCACAACAAAAGTTGTTTGATGGACAGAACCAGTTGGGGCAGCTGCTAATTTATAAACAACGAACAAAGAAAGCCAAGCAAGTTCAACTATTCCAACAGATGCTGATGCAAAAATGCAAAAACTTCCCTGTAACTCAACCTCGTTCATGCTAGTAGACGATAGCTACCTTTCTGGTCTGGTTGAGAAAAGTACACTAATGGCTTGTAAAGTACACCATATTAGGTTTGCAGAGCACATTATTGGCACAAAATTTTATGCGATCGAGTCGCTGCCGTTATGCACCTTTTCCCAACGGATTTGTCATTATCTTCATCTACGGATATTTCATGCAGTGCCGGTTGCTCCTCAGCATTACGACCGGCATCCAGCGGCCCGTCGCACATTTGAGTTTCGGCGCCAGTGACGTCACGCTAACGGTGAAGCAATGATTAGGTAGCGTTCGGCCGAGGGAAAATGATTCAACGAATAGCTATCTCTACGACAGTCATGCACGAACATTCTCCATTTACATTCGGCAGGCCCCCGGGAATTATCCCTCCGGTTCCTCTTCCAGTGAGCTACGCACAGCTTACGGTCATAGCCATGCATAGTGAAAAAGATTCTCCGTCCCGACCATGCCCTAAAAAATTTCCGATTATCTTTCGGTACGGAAAATTATCTCTGGGATAATACTCCGTCTTAGCAGTGCCGAACGCCATTCAGGAAAACTTTCAAACATTTCGGATAATTTTCCGAGATTTTTTTTCCGGCCTTACGCGTCCAAGTGAGGATGACGCCGGTACGAGTTCCCTTCTCTGATATGGCCTCGGTATACGCACGTACCCGACACTGTTTTTTCTCAAATTTGCATCGGCAGTCCCACCCCAAACATGGCATGTGCCAGTGTGGGTGAGAAATGATCAATTGCAAATACTCCTTAAAACCTCTAAGTTAGACAATCTACAAACCTACCCCCACCATGGTGTTCATCTATTTCGATGAAATGCTACTGAAACTTACCTATTCTTTCACAATTCACCGAGTGCTGTGTGAGTCATGTGTGTTTGAGTGTGAGTCATGCAGTACTGTGCAGTTGCACAATTGTTAAGGTGTGAATTCTGCCATGCAAAGGCAAAAAGGCTTGAGTGCCCTGTTATCTAATGGCTCTTGGGCCTGTTTGTCTTCATATGGCAGAATTATAATAGACCTAGGTGAAATATACAGCTGATCCATGAGATCATTGATTTATGGAATGGGATTGGGATGATATGGCATTGATCTATGGGAACAGTAATTTGCATATGTCAACAAAGTGTTGGGCTACAGTCGGGTGAAATTTCTCACTTTACAAGAGGTCATTCCATGTAGATCACTTCCTTTAACCAAAACACTATGTCAAAGCATAAATTGTGTCACCTTGACCTACAACAATTGTTGGTACCATCCTGTACTGTGCCTGTGGTGTACAAAGTCACATTACACATATGCTCATATGATACTGTACTCACTCCTATAATATTGGAATAAAATATCATGAACAATGATGCATGTGCAAAAAAGCTACACCTTTCAAAACATTTGTGATGTCACTGGGAAAAGGAACAAATACATCACATGAAGAAAAATGGAACTTTGAATGGATCCTCACCAAAATGTACAAACCACTTCATCCTTGCAACTTTTTCAATGCACAAAAGGCTTAGGTAACTTGAATTGTCTTCAAAATATGTAAACACTATGGAAATGCTGAACATTTCCAATTGTCCAGACCCTGCACCACATCACACTGTACAAAAACACAAATGATTGCATTCTTCATCTGTAAGGGTGTGTGTAATCAGAGCTTTACAAGGCACTCAGCTGCTTACGGTTTGTGGCACCACCCGCCTCTCACCCTAACAAGATGGGCGGGTACCGCGGGGAATTGAACCCACCACCCCTAGTTTACCAACTCTAGACCACAGCATACGCATGCGTCACAACGGCCGCAATGCCATAAACCGCAATCACAAAAGAGAATCAGGCCATTAGAAGGTACTTTCTGTCTTTTAATGGATAAATCAAGCAATTTCATGGCATTAACACCACATTACACCTTTCAAATGATCCACGCTTCCCCCTTACCACAAGCCGTGCTCCACACCCCACAATCGTAACCGCGCCATTTGCGAACCGACGCAAGGCGAGCGTAAAGCTGTATGAGATTGATAAAACCATGCAGTGAGTCTCACCTCATCTTTGCTTAGCCTCGCTGTGACGTCACCGGTGCTAAGAATTGTCGTTTAAGCTGAACAGAACAGTTCAGTTTCAAGTGCAGCAGAACATTTGACAGTTAAGTGAGAACTTGATGGCGCTTTCATACGGCTTTTGTGTGTCATATTTTGAGGTTCACTTTCGCCATTCTCCAAGATTGGTAGCGTGCGCGTAGCCGATGCATGTCACTTCCCAACATTTTCAGAGGGCGTGGAAGTTCTGCGCATTGTCACCCTCTGTTTTGGAGAGTGCACAAGCCCAGTGCATAATCACTTTCTGTTTGGGATGGTGTATACGCTCATCTTAAAAATAAGAATCTTGAAATAAAATGGTTAAAATTCGCTACTTTTGTGGGGGACACCAGCTTCCAGGTAATTTGTAATCAAGTATTTCAATTGCTTTGACAATATATTAGATATGCCTCTAATCCATTACCAGCAACCACGCATGCGGAACCTCCGATAATAGAGACGTACCCTTCATGATGTCATATAGATACGTGCGCGGGGCCTGCGCAGTAGAGTAGGAGCCACCTGGCATTTATTTCCTTGACAAGCGCGCGCCAAAACCAAGGTTTCTGCGGATGTCAAACCACTGCTGGCCGAAGCAGCGTGTTGCGGATCGTGTCGGGTGGTGGTTGGCGGGGTTGCCACGGAGGGAGGTCACGGTAGGTATTGTTAGGCATGGAAAGTGATCTTGTGTAGATTAGGTGTTGGGATTGTTCCCTGCTTGATAAGCTGTTAAAGTTTGCTGTATTTTTCAGACTATTGTATGCCAATAAGTATGTTACGGCATCTGAGACAAAGCCACGTTGTGGTCGTTAAGTCATAGATAGCGGGGTAAGAAAGTTTGTTTTTCTTGGTTTGTTGAGAATGTCTGAAATGTAATAGTGTACAGTTAATCACATGTGTTCCCAATATAGTGTATAATGTTACCAGAGTGGCCGGAGTTGACATCCGTTACTATCTCTAAGACTTTATGGATTAAATGACCTGCTTTGGGATAGAAAGCGTCATATTTGATCATAAAACAGGGGCATATTTTCCATCAGTTATAATATTGCCTCCAAAATCCAATGAAAACATTACAAGCAGCATGCAGGTTTACGACTTATGGCATGGTTCTAACAAATCAAAGCCATTCCCGTGGCTGATGTCTTATTGTTTTATTTGATCTTTTTCTTTTAAAAGGTGTATGTTTTGCAAACTGATCGGCTTTTTTTTACTTGGGTACCTGTATTGCCGACGGTGGGGAGAGAGCTACGCTGGCTGCAGGGTTCCTGTACTGCCACGATGGAGAAATGCTGTTAGGTATCAGCCGACGTAGTGACGTCACTGAAAATGGGTTTGCATCGATCGGGATTCTTTTGGGCCGACTGAAGGCTACAAGGCATTTGCTAGCGATATGATGTCACTGGTATTCGACTGGATATGTGACGTCACTTGTTGTGAGGCTTTAGGGCTCTTTTGGTTGCAATGAATGCCGTAAAGCATCACCTGACGATATGTCGTCGCTGGTATTCAATGAAACATCAGGCGCAACGGGCCTTATTCCATCTTTACCTTTCGTACCTGTCTGCTGCAAGCATTTGCGTGCCGAATAAAAGCTTGACCGAATCACCTGAATGTGTGACGTCACCAATCATCACTTGATACGAGTGCACTTAGGCCCCACGGCCGCGGTGTATCATGTTCCGTGAAATATCACTGGGTATCGTGACGTCAGTGATATTCGACTAAATATTGGTCGCAACACGTCAAGGTCCATTTTTAGCTTCGTACCTGTCTACTGCAAGCATTGGCGTGATGAATACCAAATCACGTGAGTGTGTGACGTCACTGGTCATGCATTTTTATGGATCTTTGGGGGCCAACTGAGGGCCGTAAAGCATAACCTAATGATGTGACGTCACTGGCATTCAACTGTGTGTGATGTCACTTGTGATCAAATTTTACGGCCTCTTTTGGGCCGACGAAAGGTCATACGACATTAACTGAAGATGTGCCGTCACTGGTATCCGAATACAATTCAGGCGGCAATGGCCATGCTCCATCTTTACCTTTGGTACCTGTCCATTGCAAGTATTTGAATGCTGAAGGAAGGGTCTGCCGAATTACCTGAATGTGTAACGTCACTAACCATTAATTTGTATAGACTGTTTTGAACCCACTATAAGCCATACCACATCAGCTGACCATATGACGTCACCGGTTTTCGTCTAGGTGTCATGCGCAACAGGCCATGCTCTATCTTTGCCTTTCGTACCTGTTTACTGCAAGCATTCGCGTCTTATATCAAGGTGATGCTGAACCATCTGAGTGCGTGACGTCACTGGTCATGAGTTTATACAGGTTCGCTTGGGCAGCCCAATGCAACAAAGCATCATATCCTGTAAAGCATCGCGGGATGATATGACGTCACTGGTATTCGACTCAACATCAGGCGCAACAGGCCATGTTCCATCTTTACCTTTCGTACCTGTCTACTGCAAGCATTCGCGTGTTACATCACGTCATTGGTTAAGAGTTCTTACGGGCTCTTTTCAACCCCCTATATGGTATAATGCTTCAGTTGACGATATGATGTCACTGGTGTTCGACTTAACATCAGGCACAACATGTCATGTTCCATCTTTGCCTTTCGCACCTGTTAAAGTAGTGGCGAGCCTAATGATGGCTCTGCCGAATCACCTGAGTGCGTCATCATGAGTTTTTACAGGCTATTGTTGGCCGAGTGAAAGCCATTAGGCATCATCTAACGATATGTCGTCACTGGTAATCCACTAAGTGTGTGACGCCATTGGTCATGAGTTTTCCCGCGCCTTTTTGGGCCGACTTAAGGCCATTAGGCATCAGGTAACGATATGACGTCACTGGTATTCAATTAAGCATCAGATACAATATGTCATGTTTCATCTTTACCTTCCGCACCTATCTACTGCAAGTATTCGCGCGCCACATAAAGGCTCTGCCCAATCACCTGAGCGTGTGGTGTGACTGGTTATGAGTTTACGCGGGTTTACTCGGGCTGACTGAAGGACATCAAGCATCATCTGGCGATGTGACGTCACTGGTATTCAACTTAACACCAGGCGCGACAGGCCATGTTCGTCTTTACCTTTCGTACCTGTCTATTGTAAGCATTGACATGCTTAAGGAAAGCTCTGTGAAATCTCCTGAGTGTGTAATGTCACTGGTCATGAGTTCTTTACGGGCTGCTTCTTTGTACCTATAGGGTACAAGACATCAGTTGACGATATGACATCACTGGTATTTGACTTAATCTCAGGCGCAACAGGCCATGTTCCATCTTTGCCTTTCGCACCTCTATACTGCAAGTATTCGCGCGCTACATAAAGGCTCTGCCGAATCACCTGAGCATGTGGTGTAACTGGTCATGAGTTTACGCGGGCTTACTCGGGATGACTGAAGGACATCAAGCATCACCTGACCATATGACGTCACTGATATTCGGGCTGTGGCCCAGACTTATGGCCGCTAGGCGGCGCCCTTGATTATTATTTAGCCATCAGGGCATTCCGGACCGTAGCTGCTCAGGGGCGCATCCTGTGATGTCGGGCGGAATAGCTTTGCATATACGTCGGTTTGTGGGCAGGGAAAACCTCTGTTTTGTGTTTACGTTGGCTCAAAATTTTAGTCGTTGAAACAGCCCGTTGCGTTTGAAGTTGTTACTTAATGGTGCGCACAATAAAATTAGTGTGCTTAACTATGGTGCATCTCCCACCTCTGCTGCGGAACTCCGTAGCCGTAGGTGGCCAAGTGACCTCCTACCAACTGATGATCAGTGACGTCACATACTCAGGTGATTCGGCGGAGCCTTCATATAGCACGCGAATATTTGCAGCAGCCAGGTACGAAAGGCAAATATGGAGCATGACCTGTTGCGCCTGATGTTTAGTCGAGCACCAGTAACGTCATGTCATCAGCTGATGCATTATAACCTAAAATGGGTTCAAAGGAGCCCGTAAAAAACTCGTGACCAGTGACGTCACACACTCAGGAGATTCGACGGAGCCTTCATTCAGCACGTCAGTGCCTTTAATAAACAAGTACAAAAGGTAAAGAAAGTACGTGGCATGTTGGACCTGATGTTAAGTCGAATAACAGTGACGACATATCATCCTGTGATGCTTCACGGGAGGTGTTGCTTTGTGACCTTGGGCGGCCCAAGTGAATCCGTATGAACTCATGACCAGCGACGTCACCCACTCAGATGATTCGTCTGGAGTTTAGTTGATTACCAGTGACGTCATATCGTCAGCTGATGCTTGATGTCCGTCAGTCAGCCCGAGTAAACCTGCACAAACTCATGGCCAGTTACACCACACGCTCAGGCGAATCGACAGAGCCTTTTTGTAGCGCACGAATACTTGCAGTAGGCAGGTGCGAAAGATAAAGATGAAACATGGCTTATTGCAACTGGTGTTAATTCGAATACAAGTGACGCCATAACGTTATCTGATGCCTAATGACCTGAACTCGGCCAAAAAAGGCCCGTAAAAGCTCATGACCAGTGACGTCACACACTCAGTGGATTACCAGTGACGTCATTTCGTTAGCTGATGCCTTATGGCTTTCGCTCAGCCAAAAATAGTTGGTAAAAATTCATGACCAGTGACGTCGAACACTCAGGTGACTCGGCAGAGCCATCATTTAACGCACCAATACTTTACAGGTACGAAAGGCAAAGATGGAACATGACCTGTTACGCCTCATGTTAAGTCGAACACCATTGACATCATGTCGTCAACTGATGCATGTTTCCCTATAGAGGGTTCCAAGGAGCCAGAAAAAACTCATGACCAGTAACGTTACACACCCAGGAGACTCGACAGAGCCTTCATTCAGCACGTCAATACTTGTAATAGGCGGGTACGAAAGGTAAAGATAGAACATGGCCTGTCGCGCCTGATGTTAAGTCGGACACCAGTGACGTCATATCATCAGCTGATGCATTATACCGTTTGGGGGTACAAAAGGTCCCGTAAAAAGCTCTTGACCAGTGACGTTACTTACTCAGGAGACTCGACAGAGCCTTCATTCAGCACGCCCATACTTCCAAGAGACAGGTACGAAAGGTAAAGATAGAACATGGCCTGTCGCGCCTGGAGTTTAGTCGAATACCAGTGATGTCATATCGTCAGCTGATGCTTGATGTCCTTCATTCAGCCAGAGTAAACCTGCGTTAACTCATAACTAGTTACACCACACGCTCAGGTAATTCGGCAGAGCCCCTGTGTCGCGCGAATACTTGCAGTAGATAGGTGCGAAAGGTACAGACGAAACATGGTTTAGATGGAGCATGGCCTGTTGCGCATGATGTCTAGTCGAAACCCAGTGACATCATATCGTCAGCTGATGCCTTATGGCCTATAGTAGGCTCAAAAGAGTGTGCAAATTAATGGCCAGTGACGTACACACTCATGTAATTTGGCAGAGCCTTCCACGGCAATGCTTGCAATGGACAGGTACCAAAGATAAAGGTGGAACATGGTCCGTCGCGCCCGAAGTTCATTCGAATACCAGTGACGTCACATCTTCAGTCATTGCCGTATGACCTTTCGTCGGCCCAAAAGAGGCCGTAAAACCTCATGACCAGCGACACGCACAGTCGAGTGCCAGCGACGTCACATCGTTAGCTGATGCTTTATGGTCTTTAGTTGGCCGCGCAAAAAATCCGCCAATACTTGCAGCAGACATGTACGAAAGGTATAAATGGAGCATGACCTGTTGCCTGATGTTCAGCCAAATACCAGTGACGTCATATCGCCAGCTGATGCCTAACGGCATTTCGTCGGTCCTATAGGGCCCGTGGAAACCCACGGCCATTGACGTCTTACAGTCGTATAGCAGTGACGTCGCTAGCTGACACCTTGTGGTCTTCAGTTGGCCGAAAAGCACCGTTGGAACTCATGGCCAGTGATGTCACACACTCAGGTGGTTCGGCAGCTTTCATCCAGCACGCCAATGCTTGCAGCAGACAAGTACAAAGGTAAAAATGAAGCACGGCCTGTTGCACCCAGTATTTATTCGAATACCAGTGACGTCACGCTATCCGGTGATACTTCGCGGACCACGACACACCGTGGTCGTAGGGCCTAAGTGCACTCGTATGAAGTGATGATTAGGGACGTCACACATTGGGGTAATTCGGTCAAACCCCTATGCGGCACGCAAATGCTTGCAGCAGACAGGTATGAAAAGTAAAGATGGAACGAGGCCGGCCGCGCCTGATGTTCAATCGAATACCAGTGACGACACATGGCCAGCTGATGCATTACGGCATTCAGTTGACCCAAAAGAGCCTTACACACTCACGACCAGTGACGTCACATACCCAGCCGAATACCAGTGACATCATATCACAAGCAAAAGCCTTATGGCCTTCAGTCGGCCCGAAAGAACCCCGACCCCGATCGATGCAAAACCACTTTCAGTGACGTCACAATGTTAGCTGATGCCTCACAGCTTTTGCCCCGCACGACAATACTCGAAACCCTGCAGCTAGCGTAGCTCTTCCCTCCGTCGGCCATACAGGTACCCAAGTAAAAAATTACCAACTGATCATGGACTGGGCATCACAGTGGTTAAATATACCAACTTGGTGTGAAAGATATATGAACATTAGTGTGATAGTTATTTGGCAGGTGTAAGACAGAATCTTTAGTATGATAAAAATATGATGTTTTACAACCTGTTCAACACCAGTATTGCATGCAGGTAAGTTTATGACCTTACTTAACTGATCCTCACCTAATGTACCCCTATGCCTACCCCTACCTCATATCCCCACCCTGACCACTACCCCTATACCCTGCCCCTATACCCATACCCATACCCCTATATCCTACCCCCATACCCCTAAGTCTTTTATGGCTCCCAGTTGGCCCCCATTGGCAATTTAAATGTATACTTCCCTTCAGAATGTAGCTATGCTGAAGTTGCTTTCCTTAGACCACCTAATACCATTGACTGCAAAACAGAAATTGTGACACCTTGCCTTTGAAGCTAAGATGACTTTGATCCTACACCCAGACAGCACTCAAAGTATACAGAATTACCAAGAGGTTGACTGTCATTGATTGACAAGTTGACAAGTTGGTCATGGCTCATACTTTATAGCACCCATGTTAGGTGTAATCCCACAAAATATCCCATGTCCCAGAAGCATGGTTCACTGTACCCTGAGCATTGGTCCATGTTAAAATGGCTGAACAGGATACTTTTCCTGTTTGATGACCTTTACCACAAGACAGAAAGAAAAATGCTGGGTGAAACCCCCAGGGCCATGTAAGGCAAGTGACCCTCACTCTGGCAAGGTCCTGCAGGTGCCCTGGGACTGAAAGGGATGTCATGGACCTGAAAAATTGGTGCTTGTTTTTCATGGCCACATGGAGCATGGAATAAGTACATGCTGATACCAACAGGTGGACCACATCAAGCTTGACATCTCTGCTGGCTTCATGTGTTCTGTGACTGTCATCCTCCCAGCCTGAGTGGGCAGCTCTCACCGTCGCCTCCAGCGCGCGTGCTCCTACAGCGAGTACCGCCTCAGCCGTCGCTATGGGCATCAGTGGCTTGCTGCCATTCCTGAAGCGCTCGACTCGGCCGGCGAGCGTGCGCGAATTCTCGGGCGGTACGGTGGCCGTTGACGCGTACTCGTGGCTGCACAAGGGCGCGTTCGCCTGCGCCGACCGGCTGGCGCAAGGTCAGCCCACCGACGTGTATGTGCGCTACTGCCTCAAGTACATCAATCTGCTGCTGTCCCACGGCGTCAAGCCCATCCTGGTGTTCGATGGCTGCCACTTGCCCAGCAAGCAGAGCACGGAGACCAAGCGGCGCGAGGAGCGGCGCAAGCACCGCGCGCTGGCTGCCGACCACCTGCGCGCCGGCCGGGACCGCGAAGCGCGCGATTGCTTCCAGCGCTGCGTGGACGTGACGCCGGCCATGGCGCTCCAGGTCATCAAGGCCTGCCGCAGCCGTGGCGTTGACTGTGTGGTGAGTGCATCGGGTGATAGAAGTGACGGCGGGGAGAATAAGTGGCCGTGATGTGGTCGCTCGAGCAGCTATGAAATGTGCGGTTAGGTACCAAGTGCTGAGTTTGTGGGATTGCTTTTCTTGATAATTTTCAATCTGTGGCCTTATCGGTGCATTTTTACTGTTTGCATTTATCTGCACAATAACATCAACTCTTAGATGGTGTGTTGAACATTGGTTTTGATAATTGTATCCAACTGGCGAAGCAACTGTCACCCAAACTGTCGGTAACAATATGTAGGCATCAGTTTAGTGCAGTGAGAGGTAGCTTACCATTGCGTGACATTTATTGTGTCGCCAGGTGGCGCCGTACGAGGCGGACGCACAACTGGCCTTCCTGGCGCGTAACGGCATCGCCGACCTGGTCATCACGGAGGACTCGGACCTCGTGCTGTTCGGCTGCCCGCGCATCCTGTTCAAAATGGACGCGGCTGGCAACGGTCGCCTGATCGAGTCCAGCGCGCTGCCGCTGTCGCTGGGCGGCTCGGCCGACAAGTTCTCGCTGGAGCGACTGCGGCTGGTCTGCATCCTGTCCGGCTGCGACTACCTCGCCTCGCTGCCGGGCGTCGGGCTGGGCAAGGCCAGCAAGCTCCTGGTGCGCGCCGCCGGCGCCGCCGATGTGACGGCCATCCTCGACAAGCTGCCGGCCTACCTGAACATGCGCTCGCTGACGGTCAGCGCGCAGTACAAGCGCGACGTACAGCGCGCCGAGGACACGTTCCTGTACCAGCTGGTGTTCGATCCGCTGGCGCGGCGGCTCGTGCCCCTCACGCGGTACCCGGCCGGCCGCTCGGCCGCCGACTACCCGTACGCCGGCGCGTGGATGGACGACGCCGCCGCGCTGCAGATCGCGCTCGGTAACGTCGACGTGGCGACGGGCGCTGTGGTCGACACGTACTGCCCGGATCGGCCGGGGGCGCGGCCGGCGCACGCGCCGCACCGCAGCATCTGGGCGCGCGACTACGTGCCGGCGCGGCGCGTCTGGCCGGCCGGGGCGGCCCCAGTGTCGCGCGCAAGCACCGCGGGCAAGGTATCGCTGCTGTCCGTGTGGGAGGGACTAAAGAGGACGGCGGCGGCGGCGGTCAGGCAGAAGCCACCTCCCGAGGAGCCGCGTCTGACGCAGGCGGACCTGGCGGCACTGTACGCGGCCCCAGCGCCGCCCGCCGAGACGGAGTCGCAGCCGTCTAGCGGGGAGCCAGCCGACGGAGCGGGCTCCAGCGACGGAGACGGGGCCGGCAGCGGCGGCCTGGAGTCGTCCTCGGTCGAACCGGAGTCGGCGCCGTCCCAGTCCAGCGACTCCGGCCGCCTGGTGTCACCGGGCGGCTCCGAGCCGGGCCTAGCTGCGTCGCCGGAAATCGGCCGGCGACCGCACAATCCGTTCCGGGTGCGCGCCAGCCTGCGGCGGCGGCTGAGCGGCGGTGGCGGCGAAGGACTCACCGAGGTTGTCACCAGCAAGTACTTCGCGACGCCGGCCGAGCCGGCGGCGGACCCACTTCGTGCGCCCGTTCAGAGTATGGAGGAGTTCCTGAAGCGGCGCCGCGACTCGTCCGCCTCGCTGGGCGGCTCGCCGAAACGCGCGCGCCGCGAGTGTTTGCCGCTGTCGGGGACGCCGCCCAACCGGTCCGAGGTGCCGGCCGGCGCTCCGTCCGCCCCCGCCGCCACCGGCGCCGCTGGCTGGTACAAGATGAGCTCCGTGTTTGACCCGAAGCATGCGATGACCGTGTGGGACAGCGAGACGCACGGACCGCGGCCGCCGGCGACGCCGCGCTCGCCGAGCAAGGAGAACCGCCCAGCCCGGCCGGCAGCGCCCTCCGCTGCTCGCGCGGCCAAGCGCTTCCTGGGTCCGTCGCCGCCGCCGGCGCTGTTCACGGTGCGGGGCGCGACGAGCACGACCGCCCGGCGCGGAGGGGGAGCCGGGCTCGTCCCCGGGCCGTGTCAGAGGCTGGCGTTGGGGAAGCCCGCTGCCGCCAGGCAGCTCAATCTCAAGCAGATGTTCGCGTTCAAAAAGACTGATTTGCCTAAGTTAAAGAAGTAGTGTTTTAGTTATTGTCATGCCGTAGGCGCTCTGGGACGTGCGCGGTCTGGAGAATCGAGTCCACCGCTGGAGGGCGAGCTGGAGGTGGCATGTTGTGGAGTGCGCCCAGTGTCGGTAACGTATCGATGTCGATGTATCGATGTAACGTGTCGCCAATCTGTGCGGTTACATTCCACCTTGTCCAAGGATGGTGTAATGCCCCGATGTGCTCCTGGTTGGCAGCTTGTTGACGGGACCTGTTTTAAGCGATATTAAATAAGTTCGACAGCGCCCGAACGACTTAAAGACTCGGTGCAGAGAGGACTGCGTTAACAAACGCCGCACGAGACGTGGTGTCTGTGGACGAGCATACCGCACGACTAGCCCCGGGGTCGAGGGAAGGCTCCGTAATACTTCCTGAGCGAGTGTAAGGATCTGTTTGGCATGGCCGCGCTTTGTTCGATATTCCGTGAGCTGTGTTGCGCGGCGGGTTGGTCTGGCGTCAGCCGTGGTCGGCCGCGCTGTCAGACTGGCCGTCAGCGCCAGCCTGACAGCCGTGATATGATGTTCGAGCCTGGGATCTTGCTGAGCGTTACCCTCCTGGCATTACCTAAATCAGGATTCTACGTGCATGCACTACGATAAAAACATAACTGGTGGTGAAACAGCGCTCTTGTGTTGTATGGATACCTCAGGCCAGAAGACCTTCCGGTTTACTGACCGTCTGTGTTGTCATGTGATAGACGTAATTAATCACCAGGAATGCACGCGTTAAAGCGGTATATTCCCTTTGATGAATTCGCGTGATGTTCTTCACTATGTGCGCAACTGGACACGACATACACCCCATCGCCATTCGGGATATCTACATTGACCATCACGTCACCTTCCTGTCAATAATGCGCCGTATCCACCGATGGCCACCGCGCATCATTGCTCCATTGCGTCAATCCCAAAAGACGGTGTTGCTGCTTACGCGAAAAACGAGCTCGGTGAACACCCCAGGCGTGCGGACTTATATTGAAATCAGCTTTATTAAAATCACCACCTTCTAGGGCAGCATCGCCAGGAATAACGCAAGTTGTGCATCAAGCTAGCTACATGACTAAGTTGGTCCGTCATTTCGAGACCTTCGATCTCATCTTGACCTTCCTGACCTTCTTGCCCTTGGTTTTCTTCCTCCTCACGATCGCCTCACTGGGAGCGTTCAGCCCGAGACTCGCACTTCTCTGCGCTTCGCCCGCTTGTGACGTCACTACGCTGGGCGTCGTGGCCTGGCGCGGGGCGACCTCGGGCTGCGGGGGCCGGCCGGCCCTGGCGGCTGTCCTGGCCGCTGTCGGCTGCCAGTACCGTACGGGAGAGTTCGGCAGCGCGCCGTGACCGGACGCCAGCGAGCGCGGCGGCGGCAGGCGAAGCGAGAGACGCTGGGTGCCGGCCGCAAGACGATCCACAGCATCAGGCGGACACCTGGCGACAGAGGTGCGCTAGGACCAGGGACGCTGGGCGGACACCTGGCGGCAGTGAGGTGCACTGAGTCAAGGCAGTCAGGCTGACACCTGGCGGCAGTGAGGTACGCTGGGAGCAAGGCCGCCAGTCGGGCACCGGGCGGCAGTGAGGTACGCTGAGTCAAGGCAGTCAGGCGGACACCTGGCGGCAGTGAGGTACGCTGAGTCAAGGCAGTCAGGCGGACACCTGGCGGCAGTGAGGTACGCTGAGTCAAGGCAGTCAGGCGGACACTCAGCGGCAGTGAGGTACGCTGAGAGCAAGGTTGCCAGGGGGACACTCAGCGGCAGCGAAGTGCGCTGAGAGCATGGCCGCCAGGCGGAACGCTGCGACGCCGCCCACGAAGGAACGAAAGTTTGTAAGGATGGAATAGATACCGAAGGCCTAGGGTGGAACATCATGCTGGTCTTGCATAAATTTCATCGGGAAAGCATGACGCCAACCATTATTCCACAGAAATTAACCATTTAGGTATCGGCGCAGTCACTGAAGTGCGGCTGGAGGCTCCAAGTGACCAGCATGTGTATCTAACAGGATTTGCGAATATTACTGACTCCGCCCCTTCTGTGAGTGGAGTCAGTGCAACGACCACCGAGCATTTCTGGGAACAGCAGGATCCCAGCCATAGAAGTCATTCACCGACTCTAAGCTATGGGAGCGGGGCATGTGGTGGGGACGCCAGCCTACTGACCGCTCCGGGTTGTCTGGCTCCAGGCTATGGGAGTGGGACCTAGTAGGTGGTGGGGACACCAGCTTACTGACCGACCCGGGTTGTCCGGCTCCAGGCTGTGGGAGCGGGGCCGGGCAGGTGTTGGGGACGCCAGCCTACTGACCGCTCTGGGCTGTCCGGCTCCAGGCTGTGGGAGTGGGGCCGGGCAGGTGGTGGGGACGCCAGCCCACTGACCGCTCTGGGTTGTCCGGCTCCAGGCTACGGGAGCGGGGCCGGGCACGTGTTGGGGACACCAGCCCACTGACCGCTCTGGGTTGTCCGGCTCCAGGCTGTGGAAGCGGGGCCGGGCACGTGTTGGGGACACCAGCCCACTGACCGCTCTGGGTTGTCCGGCTCCAGGCTGTGGGAGCGGGGCCGGGCAGGTGGTGGGGACGCCAGCCCACTGACCGCTCTGGGTTGTCCGGCTCCAGGCTACGGGAGCGGGGCCGGGCAGGTGGTGGGGACGCCAGCCCACTGACCGCTCTGGGTTGTCCGGCTCCAGGCTACGGGAGCGGGGCCGGGCACGTGTTGGGGACACCAGCCCACTGACCGCTCTGGGTTGTCCGGCTCCAGGCTGTGGAAGCGGGGCCGGGCACGTGTTGGGGACACCAGCCCACTGACCGCTCTGGGTTGTCCGGCTCCAGGCTGTGGGAGCGGGGCCGGGCAGGTGGTGGGGACGCCAGCCCACTGACCGCTCTGGGTTGTCCGGCTCCAGGCTACGGGAGCGGGGCCGGGCAGGTGGTGGGGACGCCAGCCCACTGACCGCTCTGGGTTGTCCGGCTCCAGGCTACGGGAGCGGGGCCGGGCACGTGTTGGGGACACCAGCCCACTGACCGCTCTGGGTTGTCCGGCTCCAGGCTGTGGGAGCGGGGCCGGGCAGGTGGTGGGGACACCAGCCCACTGACCGCTCTGGGTTGTCCGGCTCCAGGCTGTGGGAGCGGGGCCGGGCACGTGTTGGGGACACCAGCCCACTGACCGCTCTGGGTTGTCCGGCTCCAGGCTGTGGGAGCGGGGCCGGGCACGTGTTGGGGACACCAGCCCACTGACCGCTCTGGGTTGTCCGGCTCCAGGCTGTGGGAGCGGGGCCGGGCCAGCGGGGGCACCGTCAGCCGGGGCCCGGCCGGGCACGTCTGCACCGCGCGCACGCCCGTGAAGAAGCGCGCTGAGCCAGGCCGGCTGCAGTGGCTCGGAGAGCGTCCTGGAGAGCGGGGCAGGCCCGCCGACAGCTCACAGGAAGCCGCAGTCTTCCCCGCTGTCGTCTCCTGTCCAGCCTGTCGAAAAGAAATATCACCCTTTGGGCTCATCCTTGAGCAATGCACATATTTTTGTGGGTTACACCAAATGTTCAAATACTCTTTACATGCTCCAGAAAATGCATGGAAAGAGATGTTGAGGACAATAGGTTCAGTGTGACATAACTCCCGAAAGGGGCGTTGTATAATGAATCCATGTAATCGTAAAGGAACGCTGATCTCATGCAAAAGGCAGGATTTTTGTGGGCGACGTCACCCCCGGGTAATATTGTTCAAGCAAGTGCCGTTGCTCCTATCGTACCTGCGGGGAGCGGATTGGAGAAGGCTGCCTGCTGCTCTCGCTGGGAGATCGCAGTGTGATCCTGGTCAGCGTCTGAGGTGTCTTGTCTCGCTTCTTCCACGACATCAGAGACTGCAACTTCTTGTTCTGCCACTTCTTTCCGGCCTTCTTGGTCTTAGACACGGGCCCTTCTTCGTCGGAATCGTCAGCACTGGGGAGAACGGTGGTTGCTGCCTTTACGAGCATACAATAACCTGTTCCATAAGCGCGTCCCTATGATAGCCTATGTGCCGTACGGGCCTCTGGACGCTGCTCTCCAGTTTTTCGCCGACAGCTCCCCCCCCCCCCCCGCCCCCTCCGTCCCTTCCAAAGGAAAGGCACAGCACGCTGAAATTTGGCTTCATTAGTCATGCTCATCTTTACGCACCTGTTACAATGTTCACTTGATGTGTCAGTAGAGTGTTGAACGAAGCCATACTTCTCTGGGACAGTTTGATGGACAATAATCCAGTTGCGTTCATAATAACGGCTAATTTCATTGACCTCAGGCCAGTTATGGAGGTCAAAGCGAGGTCGAAACTCAATTGCTTGTTCACTGGATAACTTGCTGTACGGGGTAGTTTTAATGCTCATTTCCAATTTCTTGATCACATGAGCATCAAAACACATTTTGTCGGGGTTTCTCGATGATCAGAGGTCACTGACCTCAAATGGCCCCGATCAATTATTTTAAACCCATTTGACCTAGTTCTTTACAGTATCAGTTTTTAAAGATGCCAGCACCAGTAATTCTTATTTTACCCTGCAGGAATGATTTTGCGGTTTCGAGCAATCTAACGTTTGACCTGGAATGGCTTCACGTCGATATTTGGACCAGCTTAAAATGGTGCTTGGGTGTCTTTCAAGTGTTCCGTCAACTCATAACGACACTCGCAATTCCAAACAGGCCGCAGCAATGTGTTTTAAGCTTGGCGAAAACGCGGATGTTAGACCTGAGCATTCCAAGGGCGTGCCGTAGACAGCTAGCAAATCCAGCGGCCTTCAAATCAACCGGAAGTCATATTTGCGGTGCTTTTGATCGGTTTTGGCGGAACCTCTCCGCCATCTCTTTTTGTGTCATAAATTTGAGCTGACTGGAGGAGTGCCGCCCCCCCCCCCCCCCCCCCACCCCCAACCCCGGTCCAGCGAAGGTGGCGCTGGAGACCGGCTCGTCGTAGGATCGATGAATGCAATGCGAAGCTTTGAGGATGTACCGGTTAGGTGACGTTAAGTGACGTAACAGAAATGCCCTTTTGGAATAGTGTTGCTATTCCAGATGCTTATTTCGGCAACTGCCAATTCAGGTCGTGCTACGAATGAATGTGTAATGGAAATGTCTGCAGATTTTTCGTCACCTACTGGACTTGTGTTAGCTACCGACACTCTTCAAAACCTCAGAATGTGGCTGTCAACACGCTAGTTGTAAAGGAAGCGCCGCACACCATCAACATCTGATGACTAGGGAAGTCTCCGCCGCAGATCTCCAGACGAAGATGCAGCACCACAGTCATACCTGGAGGACTCGGTGCCTTCGGTCGGCTCGGCGTAGCCGTACTGCTCCTTCAGGGTAGTCATCGCCCTCTCGCGCACGCGCTCCTACATCACCTGGGGCCAGAGCAGCGTGACTTCACGTACCATTAAACACCGGGTCGGCGTCTGTTGTACAGCGGTGAGACGGCTGCGTGCCAGCTCGGAAGCAGGTTGTTAAATGACGTCGCAGCGCAGCAAACAGTGTGCCAGGGGGTCGCGACCGCCCAACCCCCGCAGCTCTCAGGCAGGCGGCGGCACATCAGGTGCCGACTCTCACAGGATCAAATCGATTAATTAATCTGCAGGCAGTGCCGCCCATCAGCAGTCCAGGCACGCGCCAACGAGTTTGACGATAGCCACAGCGCATTGAGATGTCAGATGCGTATGGCAAAATATTGCAGCAACAGGTAAAGAAGGGTAACTGGTCCCTAGCATCTGTCCGCGTAGCTGATGAATGGGTGGGACGCCTTTTGCGGGTTCAAAGCATACTCACATATTTTACGAATCCATGAGAGCGTGATAAAATAGAACGAGACGTCAAGTCAGTGATATAATTGTTAGTTAGGTGACTTAAAAGTAGGTTTGCAAAGCATGACACAGTAAAAAGTACAAGAAATTGTTATGAGCATAAGACAAAAGGGGGACGATCGCTGCACCCACCCTCACGTGACAGTGAAAAGTTTAAATGGTTAAAATAAAAAATGCGTGTAAGTGCAAAATAACAGTCGTGGCTAAATAACGTCGACTACGTTCTGTCCTAAACGCTCCCATTATTTGATTTCTGTCAACGTGCTGATTGGCTTCCCTCACCGACCCTGAAGCGTTACGTCACAATACATTTGCCTCATACACCATGGCTGAGTCTCACACGTCTCTCACACGTATCTCACACGTCTCTCACACGTCTCCCCATGTCCGCGACCCTTCACGTGATCACGGAGCCCCTCGCCCCCCGTTTTGGTTCACGTGATTACCAGCGCCACCTGTCCACGCCAGCCGGACCTTGAGCGGAGACGTGTCGACAAACTCCAGCAGCGTCTCGCAGAAGCGCTGGCCAATGAGCTCGTAGTCGTGCGCGCGGTAGTGGGTGTTGGCACGCGACCGCTGGCTCGAGCCGGCCGAGCTGGCCTCCAGCGTGTAGGCGTTGGTAATGCCCATAGCCCACATCACGACGCGGCCGGTGCCCTCCTTCGACTTCTGCACAGTGAACTGGCAGCTGTCGAAGTCGAACTGACGGCATGTAAGTCGGTTAGACCAGGCGGCGAAGCCCACGAAGTGGAACGGGTCAATAAGTGAATGCTTCGAAGCGTGGAATTCACGTATAGCTTATCAGTACCTCCTTAAGAATACGAACTGTCGGTGCAGGTATGAACAACGGCAAAATGAGAAACCGCTTGACTTTTCCCCCCAGAACACCACATATGCTGTTGTCCAGAGATGCGTAGCAGCGCGGCCTTAAGCTACGTCAGGTTGAAGCTGACCAGGTTGCGTGCCATCTTGTCCAGGAGGAAGGGGAAGACTTTCTCGGTAAGGTAGCGGGTGGAGTTACGGCGGTTCTCGCAGCCGTAGATGAAGGCGTTCTGACGCCTCGAGTGGCCATGAAAGTCGCAATAGACGGTCACACCTGTCTCCTCCATCAGTCTGGCGGCGCGGCAACTTCATCAGCCCCACTGTCAGTATGCGTTACGGGCATGACGTCAAGCAGACATTCTCAACCGGACATACGGCAGACACAAGGCTCACGGCGACTTCGCGGTCTCACTCTGGGTGCAAGGGTCCAGCTGCGAGGGTGTCACACCAGCACAATGTCACGTGAGCACAACGGCCAGATAACATGGACACACCATTGACCTGATGGCCCGCGGGTATAACCAATGTGATGGATAGGGGACGGGGAGCGGAAAGCAGCTCTTAGCATATCTAGAGTCACTCGAGACCAAAGTGGGAGACGCGGGGCGTTAGATACAGGTGCAGTCCTAACTGGAGTAGTATGTGAATTACAAGAAGCTATGGGACGCAGCTGCGAAAGAAAAATATGCGATCACCACCGCACTGTATCCTTTGCGCTTCAGCACATTCGAGTTACACCGTTCGGCCCGCGCTCCCGGTGACGCTGGGTGGTGCTGCTGACCTCCTGACGAGCAGCTTGAGGTGCCAGACGGCCGGGTACAGGTGGCGGTGGGTGTGCTTGAACTGGCGGTTCACGTCACGCCCCGCCAGCGAGCAGCGCGAGTTGCCGACGATCACGCCATCCGGGTTCAGCATCGGTACGATCTTGAACACGAAACGCTGCCGCAGCAACTGGAACGGGGTGGCGGGAACGACGTGCCGATTATATGGGGCTCGGCTGCTGGGAGTTGGTGAGGTACACCCCGGACGCAAGTTTAAATACAAAAGGTGAGGAGTATGCACTATCAGCTGAATATTCTCTTGAGAACCTTATTTATAAATGCGGTCTGATCGGTAATCCAGCGAATACACCTGGTTCGCACACTGACGACGGAACTGCACCACATGATCATGTCATTACCGCTCAGCAAGACAGATAGCAGGACGTGTAGAAGCGCAGGCAAATCCAATGTGTGATTATTTTGCTTTGTTGGTCAGCTGCTGCGAAACCGTGTGCCGTGTTTTCCGAACTTAAATGGCAGAGCGTTTCTATGCTGTTTTCCGATTGTTGGCCTTCGCGTTACTTAGGGCATCAGACCACGTTACAATAATACTGGGACCTGTTTTGCGCGTTCTGGTTTTTGCGAAAACCGCTGGATTGATCCAACCCAGTCCAATTGACAGTCGACGACCCTGCATTTTCAGGGCACCCGCATTGTAGGCGTTAGGCTCAGCATCTCGATCAAAGCCTGCAACACGTTTTAAAGACATAAAAACATCCAGTGCGCGCCCTTTCCTTGCATCGCCTGTACCGCTACCCCACCGTGCGGCGCCTGTACCGGTACCCTGCCGTGCGGCGCCTGTGCCGGTACCCCGCCTTGCAGCGTCTGTGCCGGTACCTCGCCCTGCGGCGCCTGTGCCGCTACCCCGCCCTGCGACGCCTGTGCTGTTACCCGCGAGCGCAGTGCCGGTACCACCCCGCCTCGCCCTGTGCTGTTACCCGCCTACGGCGGCAGTGACGGTACCCCGCCATGCGGCGCCCGTGCTGTTCACCCCCGCCACGGCGGCATGCCGGTACCCGCTGCGCCTTGCCGGCTACCCCGCCCTGCGACGCCTGTGCTGTTACCCCGCCGTACGGCGGCAGTGCCGGTACCCCGCCATGCGGCGCCTGTGCTGTTACCCCGCCATACGCGGGCGTGTGCCGTACCCCCCTGCGCCCCTATGCTGTTACCCTGCGTGCCCCGTGCGGCGCGCTGTACCCCGCCGCCGGCAGTTGAATGCGGCGCCTATGCTGTTACCCCCCATACGCCAGCCGCGTGCAGGCCCCTGCGGCGCCTGTGCTTGTACCCCGCCGTAGGCGCAGTGCCGGTACCCAGCGCGCCTGGCTGTTACCCCGACCAGCCAGGCGCCTGTGCTGTTACCCCGCCATACGGCGGCAGTGCCGGTACCCCGCCATGCGGCGCCTGTGCTGTTACCCCGCCATACGGCGCCTGTGCCGGTACCCCGCCGTGCGGTGCACTGACCTCAGCAGTCCGGCTTTGCGATGTGAGGAAGTTGAGGACGCCGCGCATCATCCACGAGGCCTGTGTCTCGCCTGGGTGGACGCGAGCCGTCAGGACCACCGCCCGCCGGCTCTGGAACAGCGTGGCTTCACTTCAGCTGGACAGACGCCCTCGACAGCGGCCCGCCCACACTCGGCGTGATCGTAAGAGCGGGCCATCCGGCCGACCGGCCCTCCGTACCTGTATTCCATCTTAAGTACAAAGTTCAAACCGGGGTCAAAACTAGTCTACTTTTTTACTCGAGGACTTGCTGCACGGGACAGCTTCGCCTGGGTGGAGGTCCTCATTTCGAATACACTTATGGCAGGGACCGCAGCAGTCGTGTGACTGAACTTTTTAGAAGTCAAAATAGACGACTGATCTAAAATGACCCAGGCTGACATCTTGTTTTTAGAAGCATACCGCTTACTTAATCCCTGACGCCGATTTGAGTGGCAAAATAGGAGCAGCCCGTAGTTTTTTGGTCAGCGTGACCATGTAAAGTTCTAAGTCACTGACTATATGAACGCTATTGGCCCTTTGCTTAGAATAAGTATCCAGGTTCACGGCCGTTGCGTCGGGAGGTCTGGGAACACCTCAAGTCAATCTGAAATTTGACATTGTTTGATCTTATTTGGCCCCAAGGTCATTACCTAGAAGCCTCACATTTTGAGACAGTTAAGTTGTCATGCAGGCAACCCATCCTGTGACTATGGTCTCTCTAGCTCTCTTAGTTTTTTTAAAATATTGTGGGGGAGGTCAGCTTAACCCCACCTGAGCGAAGGGTATTTAAGTGGCCAGCCGGGCGTGTGTCTTAAATGACAAGCTCCTAAGCCTCTTGATGAGCCATACAACATACCAGCTTTCTCGTTTGGGAGAGGCTCCCAAATTTCCTCGCCCTATTTCATCATCACACTGCCGAAATAGTGAAATGAGTACATTTACTGAACAAGCGCCAACGAATGCAACCACAAATCGAACATGAGTTTATAAACGAACACATAAAACGAACACAACCACCATCGAAATAAGGATGGCCCAAATGTAGAAAACCAACACTTCATAACGCGTTCGTTCAGTTTAGTGTCGTTCGAGGACTCTGTGTAAGGCATTCTGCCACCTGCTGTTTCTACTTTCCAACCGCATTTTCCCTGCATGAACAAAGAACACCGCACATGTCCCTTGACCCCGCTTCGGCTGGCGTGACTTTGGTCGCTGCGAGCGCTGGCGTGACTTTGGGCACGCCGTTTCGGCGAGCCGACCCGTCAGCTGAGTGCCGCGGCGCCGATCAGCTGCCGGCCAGGGCAGCGCCCAATTACCAAACCGCTTGGTCAATGATTGGAAAGGGCGACGACAAGGCTCGGGCGGCACTGAGGCGGCATCGACCAAACATTCAGTGCGGGCGCCAGCCAACTGGCCAGGGTGGTGGGGTGCGGCACGTGGCCACAGGCGACGCAGGCCGGCCCAGCGGGACAAGCGTATTGCCGGGCGCCACTCCGGGGACCATCACGACAAAGAGCAAGTGAGGGATATAAGGGGAAATAAATGTCAAGTGATCGTTGCCGAAACTGACCCAGATGTTGGCGACCCTAATGGCATGGGTCTGGGAACAGTAGACTTATTCTGCGGTGCGCTTAGCGAACAGATACGCTCAAGCGATCAACATAGGTCAACAACTTGGTCGGGGTCGCTTTGCTCGCAGGCATTTGTCAGCTGCATTTGCGGCACCAGCACTGCCTGTCGCAACAAAGTTGTTCAAAGCTGTTATCATCATGGTCTTTGCTGGCAATAGGCCGTGATGATAACAAGGATGTGGATTGTTGACTCTACTGTTTAGTATTGATCCTACGCCCGTATAGGTACCTCGGCGCACCCCTTGATCCTCGTCGTGTTGCTCCATTTCCGGATTTGATGAGGTCTGAGGCTCTGCGAGAGCGTGTAAGTTGCAGAAACGCGCTAAATTGTTTGGAGGAAACTTCGTTACTGGCCGTTTTAGCGGGAGGCTCGAAAGAAAGTTGTGGCGATGGTTTTTCAACTTTGTTTAATATTGATCGAGGCGCCTGCGTCCTCAAAGGTACCGCGGCATGCCTCAGCAGCTGGTGGTCCTCGTCGTGTTGTTCCGCCTCTGGACTTGATGACTCCTTAAGCTCTGCGAGAGCGTAAAAGTTGCAAAAATGTGCTGAAGTGTCTGGAGGGAACTTTGCTATTGGCCTATTCAGTAGGAGGCTCAAAAGAAAGCTGTTGAGTTGCATTTCCAACTCTGCCTCAAACACATTTCATATAATGCGCTTCGCTGCGATCATTTTCTGCATGCAACAGCTGCATGGGGATATAAGAATTGTGCGCATTGTGAACATATATAAAATAGTGTGTGCTAATACAGGACTTTTCGAATACTTTATAGCACCCGTTGTACGTAAAAAATCGAAGCACGCTACATGACCTGAAAACACTTCCCAGACGCTGCCATAGCACGCATCGACTTAAACTTCAAAAAGGACCGATACCGATAACGCGTCTACAACAAAGGTGTCATTCGGCATCTCAACGTCCATCGGAAGAAGGCCAGAGAAGAGCTCTGGGCTTGGCAGAGGCCCACAGCCCAACGTCACACGCTCAAGAGGGACGGAGCCGGCGGTACCTTGGTGGCCGGTGCGTCCGGTGCCGTGATGGTCAGCAGGTAGATGGGGTTGCCTGCCAAAGACCGGCACAGCACCCGCTGGTGGCAGATGCTGGAGATGAACGTGTCTCCCTGAAAAGGCGAACACGTAGAACAACTGAGCTTGCTGGGCTGACCCGTGAGAGGCGTAGATTCCACAAGACGCTAATATACCGCAGCAAAACCACCGTGTGATCTTCTGGAACTGGCGTCCAGGATAGTTGTGCAGGGTAGTGCAGGGTTGTGCAGGGTAGTATGCTCTGCACCATACAGAATCATATCATATCGACCACAGGCTAATAACGGCAATCAAAAGGACATCAGCGTTTCCTTTAACCTTGAGCTCATGACGGTTTGAGATCTGACCTGCCTTTGATCTGATCACCGCTTGAGTACTAAAGCGAACAAATAAAGCATTCCACCAAAAGTTCTTGCCGATTTTCCGGTAACGGAACAACACTGCTCACCCAAAAGATCGGAGGCTTCTGCAGAAATATCAAAATTTCGGGAACATTCGTTCCATATATGGCCTTGGTCCTAATCGATTCAATGACAGGGCCTGAGATTACGGGCGCCTGGGCTGCCTCAAGGCATAGAAAGTCCCGCTCCTGTATCGGGATATGTGAAGTCCCGCTCCTGTATATGGTATCGCCATGAAACGTGGGGCTTGCTGGCATTTAGAACAGTCGCAACTTGCCTGCATCTGCCGCAGGTGATCTTGCAGCGCCGAGAACGTGTACGGCAATCCGCTCGCCAAGAACACGGTGTCGTTGTCGTAAGGGAACTCCAGTGTGAAGCTCAGCACGTACGACAGCTCAGCGCGCTCCTGGTCTTCGCCGCTCCTCCTGGCCGTAACGGGATATTTTAAGTATGGAACAGAGCTTTTGTTCCAGCAGACAACAACGAAAGGAAGATTATAAAACGTGGCTTATATAATTAAGGGTCGTAACAAAACAAGACAAAAATTCTAGTGTTCTTTTATTTTGGGCGAGAACGAAGAACACCCAAACGAGCATGAGCTGCTTAATGTTGTACGTATAACTTCGCATGCAGGCAGCACTGCAAAATTTATATGCCAACCTGAAATCAGATGAAGAGGAAAAATAACAGTTTAGATTCCCTGTTGGGTATCATCCAAGAAGAGGTGCAATGCTAAGTGTGCTGTGCGTTTGAAAGGGCTGCAAAAGTAACAGGCTCTGCGGCCGGATGGGTTTCAAAAGTAGAAGACTGTACAATGGAGTTACACAAGGAACAGTCTGTGCCATCGAGTGGGTTACACAAGTAACAGTCTGTGTCATCGATTGGGTTACACAAGTAACGTCTGTGCCATCGAGTGGGCTACACAAGTAACAGTCCGTGCCATTGAGTGGGTTACACAAGTAACACACCGTGACATCAAGTGGGTTACACAAGTGACAGGCTATGCGGTCGAATTGGTTACAAAATGCGCTATCAAAAAGATAGCGCATATCAAAAACAGAGTCGTTGAGTCCAGTATTCCGTTGTATTGCTAAGGATGGCCCATATATTTATCATAGAGTTCATAATATACAAACTGGTCATCCTAGAACCATCCTAGGCTGGGCATATTAAGCAGCCAAGACGCATGGAAGTCTTTGGCCCCAGTCGGACCATCACCACCAGTCACCACAAGGGGGATGGGAGGGGCGGGGGGGGGGGGCGCATGGTCCCAAAAGCTCTCCCCCTGGCTACGCCTCTGCTGTTAGGTATGCCATCACCGAATAAGGACAGTTTAGAAGAAAACAGCTCCGTTTTGGTGAGACAACGACCATTTCAAACAGTATACTTCAATCCCGTACCAAATGTAGGGACCTATGGTGACCTTTCCACGTCAGATGACTATTGGATCTTGCTTACAGTTAACCCGATATGGAACACGTGTGTGTTTTCTTCCGTCGGCAAAGTATTGCTGCCCAGAAATTTTTGCTTCAACTCCGTATTCCATTTCCAGTTTGAATATTTTGGACGGAACTCTGTTTTTAAAAACAATGATGCTAATGAACACGTTTTTACCCAAGTTTTTGTGCGCCCTCGCCGCGGAAAATAAAGATCATTTGTTGTTATCAGATAGGTGTTCCAAAGTCGAAAAATATTTAAACACAAGACAAAATATCGCGCATTTTCAATTCGTCAAAAATTGTAATATACTTCCAAATGCCACCGGGTCTAAATGCTTTTTGTCACAAAGCTTAAAGTATTTCTAACTATTCGAAATCAATTGAAATTCTCCCTCAGCATCAGAGTCCAAAACCAAGGTATTCAAAATTGGGGAGTGGTGAGTGCACCTTTTGTGCTTGACTAGGCGCCAAGCCCTGGGGGCTCTGAATACCCCCCCCCCCCCCCCAACCACTACCATCACAACACACACTTTTCGAGAACCATCAACTTGAATTACTACAGTATAAAGAGAAAGCACATAATAAGTAAAACAAAACGCGATGCATTGGCAGAGGAAACCGCGACTTTTAAAGTATCTCGCCTTACGAAATGTTCATTTGCCTCAACCCCTAACGGAGCACATGGACCTGAAGTGGCTGCCACTACCGCAGGACTCAATGTTAAAAAGTATTAACAAATATTTAAAAAACCGTGAGGCGTCGGCTGCTGACCTGGTCACCTGGCAGGGGTAATAGGCGATCTCGGAGCCGGCGCGCCGCCAACCAGCACCGGTTCTTTGGGCGGCACCGACGGAGTACATCAGCAGCTTCTGGCCGCACGTGAACAGGGAAGAGCAGCGCGCGAAGTTCGTCACCGAGAACCTGCAGACGTCAGTCAGGCGGACAGGTGGAGGGCGATGCCGGGCGGGGGCAATGGCGAACCGCACTGAACCCTGCACTCATTGTCATTCGACAATGAGTGACCTAGCCGACAAGGGTGGACTTGGTGGTGGGCAATTTTAAATGCCGGTGCACGACCAACCTACTGGTGAATAAGATTTGAGAGAAGAATTACCCATGCCTAGAGCGAGGGAGTCACAGAGGCGTTTTGTACCGGGCAGGCATGAGTCCGAGTCCGGCCAGACTGGGACACGAGCACGGACTCATGGCTTTTCAGACATGCGCTCAGTTGAATGGTTATTTTTTTCCTGTGAATCAGAAATGTGGAGTGGACTAATCAAGGATCTCTGCATATGTCACTGGACATTGTTTTTATGTTTGTTTCATACACAGCAAGAGGTACATTTAAATTACTAAATATTTATCGAAGAGTTTCGGCTTGCTAGCCAGCATGCAACTATTGGTTTCTCTCATCATAGATCCCTTTTGAAAGTGATGTATTCAGACCAGAAAATTTATGATTTAGATCCAAGAACTCAGGCCCGGACTTGGACTCTCTAAGACCTCTGACTCTCAGACTCCGCCTTAATACGATTCATCGTTGGCCGTGTTCGCCTTTGGGACATGTATCAGTCCGTGACAAGGTATGCCTAGAATACAGAAAACAAGTCCGATGAAGGATTCTGAGACCATGTATCTGCCCCACCCGACCTCGTCAACCAAACCGGATATGTCTTGGTCAGGCCCATCGAACGTGCTCCCACAGTGGTATCGGGTCAGTGCTTACGCAGCAGGCTTTGTCCAGGAAGGACTCTGAGTCCAAAGTAGTTCCCATAACAAACAATGGAACTAAAACTTAACTGCTTAGCTGTTTTAAGTATCGTCATGCACGTTCATCTCGGGGGCCAAGAGGCTGAGGCCACTGACCGATGACTGACACGTAAGGGGGCGTCGAGCCCCTTTCCTCACCTGTATAGCACGCCTGCACGCATATTCGTCACGCGAAAGTAGAACCACTGCGTATGCCTCTCCGTGAACAGATCATTGCGCATGCGCAGCTGGTAGTAGTTGCCGGACACGTGGACTGCCTGCTGGAGATTGCCCGACTCGAAACGGGACTCGAACTGCAGCACGCCCTCCAGCTCGGGCTGGGACTCGTCGTCGGCTGCGACGGCTGACTCCACTCGCTCGGGACAGGACTTGCTGAACTGGGGCCATGGACAGAGCACGATCTTCAGTACATGTCGGCAGGGGTCACAGGTCGGCTCAGGTCACACCACTCGGTAAGCGGGGGTGACCAGCATGGTTAATGCAATGTATGGCTACAGCGTTAACGGTTACGAAGCGATGAAGAGGTCATCACAAAACACGACTGGCGCCGCGGCGACTGCAGCTGGCTGGACGCACACACGCCTGGTGTGATGAGCGGGCGAGTGAGCATCCGTCTGGTACGTGCTTGAAATGTAACGAGCATATTGATTCATTCGTACGTTAGATCTCGAGATCATGGTTGAAAAAACCGCTCACTCTGCAGCAATGTCACTATCCTATGCAGTAGCTAACAATCAAGCAGCAAGACTCTCTCTCTCTCTCTCTCTCTCTCTCTCTCCTCTCTCTCTCTCTCTCTCTCTCTCTCTCTCTCTCTCTCTCTCTCTCTCTCTCTCTCTCTCTCTCTCTCTCTCTCTCTCTCTCTCTCTCTCTCTCTCTCTCTCTCTCTCTCTCTCTCTCTCTCTCTCCTCTCTCTCTCTCTCTCTCTCTCTCTCTCTCTCTCTCTCTCTCCTCTCTCTCTCTCTCTCTCTCTCTCTCTCTCTCTCTCTCTCTCTCTCTCTCTCTCTCTCTCTCTCTCTCTCTCTCCTCTCTCTCTCTCTCTCTCTCTCTCTCTCTCTCTCTCTCTCTCTCTCTCTCTCTCTCTCTCTCTCTCTCTCTCTCTCTCTCTCTCTCTCTCTCTCTCTCTCTCTCTCTCTCTCTCTCTCTCTCTCTCTCTCTCTCTCTCTCTCTCTCTCTCTCTCTCTCTCTCTCTCTCTCTCTCTCTCTCTCTCTCTCTCTCTCTCTCTCTCTCTCTCTCTCTCTCTCTCTCTCTCTCTCTCTCTCTCTCTCTCTCTCTCTCTCTCTCTCTCTCTCTCTCTCTCTCTCCTTCTCTCCCCCTCTTTCTCTCTCTCTCTATTTTTATTTCTCTCCTCTCTCTCTCCCCTCTCCGTCTTCCTCTCTTCTCCATGCCTTTCTCACAAATGACATCACAGATGCACCCTGTCGGCCGCCAGCCGCCAGCCGACCGACGGGTGGGCCGATTCCGGCCGAACCGGCGTACAGACGGCACACGGGCCGGCGTACAGGTGGCCGACGAGAGCCGCCGCGGCCCACGCCGCCGAGTGAGCGCCAATTTCACCCTACAGAAGCCAAATCACATTCGCGGCGACGGCGAGCCGGGCCAGATGGGCGGCTCGTTATCACGGCCGAGTACGATGGAGTCGGCGCCAGATGTCCCCGGCAGATGGGCGGAGCTCTCTGCAGTCGTGGAAGGGGAAACCTCCGGAAAGGAGGAATTGTCACGATTCAAATAGCAGGGTTTCTCGTCAGCCGTGGTTACGCGCACTTTTGGAGCTCACTGAGTGGTGTGCCCGTTACTTGGTCTTGAAGTTAGTCTGCGGGCTGGATCCCGCTAATACTGTCGGCATTGTCGACGCAGTCGGCGGCGAAAAGGTGCTTCCTTGCACGGTGCTCCGCGGTATTTGAGAAGATGCATATCCGAAGCCCGTGCTGTACTCAGGACCATGTCATATGCACCATGCGGGACGGCATGGGCAAATGCTTAATGAGCGCTGTCCGATTGTTCTTCTGGCGAACCATCTATGAACACTTATCCTGGGTGGCAAACCTGCGACTTCGCGTTTCACCGTAACCCAAAAGTGGTCAGAATAACTTTTGCTCTCTATGGAAGTCGGGCTTCCGCAACGACGATTGCGTCTCTGTGCGTCTCTGTATGCTTTCTTACTGCGAGCATTTTACGCAGCGCGGTCAACGAGGTCGTAGAGAGGTGATGTCTGTAACTTACATCTTCACTATGTTCGTCAAACGATATCACCTGCGACATGAAACACAGCCAGTCTTGGTTAAAGGAAATGCTTTATGTTTGAGGATGTTGAAGCAAACATCAGATGTGACGAAACAAGCTCACTTATGAGTCCTGGTAAACTTTTAAGTAGAAGAGACTGCTCTAGACAACACAATATCTTTGTTTAGTAAAGATACTCTTCAATGCGTCATTGCTTGATTGCGTCATCATAACTTGCGCAATTTTGATTAAGGGCAAATTTATGGCTGATATATCTGAAAATCGTGGTCACAAAGCCAAATACGAACGATTCGACCATTACACTTTTCTCAGCCTTGATTCCCGCAGGACTTATGAATCGGCAGGATTTGACTGACATCATTATGACGTCATGAATGCCAAGGTAACCTTGAGGGTAATAATAACCAAGGTAATAATCTCCCAGTTTTTGCCATGGCGTAGCTCGGACAAAATGAATTTAGGTCTTACGAAGGGCAGGGCTTTGAACTGCACCAACAGGTCTTCAAGATGGTTATTTTAGGTCACAACACCATGGAAATGTGGAACACTCACTTTGAACTCGGATAAATACATGGCACCATTAATTGGAACGGTGACGTTGCTTTTGACCGCCTCACGCTTTTCGAGACAAGATTATGGCAAAGTTTCAGCTTCGTCTGGAATCGCGTGGTGAAAGTGATTTAAAATAGGCATGTAGCTTCGTTCTTCTACCATTTTAAGGATTCAACGATTCGGGATTAACTCAGGCTTTCAAGTTGCAAAGTTTTCAGTGTTACGCGCACCTCAGGCAGCATAACAACAGTTGAACAATAAGCATGCATGGGGTGATCATATAAATTGCACAGGTATTTTCTACACCGCTGTTACAACAAACCAATTATCATCCCTCTGTTTACAGCTTACTTTTATAGACCCAATTGCAACACTTTGTTTTTGGTCTCAATCTCGCTCAACTATTAGTCATTGCGAATTGTGTATTATAAGTTATTGAGCAGAATTGGGTGTTATTGAGCATTGTCGATTCTTATTGCGTTGTTGATAACAATTGCTAATCTCATAACATAGTTGAATTGAAAAATGTGGTACAACGCCCAAAGTTTCACACAACGCTCGCAATGCACGAAAAATCGTAACTTAAATAGAGAAACATTTTACACGGGGGGCGCAGTGATCTAGATCAAAGGGCAACAGGTAAGATTGGAGTAGATTATGATTTCGCCAAATGGCTTGGCGTCCAAACCCTGTCACTGGACCCGGTGATGTATCCGGATGTTCACCGCCCCATACGGACGAAGCACATATGTTTGCCGTATAGAGCAGAGCACTTAGTACCACCACAATAGACCACACCTTCGTAATATAAAGTCGTGTTTGCCCCCATCGCAAGATAACACGCAACAGATGAGCAGATGAGCGAGGCAATACATTTTACATAGCTAAGGTCATGAGACACGCAAAGGTCCGAGAGGTTAAACTGGAAGGCTTCGGAGTACAGTAATCATCGAAGTTCCTCATGACTAGCCATGACACTGTCCCCCGCAACCAAAAATACGTGCCGCCGCCCACGGTCACCATAAAAGTGTGCCTTCAGTGCCCTACGGTAGAAGGGGCACGTGCCTCCAGTGCCCTCACCCCCTCCCCCCCCCCCCCTCTGGATCCATCACTGCAGGACTGCTATGAAGCTTAGATTAAAGCGATGTTTTTAATGATACCACAAATCTAGAACATAAATTGCCTTTCTTCAAAACAAAGTGGGCAAGCGCGTTGAGCAAAAAAGGAGAGGGGAAGTCATTGGGGCCTCGGCTCGGCCTCCTACATTCACTTACCAAAACTGACACCCCCGATTCTAATGTTCGGTATCCCCAAATCCTGAAAACGAGGATAAAAGGGATACAAGCCCTAAATATCAGGTTTTGTCGGATTCAAATTCTATATATAATTTCTGAAACAAATCTTAAAATGCAACCACAAGGGAGTGGGCAATCGGCTTAGTCGTTGCAGGATCTGGTTGGCTGTATCCATGTCCTCAGACTTTTTTCTGCAATGATTTCATACCTGCGGGGTTGTTGGCGTGTTGATAAATCAGATAACCTTTAAAGTAGAAGAGAGCATGAAGGGAAAAGGGCGCGGTACCATGCCCACCATTTTATTGACTCTCATACTTCATTAAAAATCAACACAAGTTGAACACCTATACACACTGGCATGAAGTCCTGTCACTTTTCATTAGGACAAGTTAGAAATGCGTCACTTGCAAAAGCTCTGACAATAATTGACCGGAAACCAACAAAATTCGTTTCAAAATTGAGAATTACAGCATGTTAAAGTTTAGGCGTTTTGACGCAAAGATGGGAGTCTCCTAAGATAGTGCTTGATCTCAACTTCCAATCCAAATCCAAATTCACCCACCACTCACTGAATAGAATTTGAATCCGACATTGCAACCAATCTCCAGCTTAGGTATCGATGTACGTCGATAAATAATGCGCTATGTGAGATGCACATATTGATAATGCGACGGTGTGGCGTAATCATGCACATCATCCTTCACAGAAATGGCGCGAGATATTTCGGCGTTCAAATATCTGAAATGCTGGGCACTTCGTTAAACCCTGAAAATAACAAAAGCAGGCAGCATGACATCGCGGGCCATGTTGCCACGTGTCCGTCGACGCGAAGATCGTGGGACGGCTTACCGCACGGGTGATGACATCCGGCTTGTACTGGAAGACGACCTGACCCATCTCGGGACTGACGGGCGTCGGGGTCAGCTCGTCCCCCGTCACCGTGTAGTACCGCTCCCGCTCTGACGGGTTCTCCAGCAGGTGCGGGAACGGTTCGCTGACCACCTGTGAGCGTGGGGCAAGTGAGATGAGGTGGCCCGGAGCCACACTCGTAAGCTGAACCACTGACGATCAATACTGATCCGACGACCTCCGCTTTACTATTCGCGGCTAAGAATTTGTTCTGATCAAGGCAGCAGAAAGCGCACATTTAACTTGGGCCGTAGACAATATTCAGATTGAGCGGCTCAGGCCGACGGTCATGCCTTCTAGAAGCTTACAGGTTTGCAGTCGCTGACTGCAGGAGCATGTACGTCTAAGCGACAAGAAGCGCGATGTTTTAGAAACTGTACGGTATAGATTGCTGGACATTTGCACCCAAGCTGAGTTATCCTGCAGGCTTTACCAGCTGATTTTGAGGAAAAAACACATCGGTTTTATTGAAATCCGTTTTTCTTTAAGAATGCAAAGCATTTTTTACAAGTAGAAGCCGGGTGCCAGGACTCATCTTAATACATATTATATTTTTATCCGATAAAGTCTCACGCTTATCACGCGATTTCTACGAAACCAACTCATACCGATAGATAATGATTTTGTGATGAAATATTAAATGGTGTCATTTTAAATTTCAAAACTGATGACATCCAGATGAGTATTCAGAAGACATCCAAAAGATGTCCAAGATGATGTCCAAGAAGAATCCTTATATGCCTGCAATGAGTGGCTGCGGATCGTATTTTCGGATGGGGCAAGCAACGTTTCAGGGTCCGCTCAAACGGAGTGGACCCCTCTGACAGAGGTGGTATCCCACCAGCGCAGTTAGCGGCGTGCGAAAAATATCTCAAAACGGAGGAATTTGGAGCAATCCGGTCGTGTGTGCGTGTGAAAGGCAGCCTTGAGTACGATTGTGCAGCCAGTCAAGAGGAGGTGGAAATGTGAGTTGACGAAGGCCCCCAAATTAAAAAAGCCATCTCCACAAAAGCGTTATTCACCGAATTTGGTTCACTTTTCTTCGTCTCCCTCTTTTTGCCCTCTTTTATGGAGCAAAGAACCATGAGACTTCCAGAACGTGCCGTAAAGGCCTGTGTAATGAGCAAAGTGGGTATGAAATGCCTGCATCGAATCAATTCCCGCGCGATTCGTTTTACAATGTGCGCTTGGTGTTTCTAAACCAATAACAGTCAGGGGCGATGACAAAATTGCTTTTGATCCTGCAAAGATGTTCAACAACACTGCGGGATAGACACCAGGCTAGGACAAAACGAGTTTAACATTTTGCTAACGCATGACAATTCGGTCTATCAGAATATATTTGTAACAACAATGCATGCAGCAGGTTGAATCTCTCTCTCCCTCCCTTTCAAAAGGAGCGATCGTCGGCACACCGTCACTCTCACACCCAACACCCAGTATAAGCTGCAGCCGGCCAAGGCCGCTCGGTTCGACAAAGACTGGAACAACAGGAATCGTTTTTGCTCGTGTCGGTTGCGAGCGCGCGTGCTCATAGTTTTTTTGCTAATCGATTCTCAACAACGATGGACCTTTGCAGTAAAATATCAGTTAGCCGGATCTATATCAATTTTTACCTCGTTTCGATCCACTGTAGCGAACAGCAAGGAGACACTCTTCCCAATCCGATGGGTAGAACTCTACGGGGCACATCACGGTTCCTGGTCTGGTATGAAACGCATATCCATCTCAGCCGCTGTACGTGCCGGCTGTGCAGGTAGGAGACCCCCGGCCGGTGCTAGGCGCCTGAATGACACAGGCCATTCAGGGCAGGACATCACTCTCGGAAAGGGTGGGATGGGAGGGCGGAATACGGGGTGTAGGGCGAGGGGCAGGATCCAGAGTGTGGGGTGGGAGGGCATGATTCAGAGTGTGGGGGATGGCAGGATCTAGGTTGTGGGGAAGGACGAAATCCAGGGTGTGTGGGGAGGGGAGCGAAGGATCCAGAGGCACTTGGGCACCAGAACTTAGTTCAGCACAAGAGGGCCCACTTTTTCCTCCCAAATTTTTAGAACACCTCAGTTTTAGGTCTTTTTCTTCTTAGATAGGCACATTGACTTTGATTATTCAGAAGAAGCGGAGCTTTTTGTGAAAAAACTAGTACACAGACCCAGTGGAATTTGGAAGCCTGCTACACTGTTTGATGAGCCGAAGTTGCACGACATTTTGGCTTAAGCTTAAGCTTTTCAGCATCGGAGGAATCACCTGATACGTGCTTACACAAATTCGTCATGGCTGAATAACTGCCGGTGCCATCCAGTTTTGTCAGCCCCGTCATACAAGAGCCTAATCCGTCTTCCGTGGCTCATTTTGACGCCCCGGAGGCGCGCATTGTCTGCTTGGTTTCAATGTCTGTCGCCGTTTGAATGCTAGCCCACACATGTTTCCAAGCTTTACCCATGTGTTTAATCGACGTTATCACATCCAAAATGGTACAGAGGTGCATTTCTGCTTTGGCGCCACTTTGTAGAGTTAAACACCTATTGCGCCGCGTTTGCACCTCCTCGAGCACCAAACTATTGAGACTGGAGTTTGATTGTCTGCGGATATAATTAAACTTTCCAATGGCGGGTGCAGCAAATCACCCAAATTTCCGCTCCTTAGGTGTGCCGGAATTTACGTAAAGATGTGCTTATCAGGAGCACAGTTTTAAAGAAGGAAACTGCATCCAAACTATACAGACTGCAATCGTGTTAGACTGAGAGAGTTCCTTTGTGGCCAGAGTGGCTCATCACTGGCTATATTGACCCCTGAGAGGCAGGAGGGGCACTGAAAAGAGAGCTTTGGGCGTTTACTTCAACCACTGGACGTCCAGAGGGCCTCAAAATGGTCGGCGCTACCCACGAACAGCCGGAAGGATCCGCGAGCAGCCAGAAGGGCTCTTGGGCGGTAGGAATGGCCAGAAACTCCCTGAACAGCTAGTCAGACTCCGAGTGTCTGGAGCGTCGTGGAGGCACAGCTGGATGACGTTGGCGATCAAACGGGCTGATGGATTGGCGGTGAATCCTGAGCAGCCAGATGAGCACATTGGTTGTCAGAAGAGCCCCTGGTCAATCAAGCGTGCCCACTCTTCACCGGGCGTGACCTGGGAGACCAGTGGAGACCCTGAAGAGTCATGGGAAACGCCGCCAGCCAGGAGCTTCTCAATGGCTTGAGGTGTCCTCCGTGGACAGAAGAGGCCTAGGCAGCTAAAACGGCCCATGAGCGGTCACGTGTACACAGAGGTGCCTGAGCGGTCAATGCAACCCCGGAGCGGCCAGAGAGTTCTGCGTAGTTCTCCGCGTAGTTCAAAGGCACCCTCAGTGTCCGCAGAAACTTTGAAACGTCACAGGAGCCCGAGTATCTATGCGGCCTCGTCAGCAGCGGGAGTACCCTGGCAGTCAGGAACGATCCACTGGCACTGAACCTGGTACTGAACGATCCGAGGAGGCCCACATTTTAGACAGTTGAGACTTTTTGGGGAGCCAAAAGGATGTTATGGCACTGTCTAAATTTCTGATTGGCCTAAAGTTTAGCTTATTTTTTTTACTCTTCTTGGCTCTTTTTTTACTCTTCTCGTTCATGATGTCATATATTTGCACTGTGCGAGCCAAAAAGAGTCCTCCCATGAGGCCACCGGACTCTCCCTCCCCCCGCCCCGCTACAAGGCAGACTCCAACGGAGTCGTCAGCCAAGAGCAGAGGACACACTACCTATCTCGATTAGGGGCTGAAAGGCCTTTCCGTCCAAATTGGGCTCCCGCTGGCCTGGGTTGTGAAACTGATGCTTTTCATGTGTGTTATTACCTGGCACATACCACGCTGCCCAAAGCATTGTAATGAATCATGCTAAAACCACACTAGGGTGCCGGGGGTCTTGGTATCGTTAGACATAATGGCTATTATGCATTTTTTATTGCGTTCTCTGCTGACAATTTCTACAAAAAAGCTACCGGTAGCATGAACAGCTTCTTGTTGATCAGTTCCCAGTAGCATCGGATCTATCCAAAGTTATTATCTGTGACGCCAGTCCCGAGCGATCAGTTGTCAGTGACACAGCCATCAGGCCTAGCCTTTTCGTGACACCGGATCTCTCAGACTTTTCATGACACCGGACCTCTCGGCTCGAGCCCTTATGTGATGCGACACTTTCCTGACACTTGGTTGTTCGTGACACCAGATCTCTCGGCTCAACCCCGTGTGTGATGCCACACCTACCTGACACTCGGTTGGCCAGCGGGCCGGCAGGTACTTCAGCACCTCCCGACACGAGCCCAGCAGGCTGGACGGGTCGCGTGACCTCAGCCGCGACCCCGCCTGACCGCCGCGTGACATCAACCCGTCCGGCGTGGGGCACAGCGCCGTGTCCATCTCGCCGTCTGAAAACCAATATGTGACGTCACACCGCCCTGTGGGGAAACGGTATGGTGCTCGGCCTTCTGAAAACGCGAGATATATCTGTAACCGGCGTGCCGGTAGAGGCGCCGGCAGGCAGTGAGAGAGCAAAGAGAGCACATCTCCCTCCGCTTAGGTCCCGAGGGGCCGGAGACAGACGTTTAAGGGCCCGATCTGAGAGCCCGAACAGCCCTATGGGCTGTACGGAGGTCGCACTGGAGGCCCAGGCCAACAGGGCTGGTCCCTCAAATGCCAGTCAGAGGCCCCTTTGCGCCGCTTGGGGCCTTCTGAGTCTACGAGGACCTCTATGTCGGTTAGGCACCACCAGTACCGAACAGCCGGCTCAGTGTCGGTCTGGACGTCAGGGCCCATTTTCGTGTAGAGAAAAAGCACGGGCCCATAATTTTAATTGTTCGGGCCTCTAAGAAAATAAGGGTCCCCTGTATCGGTCAGGTGTCCACAGTACCAAGCAGGGGGTCTTGCATTAACAAGGGACCAAGTTGGCTAGGGGCAGTGTTCGAGAGGCCCGAAGAGAAGCCCAATCGTCCCTTTGGTACTGATGATTAAGGGCGTGATTTGAGTCTGAAGAGTCTGAAGAGGGTCCCAATAGTCTTCGGTACTGATGATCAAAGGCGCGATCGAAGGCTAACGGGCCCGAAGGGCACGCACGAAAGTCTGTCTGTGCACCGCATTAATGGCCCCGGCCCGTAGGGCCACGACCTTAGATATCAGTCAGAGGGCCTCTTGCACCGGATGAGACCACTAGGACATTACGGCCGTCTCTATTTTGGTCGGAGACTACCAACACTGAACAGTTGACTCGGAATCGGTCTGAGCCCTGGGAGCCCATTTTCCGGGCAGGACATGGCCGGGGCACAACATTTACATTGGTCGGGGTCCCTTACGCAATGAGGGGCCCTTTGTCGTTCAGGGTAAGTGACTCTGAGTCGGAAGGGGTCTCAAGAGGCCCAAAGAAGGGTCCGAAGGCCCCTCTAGACCAAAGATCAAGGGTCAAATCGAAAATTTGAATGCCCCGAAGGCTGTAGGTCACATTAACGGCTCCCACCCGTAGAGCCAGATCTCAACTATCAGTCAGAGGGCCTCTTACGCCGACATGAAACCCATGGGACAAAACGGACCTCTTTTTTGGCCGGAGACCAGTTACGCCGAACGGTCTGCTCCGTGACGGTCTGAGTCCTGGGGCCCATTTCCTAAGCAGGGACGAGATCGGGGCCCTCGATTTGCATTGGTCGGGACCCTGCAACAGTTTGGATCCCTGCCAGTTAACGGCCCAAAAGTGCCCAACGCTTACATTGAAATGCTGATTGATTTAAGCGTGTCCGGTGGAAAATACTCTACCAGCGTGGTGCAAGCGCCCTACAGGACCTATGGACTGCTGCCAGTTCTGCGCTGCGCTGAACTCCACCACTCGAGCTCGCTCTATGACAGCGCGTTTGCGTACGTGCGATTCGAATACTGAGCAGTGCTGGTAAGGACCTCGTGCTTTCAAAGGTACCCGGGAAATGAAAGACTCCTCAAGCTGGAGAAGAGGGACTGACAGCCATGTTTTGGCCCCGGTTTGTTTTATTTGCTTTTTTTATTTCAAAGTGTGATAAACGGTACGATTACATCAACACAAGCAAAGCATTCGTATAACAATCACAAGACTTATCTCTGGGCACGTCCCCCAAAGGAAGAAGCAAAACAGAAAATAGCCGCCAGAGATGACATTTTAATAACAAGCCTCCGCCACAGCACCAGCCGTCGCCGGCGCCACCGCCTTCGCCTTATGCCTCGGTTTTCACAATTTAATGACATGGTTCTGGAAACACGCCGCGGGCATCTGACCGTTCTGTGTTGACGTTTACCCGGCACATTAACACGCGTCCGGGTGGCCGGCTAGATACCCTTCGCTCGGGTGGGGGGAGGGGGGCAATTTGATCCCCTGAGATCTCGGGAACTAAGGAAGCTAGATACACCAAATTTACAAGGTGTGTTGACCTGTACGTGAACTCACTTAGATCAAAGTTCCAGGTTCCCAGGTTTTTACCTTCGGGTCAAAAAAGGGCGAGCAAGGTCAAGTTCAAGGTTCGTTTCCAAGGTGCCCCCAGAACCTAAATAACCGTTTCTAAGCAAAAGGTTACCTGCTCATGTAAGGTCAGTGACCATTTTTGACCTTTTGAATGTCAAGATGACCAAAATCATACAAGATTGTTTTGAGTTTTGCATTTGACTAAGCGACAGAGATTACGCCAAGCAGTATGTTTCTAAAATAAAATGTTGATCTGCGTCATTGTAGGTCAGTGACCTATTCTGATCTCTAAGAAGTCCATGGATGATGTATGATGCGATTCCTGCTATCAATAAATTCGAAATGAGCACCAGAAACTATCCCATACAGCAAGCCCTAGAGTAACAAAACAGGTTGGTTTTGACCTTGGTGTGACCTGCATACCTGACCTCAGATCAATGTAATATGCTCATTCAACTGTTGTGTTGCCTAAGAAAGCATCTCAGAGATGTCCGTTGTTGGATCAGATTGAAGGATTCCCTAGAAATTGCCTTCGCTGAAAGCATGGCCTGACTTTGACCTGCCACAGGTCAGCGACCTTACAAGGAGCATCTCAATTTGTGATGTCAAACGATCCGCTATTTGTCTACAATTATGCAAAATTTAGCGCGACTGCGCCACGCCGTTCGGAAACCATTTTGGAAAAACCTTCAGGGGGTCAATTTGACCCCCACCCGAGCGCGTTAATGCGTGTGTGATGTCAGTGCTCGAAAATGGAATAAAACGAGGACCTAATACGCGTGTGACATGCTAGAAGACATTGCATCTGAGGTGCCGAAAAGACGGAGGGAGGAGAATGAAATTATTGTCTTCAGACTTGTGATCACAGACACAGTGAGGAACGGGATATTTTTTTAATCTGGAAGACCTGTGCGTTGGAGGGAAATTACGGTCCATATTTAGGTGCCGCAAATGTTTCCGAATTTTTGCCGGTATGAGGAGCGTGGAGAATGTCTGTCAGTACCAATCAAATCTGCTTCAGATTCTCTGATTGTTTTGTGTGATGTGTGTGTGCGAAATGCTTCAGGTTGTTGTTTACTGGTGTTTTAAGGCACGTCGACTACAATGGTCATGGTGCGCCTTTGTTCCATATGCGCTGGTGTTTGGCATAAATGATCTTTGAAAAGATATTTTCTTCTCGAGTGTGCAGGGAGTAATTTTATAATGTTGAGCAGGAGGCTCATTGGAATTCTCCTAGCATGAGCGGCTACTTTAAATCGGAATTCTGAGCTTTTCAGAAATATTTCGAGAAAAAATGGCATTGCTGATGAAATCGTACACATCTGATTTAACAAAAAGTGACATGCAAAAAAAAGTGGCATGCTCCTTTTCAGGGCGCTACTATACTTGGGTTTTGTAACGCTTCTCTTCCGGTTTCCTGTATCGAGGGGAAAGGGCGACAATGCCAAGAGACCCGCAGCGCCCTAGCCCCTTTCTCTCCCCTTAGGCGCGCCAATGAACACAAATCACATTCAAAGGTGCCGCCGTCAAAATACCCCAGCGAGATGGGTTGCCAAACTTATATACCCGTCTGTACTAGTTCCAAAAGAATATCCGCTGCTGAGGCGGCATGAACGGCGTGGCAGAGTCGCATAGAAACTCCGATACGTAACATAAAAAACACGCCCTGCTGACACCAGTTACCTTCAGCCGGTACTCTCTGTTCACACAGAACAGTCCAAAGTGGCCGAGTAGACGAGGCGTTATTTAATACTGAGCGTTATCGGGCGAACGCAATATGACCAACGTAGCCGGCGCGCTCCACAACACTGATTTCCTGTATCGGGAGAGCGCAAAATCGCCCAAGTAGCCGACGCGCACCGTCATACTAATCATCATGTGTTCACACGGCCGAACAGCTCCAGTGGAAATCTGCTGTTGCACAAAGCCGGACCAGTCCATGAAGGCTTGGTTTACCGACGCGGGCCATCCACCAGCCTAATGTTCGATTTCTTATTAGTCAATGCTCGGATAGCACGGAACGATCTCCATTGGAAATGCAAGACGATGTGACGTCGGTGGCATATTATTTTTATCTTTTCATCCGATTCCATATCCCTGATACAACGGTGCATTAGTTATATTCATATGAAATCCCAACAGAATACCTTAACGTTTCGCCAGGTCAGGAAATGGAGAGCGAGAGATCACATCGTTTACGAAGTAGTTATCTATTCGGCAATTTTAACACTAGCGCCACCTGGAGAGCACGTCGCTGAATAGCATTACACGTGACACGGGCAACACGCGTTCTGCGCGAATGCCGCCACAGGGACGGCCGAGAACGTCCGTTAAGCACGGCTCTCGTCCTGACTACGCCTGCTCCGGACGTTCGTCATGTACTCACGTGACCCCCTGCGGGCACGCGCATGCCAGGAGAGCGGCGGCGGACCCATGCCCTGCCGCGCCCCACGCTCGGGGACAACTGGCGGCGGCGCCGCGGTGGACGGTGCGCATCGACCTGGCCAACGACAGCACCGACGGGGCCAACACCGCCGCGGAGTCAGGTCAACGGACCCCATCACAGGGCGCGCTGCTCCCCGGTACCGGAGGCTCGTCGGAGCCGCCGGAGGGCCGCGCCACCGGGCCGGCGTCCGTCCTCCAAAACTGACTTCGGCGCGGAACTCAAGCCGCGGTGAGGAACAAGCCGAGGGAATGGTGCCATGACAGATTCCAGCCCGAGGCCACCGGCCACAAACATTTGGTCGGATCGTCGGGGTGCGGGACGTGGAAGAAACCATAATTTTGGTGGACGCACCTGCAGGCGCAAGGACGGCAAACACGAGCGGAGATGTGGAAATACCCATACCAACACCTTGCATTTAGAAACAATGATTTTCCTTGCCGGTGTTTGAAAATGTCTCCTTTTCCAACTGACTTCTCGCAGGCTGCTGGTGATGACCACCGCACCGCACCTGGTGATGGATCGGGACCCAAATATATGCTTACGTAGAAAATAAATGCGCGATGAATCTAGTTTTCCAGAGAAAACGAGCAGCAGCATACAACAGAAGGAGGCTTTGAGAACAAAGAAAAGGTTTTGCAAATTATGATATCACAGCTCCACAATCGATCTCCTTTGCTGTCCATTTGCTGATCAGTCGGTTTTGGGCTAAAACACTGTTCATATCACATAAGTTCTGTTGGCATCGTAAACACGCCAACGGTGTTCTATACGATGGCCACACGCAGTCACATGTGCAAGAGAACCACCGAAGACCTGCAATCATTACGGAACGATCGATGAGTGAATATTAAATAAGCGCTAACCACCCGGTACGCGGTGAAATCTGTGTGAAGTGGCATGCTATTTTGATGATACCATGCCAATGGTAAGGAAATGATAAAAATCAGCGGTTTGTATCGCCGGTTTCTCCATGCACATCACCATACACACTTATCGAACGCACCGCCACCATCGAAGACAGTGCATGCCCGCAACACATTTGTTGTTTATTCGTATTTCGTCATATTCTGGGAGAAACGTTGCTCAAACCGCAAGCTCGCTAGTTTCAACTTGTATTTACAACATTCTGGTTCTGAGCACCGATCAGAGCACTTCGCATCACAAATCAAACATTCGGTACAGAACATTACACATTGCACTTACCAACTACAAATGCACTCCTAGCGTTTGGCTGAACAGCCATCCAAAAAATCCATCTCCAATCCGGCAGAAGGCGTTCCACCATTTCGGACCATCACCTTCGCACAGCGACATCTAGTAACAATCCAACAGCGGCGCCGGGGCCACGACGTCGGGAAGTCTACTCCGGCTTCTCGTAGAGATCAGGCTGCGCTATCCTGCTCTCCCTGTCTTTGTTCCGGACGAACTCCTTCAGCATCTTCATGATCTCGCTGTCGAACTCCTTGGGTGTTTCCCGCACGCCTGAGAAAGTCGCCCACGCGCGCTCGTGAGCAGGGAGGGTCCCGCTGGCCCGGCACCAGACCGTGCATCATTGATGAGCCTGTAGTCACAATGGCTTCATCGATCCACCGCTGCGTCAGGAGTTCGCACGCGCCTGGCACAGAGGCGCTTTCCGAAGACGCCACGAGCCGCGAGCAGCCGCGCTTGACAGACGTACATGGCATGCGGCGCACACAAGACGGCACGGTGTAAGCCCGATGCTAGCGCTACAGGGTGTGTTCATTGCCAACTGCTTTCCGAACATGCACCGCTGGTAGCGTTAGTGACCAACTCATTCCTCGGACCAAATCATTTCAAATCATCATCGGACGCAATCGGACCAAATCATTACAAATCGGACATCCCTACAGAGCTGTAACTTGAGACGAGAAGGCGGGATGAATTCATTGCGGGACTTCATAGTCGCCAGCCCAGGGTGAGCATCACCGCCACCCGGCAACTAAGGCCCATTTTCACCATTAATCCGTACGGGCCGGTGACCATCGCGACCGAAGGGGCTCTGGCAACTATCGACACAAAACAATCCGTGCTTTCTGTGATGATAACATGAAACGGTGTCATTCAGTGAAAATGTGATAACATGAACAATCTCCGGCCGAAATAAAATTGTAAATGGGTCGTGGCGTTGCGTGGGAAGGCTTTCGAGAGGCGCTGAAAACAAACTAAGATCTACGTTTTTGGGAGCGGAAGTAGTGAGAGTGGGGCTGAGACAAAAAACGGGCTGGGAATCCCTCACCGGAAACACTAGTTCCACTGAGTGCACACACCACAACCCGAGTCTTATCCACTAAAATATATGGCGCGAGTTGCAGAGAAATAGTCAGATAAGAGTCCGATGATTTCCGGCTCGCTCAAAGACTTGGTCCTTTTCAACACGAGCTCCCTGTGTCGTCCTGCATAATATGTGACGAAGATGACAGCCTTTGGATCCGTTCCACTACTTGTCCAATCATAACGTAAAAGTGTCCTAATGCAAACTAATAGGAGGCACTTTTGTCGTATTAAGACGACAAAAAGGAGGCGAGGCGGCGAACCCTTGCTGCCCACCTGTGGCCCAGTAGTAGATATCCCAGTCGTTTGAGGGCTGGTTGATGAGCTTGTCGTAGTCATCCAGCTGCGGCCCGGTCATGCCGGCCAGGTAGCGGCTGGCGAAGGTGCTCAGCACGAGGCCGTTCTCCAGCATGCCCCGCTTCCGCGACTGGTAGAGCAGCCTGCCAGCGCACACGCACAGCACGTACAGACAGGGCAGATGGTGCAGCCGGTACAGGCTCAGACATTCGTGCAGGCAGAGCTGGTACGGTACAGCGCTTAAACACGACCGCTGGTGGCGCAGCCTGCCCGGACGCGGACACTGGTACGGTAGCCTGCCCGGACGCGGCCACTGGTAGGGTAGCCTGCCCGGACGCGGCCACTGGTAGGGTAGCCTGCCCGGACGCGGCCACTGGTAGGGTAGCCTGCCCGGACGCGGCCACTGGTAGGGTAGCCTGCCCGGACGCGGCCACTGGTACGGTAGCCTGCCCAGACGCGGCCACTGGTAGGGTAGCCTGCCCGGACGCGGCCACTGGTAGGGTGGCCTGCCCGGTCACGCCGATGTGCAGTGCAAGGCATCGACAGTGTCTGCGCAGATACGCACCGAATGACAGCATAAACCATTCAGCCAAACTGCATTTTCTTTTATTGATTTTGCATGCGCGTACTATATACGGTAATTGGTGTCGCAGTCCCGCAAGTACATTGTGGCCAGGGGCGCATTAACCTCTGTCCAGCAACCACGTTTGAACTCATCTGGGCTCAGGGTAAATGGGGATGACTCGACCCACTCAGCTGCTACGCAGTTACTTGGAATATGCTTCTATGAGCCCCGTTCACCCGAATGTCGGGGATAATGTATTTAAGACATTGCATAACAGCATGATTAAAAACCATCACAGAACAGTCAGACCCCACGGAAACAACAAACACAAAACAGACCAAGAAACCCACGCTGATGAGAATGCTGGCTAAGTCTACCTTTTTTGTTGTTGTTTATTGGTGTGGTTCGGGCGCGTCGACTGCAATGCTCATTTTGCGTAGCCTCAGAATGGCATTATTTGAAAGACATGGTTTGCAACGGCAAACCAGGGCTTGCCATCATTATTCGGGAGACGTGGCCACCAACTCTGACTTTTCCTTGATCATCTTTGTTTTTATTTTCGAACATCAAACTATCTAAACTAAGCAGATAATCTTTGGAAACATGTGCATATACATCCCATCAGTACGCTGGAAGACTGCTTTCCATGAGCTTGGCTGACAGAGGCACACTGGTGGACTGTGCTTACATAGTTATGTTTGTAAATAACAACATAAGAATTTAAATGCAGACGTGTTAAAATGAGCAACAAATCTAGTATCATTATCTGGTTTCTCTGGTGAAGAGCTGTATGCTCAATTCTTCCCAGGTGTACACATGTGTAAGAGCACATTTTGGTCACTGCTATTCTTCATTTCAATTCAATCAAGCACAATGCCACACTGGGCACCAGAGATGGATCTGTGAGGAAAAAACAATATTGCGCACATCTCGTGGGTCAGGCAGAAGGGGGGGGGGCAGTGTTTACCTAATGCCAAATTGCTTCGAAAGTGAAAATCGATGAAATCAGTTGCTTCACAGCATTTATCACTGTTTGCTGTGAACCAGGCGGAGGCTTAAGACATTTACATTAAGCACTAAAAGAAACACACAGAGATCTAGCACAAGACATCACATAATTTTGCTCCTGTGCATACATTCAGGCAGGTCAGGGTGGGGCGAGGCAGGGCAGAGCACATTGGCCATTGTAGTCGAAGATTTACTTATGATTGAAGAAGTCCTCCTGAACCTGCGGCTACGTCCGTCAACACCGGAGATTCTACCGTGTGAGCGTCAACCGGATCCCATTTCCCTTGACCGTCTCACATACAGGTCTTCATCATTTAAAGATTAGATGCACTGGGTGGACATGGTGCTTCTGAAGTTGCATATGTTCACCACAGCATGCCTGCTCTCACAGATGCACAACGCTTTGAGGTTCTCTGTCACCCACCTGGAGCGCTTGGTCTCCATGTGCTCGTCCGCCCTGGGCCGGTACTCTGGGATCCATGGCTCCTTGATGCCTTCTGGCTCGTACAGCCCCGAGTCGGAAGCAAACGTCCGGCTCAGTGGTGGGAGGGTCCGATGTGCCCGCACCAGCAGCCGGCTGCACCCCTGCACCAGTGACATGGTCCACCTGGAAATGTAATGGTGTGACTGCTGCACTGCTTACTGTGCACTCTGATCACAGACATTCATCCAATCATAAGGCTCAGAACTGATCTATATAGGATAATAACCTATGGCACTGATTGCCAACCACAGTAAAAATCATCACTGCTTTTCAACCTCACTGATGTTGAACAGGTTGTGAGCACTATTTCACACCTTTAAGTACTTTGCACACATCTAAAACGAAGGGTGGTCACACCACAGGTTTATGTATTTACCAAATAACAGCAGGCTTGCAAGCCATTACAATTTTGGAAATGTATTAGGCCTAGGCACCTTCTACAAACCAGACAGCACACCAGGCCAGCTTGTGTCCCAGTGCCTCACAACAGTTATCTGATGCCATGTGATCTGTGATAACCTTGGCTTGCACAAAGTGTTGCCTTATCAGGGTGGAGAAGAAAAGGTGTTACCTGCATATGTCACATGAAAACACAGACCTAGAGAAATGTGTCTAACCACACACCTGACATCACTTGTCCTCTCTCAAAATGCTTACTTTCTTGGAATAGTAATGCCTAGTTCCCACATTGTCTGGGACAGTTGCTTCCATCACACTGCACGCTCACCTCAAACCCATCTAGCAGGTTGGGAGAAGTGTGTTGGGGGCAGGGGGTTCAAGAACACAGCCCTAAAACCCTGTCACTAAGAACCAGGGGACAATTTCCCAAACACAATATCAATGGTATCATAATAAGTTATTTGTCCATGATTAGGCTGCTCAGATACATAAAAATATGGTGGCAAACATGACACAGTCAGGTATGGCACATTAGGGGGAAGGACAGCTGCCTGCTGACCTCCCCTCCCCACACAGACACACAGTGTGAGTCACATTTAACATGAACACTACACACGTGTATGAGAAGGAACAATAGAAAATCCTGCATGATCTTGCATTCCCAAGATTTTCTCATACACCATGCGCATGTACAAGCGGCCCAGCTTGACGATACAAAAGCAGAGCGTCAGTAAGCATGCTCATTAAAATTAAACTTCTGGAGTTCACACAGCTCCTCCATACCATACATTTTATCTACAGGTTGCATGTTCAGAGTTCCCACTACTGCTTTGCTTATTCTGCAATTGCAGTGATGGACAATCCCAGCTGCATGACACATGAAGCCAGCAGGATGTTATGAATAAGGGCTATTACATAAGGCTAAGGAGTCTTACATTTGATTCATGCTGTCAAAGAAGCTACAAAATATGTCCAAGAATGTTATGAGTGATCATCTAACAATGCTGGAAAGTTATGCATGCTTGCAGTGATACCCATGCAATCACAATCTGATACATTTTAGTGTTTTTAGTATGGTGAGCTAAATGCTTAATTTACCTTCACCTTGGCTGTGATTACAGTGAGGCAACTGTAGAGGTTAAGTGTGGTAAATGTGCAAGGGTGGATGATGGAGTACAAAAGCAAAGGAGAAACATATGTATAAAGGCTGAAGCATGCTGAGGTCAGAGTATGATATTTCATGGCCTTTAGATTGACTCAGTGATATCATTTGATGTGAAATGTTCCAGGCACATTCCAACGGCTGTATCACACGATTCTAAATCCTCGCAGTAATCGCAGCTTGAAGTCGTTAAATGGCACTAGTTCGGCACGTCTTTTTCGTGTTTAATATCCAAAATGGTGGAAAAAACACTACTATCTACCTGAGAACACCATAAGTATATTCCCGTAACTGTGAAAATATTGTCATTCCGCCACTTCCAAACTCGCTTTGCGTGTTTTTCTCTGGGTCCTGACCCTACAAAACTCTACACAAACCATCAAAAGAGCAAATAAACCGAAACACACTTATCTCACCCGAAGAAAGCGACGGCACCTCGGCCCTGCTTCTCACATTATGTAAGTTATGCGCCAGTCCAATCGGGGACGGTGTCCAAACCTAGTATATAATATGGCAGCAACAGCGCACATTTCACGACTAGCTGTAGTATTCCATGTTAAAATGCTCTTCTGCAGGCCCGCGGCCTTAAAAATCTTGAACATATATATATATATATATATATATATATATATATATATATATATATATGTATATAAATTAGGTATACATGTATAAATTATAAATATAAATTAGGTACATATATATAAAATTAAAATATATATAAAATTATATATATATATAAATTAGGTATAAATATATAAATTATAAATATAACTTAGGTATATGTAAAAAATTAAAATATACATAAAATTATATATATATATAAATTAGGTATATATATATATATATATATATATATATATATATATATATATATATATATATATATATATATATATATATATACCTAATATGCGTATGTCTGTATATATGCATATTATGCATAGCCTGAAGATGCAGTTGCTGTACTGTGAAATATGCCGTGAATTATTATAAGAAATACACCAAATTTTTGTATCTACAGAATATACTTGACAGGTGTTATGTAGCCGTCGGGCTACACGCAACAGCCTAACGTGATCGCACTTAATCGTCACAAACAGACCAAAGATGCCGTTAGCACAGCACTGCGAGCTTTTGGCACAGCATACTCAATCTGGTGTTAATCCAGATTCTGGTATATTTATAGTATGTGTCGACACCTACTAGTCATAACTTTCGAGTACCCAACGTTCAATTACCTGAATCAGGGACTACCTGCATAATATATGGACCATCAGCAGCAGGTTCTAAACTTAACCGCCAGGCTCGCTAACGCGGTAAGGGATGCAACTTCGATGGATGCGATCTTGCTCTACTCTGCATTAAACGGTGCATTTTTGCTATTTTATTCGTTTTCATATGCATCCATATATCTGCCAGGCATTGAATTTTCGATACATTAGACGATAGACATATAACAAGATTCTTAGATCCAACATAAATATACCTGAGCGCAGTTAATCTATCCGTGGATGATCAATGAAACAACTCACTCAGTGCACCAGCCGCGTGCGGCTGTGTATTCCAGACTCCCGTACAACCCACAGATCTGAGCTGAGTACCCGACCCTGGTTGTAATTAAGTACTCCGCCGCGTAAGTGGCGACACGTCTTGGTTGCGACTGCTAACAGTCAACCTATATACATATCAACTCATCCCCCGTAAGATTAACGACTCCGAGAATAACACACAACTGGCAGCGCGTCCGACCATCCGACATGGTGATATAACATTACTGATAACCAGCGGGTACCACACACTCGCGACCCGACCGGCGCAGGGCCGCAAAGGGAGAGCAATGTCGCACTTCTCTGTCAGGAGAGCCGGGGCTCGCCCGCTCCGCTGTGGCCGCCGCCGGCGACACAGTACACTCCCGAACGGGACCTGACACCCCACTATCGGCCGACGGGCTGTCCAGCGATCGAGCCCGCAGGTGATCAACGTGTCGCCGGAAGCAGCGGCCGTCCGGCAGCCGGACGTCACGCTGACGGCCCGATACCCCCGCCACCACCGCTGGCTGTCATGGCCGCTGATTGACCGCAGACACGTACACCGGGTCGCCAGTCTCGAACTGTTGCACCGCGGTCGAGTGCCGCCAGTATTTGACGCTCTCGTTTGGTGCGGACACGTTCGAGCAGGGCGGAGTCTGGCGGCAGCCGGGACAGGTGAATGGTCAGCGGGCGGCCGCGGAGCAGCTCCGCGGGCGACACGCCAGTAGTCGAGTGAGGAGTGGTCCGATACTGAAACAGGACCCGACTCAGGCGTGTCTGCAGCGACCCAGCATTCTGCTTCTTCAGACCGGTTTTGATCACTTCGACTGCACTTTCGCCCTAACCATTGGACTTCGGGTGCTGAAGTGGGGAGAACACATGTTGCACGCCATTATCGGTGAGAAAGCGACGGAGCTTATCACCGGTGAACACTGCCGCGTTATCGCCCACCACCACACGTGGCACACCATGCCCTGAGAAGGCTATCCGCAACCGTTCGATCGTCGCCTCTGCTGTAGACGCCGTCGTGGGATAAGCCGATATCCACTTTGAGTAGGCGTCCGCGATGACCAGAATCATCGCCCCATCGGCCGGCCCCGCATAGTCCATGTGCAGACGGTCCCACGGTGCCACCGGGTACGGCCATGGGCTCTCCGCCACCGGGGAGGCCTGGGGCCGGTTCAGCTGACAGGCATGACAGCTCCTCACGGTCGACTCGATGGCTGCGTCCATGCCGGGCCACCACACGTGCGTGCGTGCCTTTGACTTCATTGCCACGACGCCTGGGTGTCCCTGGTGCAGGAGCGAGAGCATCGCCTTCCGCAGAGCAGAGGGCACCACGATGCGGTTTCCCCAGAGAAGGATGCCATTCTGAACGCTGAGTTCGAGACGGCGCTGGTAGCATGGCTCCATTCCATCAGCTGCCGGCACCGTCCAGCAGCCGTCCATGGCTGCTTGATAAGCACGTGACAAAACTGGATCACGGCTCGTGCACCGGCGGATCTGATCGACACGAATCAGCTAGTCCATCGACTCCAGAAGACAGACGACGTCTCCGGGATCCGGAACGCTGGCCGGGCGGACAGCCAGTAGCAGGCGGCTCAGTCGATCGCCGTTTGCCTGCCGAGCTGAGGGGGCGTACACCAGCTTATACTGGCACACCTGCAGTGCGAGGCGCCACCTGGCTACTCTGGTCGACACCATGAGCGATAGCGGCTTGTCACTGCTTAGGAGGCCCAGGAGAGGCTTATGATCCGTTTGTATGATGAATTGCCGGCCACACACGAACTGGCTTATCTGTTTCACTCTGAAGACCACCGCCAGCCCTTCTTTATCCAACTGGCTGTAGTTGACCCCCGCGGCCGCCAGGCTCCGCGATGCGTACCTCACCGGGCGTTCCATTCCCGAACCGTCGATCACTGACAGTACAGCTCCGAGCCCGCAGGGGGTAGCGTCCACGGACAGTACGAGCGGCAGGTTCACGTCGTAGTGTGCGAGGCACGGCGCTTGCACCAACAGTTGTTTGGTGCGCTCGAATGCCGCGCTTTTCGCCTGCCCCCAGCTCCACCGCTGACCTGCCTTCAGCAGCCGATAGAGCGGCGCCGCCACGGTGGCCAGACTGTTCATGAACTTGGAGTAGTACATGAGCAGTCCGAGATATGCCTTCAGCTGCTTGGCGTCAGCAGGCTGTAGCGCCTCCACGATTGCCCGCACTTTTGCAGCTGTGGGATGGATGCCGTTGCAGTCGACCCTGTAGCCCAAGTATTCTACTTGTTTAGACATCCACTCACACTTGCTCGGGTTCAGCCGCAGACCAGCATCTAAGAGACGCTTCAGCACCGCCTCGACATTGTGGCAGTGCTCTTCATCGTTCCGGCCCGTGATGCACACGTCATCCAGGAAGACGGCAACGTATGACAGGCCGGCCAGCAGCTGCTTCATCATGCGCTGGAACGCCGCCGGAGCTGACGAGATGCCGCACACGAACCGAGTGGCGGCCATGAGGCCCCGATGGGTGTTTATCATGGTGCAGCGCTGGCTTGCCTCATCTAGAGGCACCAGCAGATATGTCTCTTTCAGGTCCAGTCTGGTAAACTTCTGACCTGCCGCCAGTTTTGTGAGGAGCTCATCGATTCTCGGTTGTGGGTATTGCCCCACTCGGGAGGTTTTGCTAACCGCCAGGTCGTAGCTCCCACACATTCTTACTGAGCTTTTGTCGCTTTTCAGAACGCTGACCACGGGCGCCGCCCAATCCGAGGTCTTCACTCGTCGTAGAATGCCCCGCTCGACTTGCTTATCCAGTTCCGCATTTACGAGCGGCAGCAGAGCCAGGGGCACGGGCCGAGGCTTGTAAAACTTCGGTGTGACCGGTGGGTCAATGTCCAGACTGACCGTTTGCGTGCAGGCGCCTCCGTCGTCCTGGAACAGCGCGCGGTATTGCTGAAGGTCGGTCAGCGGCGGTGCCATGCTGAAGATGCCTTCCTATGGTAGCCGCAGTGTGCAAGCCAGTCCCGGCCGAGGAGTGGAGCCCCGTCGCCGTGGACCACGAGTAGGGTCAGCGTGGACTGCTGCGCGCCACACTTCACGCGCGCTGTCAGTCGGCCGCGCACCAGCACCGCATCTCCCGTGTATGTGGTCAGTGACTCCTGGCCCGACTCCAGCGGAACACTCTCCAACTCCGTCCGCCACATGACCTCGCTGATCGTCGTCCGACTTGTCCCTGCGTGGACTTCAAACACCAGCGGCTTCCCGTTGACTTCCACTGTCGTCCTGTACGGGGGAGTACGGTTCGGAGTCATTGTGCTGCTCACATGTAACATGCTGTTTTCTCCATCCGATTCCGCGCTGTCCGCCATTGCAGTATGCACCGCTCTGCACACATTTCGAAGATGTCCCACTCTTACACACCCATAGTAGGTGGCCCGTCTGGGTGGACATTCCGGCGCTGGGTGACCGCGGCGACCACAGCGTACGCATGCTGCTCCACCAGCTGATCTGCCTGGCAGGCTGCCAAAACTCGCCGGCCCAGCCGCCGCCGGCTTTGCCGCAGTCGCCGTCGCCGGCCGGGATGGGCGGGGTCGTCGCCTCAGCCCTTCCGGAGGCGGCGCCGCCGGGCCGACCGCGTGCAGCGGCTCCGGACTGGGACTGACCGCTGCTGGAGCCGTCAGCGGGACTGCCTGTGGAGCGACACCGATCTCCTGCACATCAGCAGCTGCTGTCTCCAAAGCGGTCGCTATTTTTACGGTGGATTCCAGAGACAGGCTATCTCCCTCCCGCAGAAGTCGCTTCAACATCGCCCCGTTGCTTAGCCGGCACACAAATCTGTCCCGGAGCTGCTCCTCCAGGCGATCACCGTACGAACAGTCCCTTGCGACCCACCGCAGTTCCGCCAAAAACACTGACACTGTCTGTCCAGCCTGCTGCTCTGTCTGGCTAGACGTATATCGCGACACGATCACTGTCGGCCTCGGGGCAATATGCCTCTGGGCGGCCTCCGCCAGCTCCTCGTAGGTTCTCGAGGCGGGAAGCTCCGGAGCACAGATACTTCGCAGAACCGAGTGCATGCGTGACCCATAGACGATAGGAAATACTGTCCGTTTCCACGGCGCAGACGTGATGGCGTTGGCAGCCAGAAACTGTTCAAACCCCTCCAGATACTCTCTAAAGTCCGGGTCACTGTCACTGTACTCACCGATATTCCCAATCAGTGATAAAGCCATCGTGTGGCCGCCACTTCGAAAGCAAAGTTCACTATCCCATCCTCGTCGCCGTGGATGATCAATAAAACAATTCGCTTGGCGCACCAGCCGCGTGCGGCTCTGTATTCCAGACTCCCCAACAACCCACAGATCCGAGCTGAGTACCCGACCCCGGTTGTAATCAAACACTCCGCCGCGTAAGTGATGACGCATCTTGGTTGCGAATGCTAACAGTCGACCTATATACATATCACACACCTTGACCAATCACTTCGCACGCAGCAATCAACAAGCACTCAACAGCCGGTAGCCTAGGCCACAATATTCCCAACTGGCTCGTTGTGAAGTAACTGTATCATTACATAATTTTTGAACTGTTCATAATTTTCGTGAACGATCTGCCAGAACAAGTGCAAGGCGCGGTCAAGATGTTCGCGGATGACACCAAGGTTTCCTGTCGTGTCCCGAGGCCCCTGACTAACTCACCTCTGCAGGTTGGCCTCGACGCCCTGGCCAAGTGGTCAAAGGAGTTGCCGGTTCCCTTTAGTGCAGCAAAGTGCAAAATGATGCGCATCGGGAACTGCAACCCGAGGATGAGCTACTTCTTGGACCGCGCCGAAATCGCGGTCGACTCCACCGAGAGGGACCTCGGGATCTTTGTGGATTACCGGCTCAAGTTCCACGTGCAGACGGCGGAAGCGATCTCCGAGCTAGCCAGATGCTGGCGGTCGTGAGGCGGTCTTTTGCCAACATCGATGCTCGCACGTTGCCTTTGCTCTTTAAGATCTCAGTACGTCCGTACTTAGAGTATGGCAACGCCATCTGGGGCGCGTTCGGCAAACTGGAGCAAAGGCAGCTGGAGCGGGTTCTGCAACGAGCTACCCGGCTTGTTTATGAAGTGAGGCGCCAGCCATACCCTGAGAGGCTCAGACTCCTTCAGTTACCCTCGCCGTACTACCGTCGTCGCAGGGGAGACATGGTTACAGTGTACCAACTGTTTCACGGCGATATGTTGCTGTCGGAAGAGGAGTTCCTGACAAGACACAACTCGGAGGTGGCAAGAGGACACCGCTGGAAGCTCAGAAAACCTCGAGATAGGACTATTGTCCGTCGTAGCTCTTTCAGCACGCGGGTTGTCAAGGACTGGAACGCTTTTCCATGCCCGGTCGTGTCGACAACCTCAGTTGCACAGTTCAAGTCTAGGCTTGATATGTACTGAGCTGCCATTATGTATGACGTCCCACACTAAATCTACCCATAATTTGAGACTGTTTGGTTACCGGACGGGGAGCCTGACGAGGCCGGGACCTACAGGCCTAGTGACCTTTTATAAATCCCTGATCACCATAAGGCAAGGTAAGGATATTTTTGGACCACACAAGCTTAATCCCCGGTCGATGGCAGTAGATTGTTGTAGATTACTAAGCACAAAGTGATTTGCCCACTGCGCCATGATCACCGACAGTACTCGCGGCAGCATATTGGGCACCTCCCTTCTGTTCTCTTGCTGCGCGTTCCATTACGGGGCACGCCGGTTACCGACGTCCGGGGGATTGCACGTTATTGTGGGTAATGTAGGTACCTGTTATGTATAATTTTGTCACTGTTGAAATACTTCGACTGCTTGGCATGACTGATAAGAGTGTGGAGGCATTGGGGATTTCGGCCTGCGGTCCTGCGTTGAAAAGTAGAAATTGCACATAGTCGGTTTGTAACAAGTGTAAAACACCGAGTTTGAGGAGTGCGAAACTGTCAACTATAAATTGGGCCCAAATGTGGGACCAAGGCTACTACTCAAATGAATTAATGAGTTCTTATTGGTGTCATGTAGCAAACTGTGAGGGGATTACATTTTGCAACCAATAATTTGAGAGGCCCTTTTCAGCACTGCGTGATTTGGTTGATTATGGCCCTGCATTGACTGAGGCTAAGAAGCGAAGCAGGGCAGGAATATGTTTCAGAATGAGGCACAGGGCTATTATTTGTTGGTTAACATTGCTGGGAATGCGAAACCGCCATATGGCTCCATTGTCTGCTTGGATTGGGGTTATTGGGGTGCTGGTGGTTTAGTGATTAGGGCAGTTGTCTCTTGACCTATTGATGTTGGGTTTGGGCCCCTGTCATGCCATCACCACATCTCAGATGACACCTTGATGATGCAGATGTCTCCAAATGACTCTGGCACTCAGTGAAACATAAGCTAAAATTCTGTTCAGTTAATTAGTTAACTGATGTCGGAAGCTCCATATGGGTTGTAGTCACTGTGGTGTCAGTTCTTTTGCCTCTGGATGACAAAAATTCAATGCGTTTTCTGGCTTTTGGGGATGGCATCATAATTCAACAATCCATTTATTGTTGTCTTGATAATATATCTTTGGTATGGCATCTACCTGTCATACTTCAGAATGGGTAGTACCTGCTAACTTCTTGATCCAAGGTCACCAAATTAAGTGTGTGATGGAATATGCTTTAATACAGTATTGATCAAGTGTGATGGCAGTCTGAGGCATGTAGATTGCCATATTGCAATAGGAACTCCTGCGTTAGTACATCTTTGTATTTCTTGACCCAACTTATGCCATCATAGCCAAACCTTGCTGGAAACCCTGGGGGCTTGCTGGTAGTGTAGTGGTAAATATGTCTACATTAACCACTGAATATCTGGGAAACAAGAGGAACAGGGTTCAATTATCTGTGGTACCCACCCTTCCTGCTCGGATGAGAGGCAGGTGATGCCATGCAGCCTCAGCAGCTGATTGTATTGTAAAGCCCACATGACACACATACCAGAAACTCTGTAGGCTCACCAAACCATTGTCTATTCTGATAGCTCAGTTTGTTAAGAATACCTGCTATCCTATTCAGCCATCTATAGCATGGTGGGTTAAGTTACTCTAGGCACTTACTATTTTCCCCCAACTGAGACAACTTGCAGTCAGTGGCATTTGACCTGAAAATTTGTCATTACATAACATGATCAGAATGCATGCAGTAAGCACTGCTCACTGTCAGTGGTGATCCCAGAAATCCATCTAATCCAAGGCTTCAGACTAAATCTCTAAAGACTGTGGTGACATCCCAACACAAAGGATTGAAACCAGGTGCTATTTACCTTGATTCTATCAAATACACATGGATGCTATTGGCCATTTCTTACCTTTCAAGGAAACTTGGAGTATCTAAAAGTGAATTAAAGACATTCTCCATTACAAAAAGCACTCCCTTCTCTATGTCTCCTGTGATGTATGCTCCATTAGTGTTACTAGTAGTTGCAACATTTGGTACTTAAACCAGGCATCATTTGATGGTGAAACTATATCCTTACCCCACCACTCCACCTAAATTATATTGAGCATTCTCTGACTAGTTATTGGGAGTGGTGTCATGGTGATATGCATGGGGTGTGTCATTCTATGTACCTATCTTACTTCCATTTGGGTAGAATGTTGTCAGATCTGCTCATACCAGTGTGTCATGACCAGTATTGATTTTCTTAATCTGTTGAGTCATACTACATGGTAGGGTTTTTGTTGCAAATGCAAGAAACTCACACCATTGTTTTGCAATTTTCTGAGTGTTGTGCTACTAAGAACTTCATATAAATAGTACTGTCATCTGCTCATGCCAGTGTGCCATGACCAATATTGATTTTCATAATCTGTTGAGTCATACTACATGGTAAGGTTTTTGTTGCAAATGCAGGAAGCTCTCACACATTGTTTTGCAATTTTCTGGGTGTTGTGCTACTAAGAACTTCATATAAATGGTACTGTCAGTTTTCTTGTGTTTGATTGGCTGTGTCTCACAATGACAGTAAATTTGTCAACCCTGGTCTCACATTGTTTGTTTATCCAGGCTGCATATCTTCTGGTGCTTTCAAGCCCATTGTGGGTCTCTGGCATGCTGGCAGACTGAGATCAGCAAAGTGATGTGAGACTGGCTATAAGGTATGGGTGACAGGATAGCATGTGTTGTGTACTTGTGACAGTAATTCAAATCAGTGGGTAACATCGCACCAAGTCCATGTGCTCTGTCAATAAACAGAGCCTCTCCTTTAGCAGAGCCATGGACTTTGACACCAGCGCCGACCCAGCGGCCGAGTTTTTGGCTCGGGAGCAGGACCAGCTGGCTGGTATTGGAGACGACATCATTCCGCCGTCGACGCAGCCAGCAGGTGACGGTCCCGCCTGGCAGTGGCTGGCCAGCTCCGCACGTGGCTGGGCCGTGGTGTAGTCAGGCTGGCTGTTCCCAAACTGCTCGCCCCCGAAACCTCAGCCTTGCGGCGAAAGGTGGAGGTAGTGTACTCTTAGTTATTTGCATTCCCGGGGTCACTCTGATATGTGTATGGGTGCACTGCAAGGATGATAGTTTGGCACTGGTGATGTTTGTGACGTGCATCCACGTAGCAGCATGGTGCCTGCTGCCTGCCTTTATGACTCATTAAACTGCTGAATGGGCCTTTGATGCCTGATTCCTTTGCATGCCTGGTATCACAGCTTTGGCCAGGCTGTATGCCACTTGCATTGTTTGGCTTTCTTCATAAATTTTGTTCATAGTTGCTTTTGCTATTACAATATATGATCATGCTCTTTCACACATACATCTGCAACTTATGTAAGTTGTCTAGAAGACCTAGATGCTAGAATAAGTACATATCCAGTGAAGACAACAAAGTGGGTGCTAATAGTTCAGCTGTCTCACTGGCTGGAAGCACAGGGTTCAATCCCCCATGTTGCCCCCCGTCCTTCCAGGGTGAGAAGCAGACACAGCTATGCAGCCTGAGCTGCTGAGTGTATTGTAGAACCCCAGGAGCCAACCAACCATTAGAGACCATGGTTCTTTGCCTCATTTGTGTGATACCAACCTATCATGACTGTATGCAAAGTATGTCTTAAATATGTTATGTTTGTGCTTTTGCAGCCAATCATCTCAGAACAGCCTTCATCTTGTGGTGTTTGTGCGAGGCACCATTTCACTTAACTGTAAAGATGTGTACATTGTGTGCATTCTTCTCCTTGCAATTTGTTGTTGATTCATTTCTCTGGGAGTAAACTTTGCTGAGAAGAATTAATTTCATTTCATTTTCATTGGTTTATTCAGTAACAACATTTCGAAAATTACATTATTTTTTAACATTGTCCCATTTTCAAACATTCCCCTTTAATCCAAGTGTGGATATGAACAGTAGTATCAAGAATGATGCAAAAGAAGTGGCTCATGCCATGCGACCATTCCACAAATGCCTATTTACCATTATCTCATTCCAAGATGACGACCTGTTCGCGCCAAGCGCAGTGCAAGATGACCAAGGCTTCGATGTCATCGGCTCCGAGGCGCAGGGTGACATGGGCTTTGACCTGAGCGCAGGTCAGTCCGTGATGACAGGGTCGCCATTTTGGCATGCATTATTGAATCGATTCCCTCGGGATATGGTATGGGTGCCGCCAAACTGTCAAATATTGTAGCCAGTGGGAGGTGAGTATGGCGTTATAAATGAATAGAAACTACAGGAATATGTATTATCTTGAAACCATGTACTGCAATGCCTTATGGCTCGTCTTTGACAGTCATTTGGCAGCTGGCCAAGAAAGCCTGAGTGAGAGATGGACGGCTTCTCACGACCTTGCATCGCTGGCAAAATTACAGTGACCTGGAATTCTTCCACTGGGATGGTGGGGTTGGGTCGACTGGCGGACAAATCCCAGCTTACCCATGAAAGCATTTGGTCAACTAAAGAAGTGCGGATCGCGCTACATGCATATTTCTCATGAATGTTTGGCTGAGCAGGATGTTGGCTATCGTTTGGGTTCCTTGCATGTTGGTGGCCTTGCCTCTGTGATGTCTTCTGCTGCCGAGAACGCATTCATATCTCACAGCATGTTCTCAATCACGGCCTATTGTTTGACGTCGATGGGCACGCTGCTTGACGAGACTTCGGCAGGAAAACTCACAAAGTCCGGCGAACGTTTCGAACGTGCGTTGGCCACGTTGGCCCACCCTCAAGTGGCAGATACCACCGAGGCCGTCTGGACAGCCTCCGTCCGTCTGGCGCATGCTGCCTGAGTGGATCGTACGCGGGTCATCCACCGGGGCGTGTGCTTGTGTCGTGCCGTCAGCCGGGCTCAGTGTCGCTTGGTGCCGGCTGGTGCGTGACCAACTCGTGCGTGCTGGTCTTTCAGCGGCGGGCGACGCCGGTCCAGGTGGTGACGCCGAGGAAGCTCCCGCACCAGGTTTGTCCCGTTTCTGGCCTCAGAAGGCTTCTGTTTTTGCTGCCTGCGGCGGTCTGGTTTGTTTTTTCTCTTTTGCTATCCGTGTGCGCAACCCTGCTTATGCTCCTTTCCACGACATTGCGTTCGTCTCTGCCCAGACGTGGGTCTGGGCCCGTACATACTGGCAGTGACCGTCGAGTGCGTGTGTGCCGCCGCCATCTGCGGCCCTGGAAGACCAGACTGACCGATGAGCTTCGCCACCCAGCACTGGGCGCCGGCGCCGTTCCCGCCCACCCTCCGCACCAAGCAGCGTCCGTCGGGGTCGCTTCTTGTGGCGAGCTGCCGGACAGTGTATGCGCCCCGCGTCTGCCTTCGGCCGGCGCTGGCCGCGGCTCGGCGGACGGCGCTGTGCGCGGGCGTCTCCGCCGGTCTGACGGCTCCGCGCGCTGACGCTCCGGACGGTCCGCAGCTCCGGCGCCCGCCGCCGTGCCGACGCCGACCCCGGCGCCTCGTGTCGAGCCCGAGAAGATCCGACGCTGGCGCGAGGAGCAGCGGCAGCGACTCGAGGAGAAGGGTGCGTTCAGGCCGGCTGGGAGCGACAGTCGAGATGTTTCATGTTGATGACTTTGCGGCAGTTTGATGTCTCCTGCATGTTATCGTATTTCTTTCCATCGTCGTCGGCTTCACACGGACGTTTCCAAGAGTTGGAAGACGGAGAGGGTGGTGGCGGCTTGTCAGCCCTCCGGCTTGATGCTGCCAACGGGTTTGCGTGGTGTCAGTGGGACCTGGATCAGTTGACCGGCCGACGGGGCTCCTGACGCCTCTACTTGCCCATAGGCCGCGTGGTCACGTGAGCGAAGGTGCTGTGCTGGATCTGGGGGCGACTGTTTGTGCTGTGGCGTGGGTGTTCTGGCGCGTCTGTTCACGTGGCTCGCGCGGCCCCGCAGACGCCGAAGAGGAGCGTAAGAAGGACGAGTGGCGCGAGTCGGCCAAGAAGGAGTTGGAGGACTGGTACAAGCAGCATGAGGAGTCCGTCTCCAAGACGCGCGCCGCCAACAGGTGAGTGAGCGGACGGCCAGCGGGCCCTCACCAGGGGCACAGAGCCTAGCCCCGGCGAGGCGGAACGCTGCTCGGGGCTGCGCGCTAGTGGAGGCCCCTGCTTAAGACAGCAGCCTCTAGCTGCGGTGGCATAAATACTCTGATGCTGTTGGCATGTAGCTCCGTATATATATATATATATATATATATATATATATATATATATATATATATATATATGTATTACATTTACATAATTTACGCAAGTAAATATGCACATGATTTAGGCAAGGATTGGGGCTGGTTAGGGCTGCTCAACAGGGAAAGGTAAGTTTGGTTACAATCATTTCTTCCACTTTACATCGCAAGGCTAGTGGCTGTGATATGCATGAGTCAGTTTTAATATTTAATTTTTTATTGAATGTTGGGTGGCACACATGATGACCAGAACTGTATGCGAGTTTTGTTCAGCTGGTTGTACTGAATCTGGCGTCCGCGTACCGACAAGTGCTCTTCTAAGCCGTTTAGATTGACGCAGTCACTGGACTACCTCGCATAATGTAATGTAAACCTGCAACGTAAGTTTGTTCTGTGGTTCACTTATTGTGTAGATTTCATATTACTGCAGCCCATCACCGTGCGTTGTGTTTCACGCGTCCTATCATGACCATCTCCAGTATTTCGTTGACGTGTGTCCACAGCCGTGCCGCTTTTTCGTAATGAAATGCGTCTTTGTGTAGTTCAACACGGGTTCTGACAAGAGTTTCAACTGTGTTAGTGGACGCGAAGCTGAACACTTGTTTCATGTTCCAATGGTTGCTGGTTTCGCTATGTATTCCGGTGTACGAGCCTGAGTCATGGGCGCGGAAAACGCCATTGGCTTTTCACATGATGTGTTGCGCTTCTTTGCATTGCAACAGAGAGGCAGCGCTGTGAGTTATGCGACGGCCCTGTACCCGCCTGTCGCATGCACGCAGCGCCACTGGCAGACGCCCTGGTGGCCTTGCATGAGCTGTGCCGTGGGCATGAAGCTTGTCCATTGACGTAGATCGGAACAGGCAGTATTAGAGGAGTGGGATACCCCGCAGTGACGTCATTACGACGAGGCCGCGAAGTAGTAGATGATGACGTGCCAGGCAGGTTTTGCCGGTTAGAAAGGGCTGGCAAAAACTGGCAGGAAGTGGTGGAAACTCAACGACAGCGAAACATTTAGGCTGATTGAGCCAGACAGCTCACCAATGGCATGTTAACACTATGAAGCACATGATAAGCATGGTTGGTGTTGTCACAATACCGATATTGATGATGTAGTAAGTGCATGGGCTGGCAACAAAATTGCACGTTGCCAAACATTGTTTAAAAAATGCATGGAGCAGTGAAGCGACAAAATATCAAATATGTTTAACATCTGGTGACTCATGGTCCAGCATCGGCAACATGATAGCATCCATCAAAATTACAAGCCTGGATGAGACAGTATTAATAGGCCTTATTTCGATGAGAAAATCAGGAGAATGGAGATAAAGAAGGGTTGATATGTCGGCAACATGCCTTTATGGAACAATAGCAGAAGACTGGTACTGTTCTGCTATTGACTCGATAAAGGCATGTTGCCGAAATATCAACCCATCTGTATCTCCGTTCTCCCGATTCTTCATCGAGGAATAAGGCTATTACTACTGTTTTTGTTATAACATTATTTATGTGAATAATGTTCCCTGCAAACGCACTTAAAAACTTACGTAAAATTAAAAACCACGTATAAAGTTGATTTTGCAACAATGACATGATATGGCCGGATAATCCCAGATACTCTTGTCAATGTACACATCGTGCATACATATCATTATAAGGGCATATCATAAGAGTATATATATATATATATATATATATATATATATATATATATATATATATACATACACACAAAAGGCAGATGTCAAGAAACCGGCTGGCCTAAAACAAGATACTGTGTAATCACTGTAGCAATACATATGCAATGTAAATGCATGATGACAAAGCTAACATAAAGACCATCCTCTGGAAGTGGGCAGTCTTTAACAGCCATAGTCCAATTCACGTACTCGTCATGTTAGCAGCCCCTGAATTTTCAGATATCTGTCAAAAGACATACCACACTCTACCTCATCAGTGCATGTCAGAATGTAGTCAGTGAGGCGGCACATTATAGCTCCAAGCTGGTAGCGCGCTGCAGCTTCTGCGGAGGCGGTGGTCGCGTATCACCCAGGCCAAATGGGCATTGGTCATAGGATTCAGGTTCGGGTACTAGTTTATACAGACGTAGCCGGGAGGGGGGGGGGGGGAGGGTATCCTCGGTCAGCCTGGATGTTAGCGGTTTCATTTACACAATGGCTGAAACACTTGGGTCCCGCCGGGCCGTTTTTATCGATAGGTAAGCGAGCCACCTGGAACGATGCCGGATATCTCTGGAGCTCATCCAATTCCTGGACCGCATGCGTAGCAGACCGCTGGATGCCAGTAGTGTATGCCACCTCCATCGCGCGCTTGCGGCACGTGCATCGCTCGTAGGATGCAGTCGTGTGCACGTATGCCGACCGCGAGGAGCGGCTGTGCGTTTTCCCCGCTGTTCCGTGGACTCACCGCGCCGACGTCGGGCTGTGCGGGCCGGTGTCGGGCTCCTTCGCCCCCGCCGCTTGTTGGCGGCGTGGTGTGCCGACCGTGGTTAGCATCGCCGGGCTGTGCGGGCCGGCGGCCGGCTCCTTCGCCCCCGCCGCTTGTTGGCGGCGTGGTGTGCCGACCGTGGTCAGCATCACCGGGCTGTACGGGCCGGCGGCCGGCTCCGTCACCCCCGCCGCTTGTTGGCGGCGTGGTGTGCCGACGGTAGCCAGTCGCCGACACCCTCCAGCGAGCGGGCGGGTCCACGGACCGGGCGGCCGTGCGAGGTCGCGTGGGGCCGGACTGGCCGACGTTGGGGCAGTCGCGTTCAGAGGCCCCGGCGCCTGGCGGGGTCTGCCGGCCGGCAGTCGGCGCCAGCAAGACCGGGACACGCCACTCGCCGGCCCATACCGAGGCTCGGTCTGTCTCGCGCGGGGTCGAATAAGGTTGGCATGTGTTGGATGGTTATGGGGGTTTACCTTGAAGACGCAAGTTTGGGCAGGTGTTTGGCAGGTGCCGTGGACTGAGGCATTTTTATTTTCGTGACTTGGATTTCATGGGATAGAGCACAAATCGTGGCTATGGCTAACGATGCAAGGACTCAGTGGGATTGAGTCACGTGGGGATCGGGAACAACACTCGCACGATGGCTGGTGCTCTGTTTTTTTCTTACCAAGCATTCCAAAGCTGTTTATGACTAGCTTTCCTACATATCGTAGAACATGGCGACACGTAATGGCCTGCGCCTGCTTCCGGCTCGTGGATCGGGAAGCCATTTTGGATCGTTGTGGCGGGTGGGATATTCTCTCATTGTTTCTGAGTGGTGCTTTCATGAGGAGCCAGTCTTAGTCGTACAGCTGGCATTTCGTTTGTATTGCTTTACTTTGTAGACCTTCACGGAGCCGCTCATTGTGTTGCACAGTTTAGTGTTTCGTCTCGTACGTTATCGTTGATGAGCCTTCACGAACATCGGAAGTCCGTGCGGTATGCATGTTAGTCCAGAGCAGAGAAGCAAACTCCCGTGGTGGAGTTATCCATTCATCACGCTGGATGACCCTGTCGTCCAAGGGAGCTGCAGTGTTTACCGAAGGGGCCCTGGACGGACGTGCTGTCGCTGATTGTCATTTGTCCTGGCCGAGCGTGTTGTGGGCTGGCCCGACTGTGGCGGGTCAGGGCCGTCTGTGCCCACTGTAGACGCGCCGAGGGGCCGACGCCGCCGTCCGCACCGTGGACAGTGACGGCCACGTGTCCACCGAGAGCCGCTCCGTTGACCTGGGCTCTGCCGCACCACCAGGGCCGCTGAGAAGGAGCTGGTCAGCGGGGACAACAAGTCGACCGAGGCGGCCGCCGACTGGGAACAGATCGCCAAACTGTGCGAGTTCAACCCCAAGGTCAACCGCAACACCAAGGACACGTCGCGCATGCGCAGTCTCATTTTGCAGCTGAAGCAGAGCCCACCAGTGAAGTCCAACTGAGCGCGGCCGTGCGGTGGCGCAGCCCCGGGCTACCTGGGGCATCGGCCGGCATGGCGGTGGCCACCAGCACGCCAACCCGCGGAACTGACGGGCGGCACCAGCAGGCTCGCCGAGGACGTGCGTGGGACGTTGTTATCTCATCTAGCTTTTGGTGGATAGCCGTGCGGTCGAGGCGGCGCGATGGTGGCGCCCTCTGGAGTATTGTACCCGAATCACGTGAACTAGAAGGCATAGCTACACCCGTCGTAATCTGTTGGTGAGCCCAGTGTTTCCTTCATGCCTAGCGCGTGCGTCGTCGGTTAGTCTCAACTGTTCAGCACGCTTGCGGCTGTTCTGTTAGCTGGCTTAACATGCCCAAAGTGTTTGTGCATTCAAAACACGTAAAGATGTGTACATTCCTTAACTACATTACGATGTATGACAAAATATATGCGATGGTTAGCAGCGAAAAAACCGCCTCCGTTCAGTGTTCTTTGACGGCCAAAATTGTGCTTTGCAACCGCTTACAAATTATCAAAGATGACGCATTGGGGAATTTGGGAAAGGTAGTACGCTTGCTCCCAGTTCGTGTAGGTCTTTACGGTGTTTGCCAAATGGCCACCGGGTCACTAACCATTGAGGTGGTATGTCGAGTGCAGAGCATGGTGTAGCGAACGTCACTGATGCTCGCTGTTTTTTTATTGGTTTTCTTAAATGTGCTGTACTTTCAATACAGTGGCGAAAAGCCGAGAAAGCCAATCTTACAAGGATGTAGCATCCTTGTGGATAAATTTAACTACATTCCTGAGCACGTGCATTACGGAACTGTTCATTAACGAGACATTACTGCCGCGGCATTTATAGACAATTGCGACGAACCTGTTTTTGGACAGTTTCGTACCACGATCGATACATTGACTGCCACAGACTCCCTTGTAGACCGGGGCGAATGCAATGGCGGGTGCTGATCATTGCTAAATAACGGTATCTGGAACGAGACAGCAACACGTGAAATCAGACTCCGCAAAAATATCGGCAAGCAAAACATCGGTACCGCAAGAGCACCATAGCATATCTTCACAGCACGGCATAGCATCATAGTGTAGTGTCATAACATAACATAGCATCTGACTTTCTAGTAAATAAGGCTAAAGCGTGCCGCAAATGTTTCTGGCGGGTGCGGCACCCCGCAAAGGATGGAACGGCGGACGCGTGCTGCAAGTGGCGGCATGTATCCAACACCAGTCATACCAGGCCTACGGCGGAATACCAGGCATCTGTAGGCGATATTCCCTGTTTCTGGGGGCGGTATACCATTCATTACGACGAGGTTATCAGGTCTTCAGACTGCATACCAGGCCTTTATGAGTGTCTTGCCGGTCCTGCACATATGTAGGACTATACCGGTCCTGCATAAAGTCAGAATGCCAGGTACTTGTGTGTCGATTCCTACTCAGGTATTGGCCTATTAATATGGTTGCGCGTATACCGTGTTGAGACGCAGTGGAATGATATACCAGTTGTGCCTTTCTCTTCATGTACCCGCGTGTTCATGGAGATTTCGGACGCGAGTGATGGTCACTGGCATAACTGGAGATTCCCGACATCGTTTGGGTTCACGCGAGATTGTCTAACCGTTTTCAGTCATTGTGACGGACTAAATGTGGAAGTCTTTGAGTGCTGGGTTGTGCAGCCTACACCATACGCACTACAGATCTGCAAATAATCTACGCTGTAGGCCTTCCCACCAGCCCGGGGTTTCCTGCCGTACCCATAACTGCATTATTGGTTTAAATCGGTTTAGGCGGTTGGTAATATTTTTATATCATGCCGCTCCAAAATGATGCACAAGAAACCAGCTGTCAGTGCCTGACATTCCGGCTGCCAATACATGGTACGCAGCTGCCGTTACCTGGTACGCAACTGCCGATACCTGGTATGCAGCTGCCGATATCTGGTATGCAGCTGCCGATACCTGGTATGCAGGTGACAGTAATCAGGTGTGCAGCTCATAAAGGCCCGATATACCTCTCACTGATATGCGTCATCCCACCCAGAGACCTGAACAAGCGTGATGTGAAATGTTATGACACCTATATGGGGCCTGGCATGACGCCCATGGAGGCCTGGCATGACGCCCATAGAGATCCGGTATGACGCCTATGTGGAGAATAGGCATGACGCCCATATGGAGGCCAGGTATGACGCCCATATGAAGACCAGGCACGACGCCCATATGGAGACTTGGTGTGACGCCCATATGGAGGCTTGTTATGACGCGCATAAAGGGGCTTGGTATGACGCTCATGGAAGCCTGATTATGACGCCCATGTCGAGGCCTGATATGTCGCCCACGGAGGCCTGGAATGACGCCCATGGAGGCCTGGAATGACGCCCTTCCCAGGACCCAGACATTAATGGCCATCGGTGGGTGTTACCGCGACTTAAGCGCACGCCAACGGTGAAATCCTTGTCCGGGTGCTGTCATACTGGAAACAGTTACAGAATCTTTGAACTTAAATGCAACATCAGTCGAAAGTAACTATTAGCTGTGTCGACATTTCACGGCGTCGATATTTTACGAAGTCAGCTTTCGCCTGTCGATATACTGTCCTGTTACCCCAAAATAACGAAGCCAGGGCCAGAGGCGAACGCCAGAGAACCAACCGCAGGTACCATAAGCTATTCATCACCGTCGCAGGGGGCATGGTCCTATTATCAGTCGCCCTCCACCCTGGTTCCGGCAATGCTTGCGATTCTTGCGAGCCGCTGGTGGTTGCAGATTGAGTTGTTCCCTGGCGTAATGCGATATAACAAATGTAAAACCAGTATGTGTTCATGAGCAGTTACCTCCCGGTCGGCGGGGGCAATGTAATGGACACCGTTCAGCCGTTCTGCTGTTGAAACTGCTGTTGACTTGGTGGCCTAATGAAGTTCGTACGCCATGGTTTGCGAGGCTTGCCGCTGGTAAAGGGTGGGGTATAACATCCAAAAATAAAAGCAGCGGGACGAGGCGGGGGAGGGGCGAACCACGGTTATGAAGGATGGAGCCACATGTTGCGGCGTGGTGATTCGTCATCCGCCTACTCTATTTGCTGCAGAGCGAGTGCTGCTCCCTCCATGTATGCAAATGTACCAGTCGCATGTATTAGCAGAGCTACAAATCAACACACATCGCGGCGCCACACAATGGGCTAAGGTGACTGACATGGCGGATCGATTCCGTCGAGCCGCGCAGCCAGGCACCACGCTTTACAACAGGTTTCGCGAGACTGCGCGGGCCCGGGGCGATGTCTATACGCAGACATGTGCCTGGAGCCAAAATAGATCCCGGGATCCCATAAACATGGAACCCGTGGGATACGGGATCCACCCTTCGGATCCAGGCACGTGTCTTATCTACAAGCCCTGCTGCTTCTGCACCAGCTGCGCGAACCGGTTGGTGATGGTGAGCGACACGTCGACGAAGCGGTCGACGCAGTTTCCCAAGCAGCTCTCTTGCCGGGAGTCGAGCTTGCTGGACGGCTTGTCAACGCACCGCTCCCAGCAAAGGTCATTCAGCTTGTGTACCTGAGGTCAGTCCCACAAATTGTCGGAAAAAAAACGTCTGGTTATTACACATCAGGTACGTCTGCGCTTGGTCCTACCTGAGTAAGATTTCATGGCCAAAAAACTTCACTTTGTGCATCAAGAGGGGTGTTAACCAGGGTAAAACCATGCCATCTACGCTGGTTAAGTGTGAGCCCAAAATTACATCGCTCCTGTGTGTTATAGCAATTGGTTCCACGGAAAAAAGGGGAAAGGCGACCAAAATACTTACCTGGGCTTGAAACTGAGCTTTCTGCTGTTCCATCATCAGGAACTCTTGGAGTTCTTTATCATTCCCTGATCCGGCCGTGCCTGGAGAGGCAGCTGGAGTAGATCCAAAGGCTGGGCTTGACGGGTAAGAGTCAAAAGAGCTCGGTCTTGATGTTCCAAAATCCATCTCTGGTGACAGATAACCCAGATATCTAAAACAAAAACCAGGATTTCTTTAACCATACATTACGAACGCATCGCGCTCATCCCCCCCCCCCCAAAAAAAGGGACGGAAGTGTGGTGGTTAACGCGTCTGCGTTAACCACTGCACGTCTGGGAAACCAGAGGTATGGGGCTCGATTCTCCGCGGTGCTCGCCGTTCCTGTCAAGGTCAGAGGCAGGCGACGCCATTTAGCCTCAGCAGCAGGGTGCGTCGTAAAGCTTCTCTCTCACACATATAAGATATACGTACACACACCAAAAAGGCACCTTCTCTAAAACACCACTGACGTTATTCTCGACTGTTGGATGCATTTTGGTTAACATGACAAAACAAAAATATGTAGAAAAAACATCTTAAGTATATTTTTTCATCAGTGATCACGAAATAAGATAAGTGCGTTTACTTAACCAGTTTTAAAGGATGGGAGATGTGTCTGGGCTTAATACCGCTACGGTTAGAACAGCACCTGCCGGACAAATGTCAGGAGTGCTACAAATGACAAATGGAACAGCACACTACATTTCTCACTCGCCTTTGGGAGGAACAGCATGGGGATTGAGATTCAATTCGTGCTTAAAAGACTTATGAGCAAAAACACGCTGGCGTAGTCTTCGGCCCGAAAGAAATAACCATTAAGGAAAGTAACACAAATCCCACATCGTGAACTGGCATAGAGCTCTTGTGTTACAGATTCTTCTCATGTTATCTGATACCCCACATCACTATTGCAGACCGGGGACCCAATGAAGTGTATGGAGTCTGGAATTCATCACTTTTCAAAAACAAGACAGCCCAATCGCATCACCACAGGCCTGCAAAACGAGGACTGTCATTTGGGATAGGTAGCCACATGTCACTAGCATAATGTTTTCAGTGTCATCCGCAATAAACGGTTTTCATGAGAATTGGTATCGTCAATCATCATGTGCATAAGCTCGGATATAAAAGCCCGGACACAATTGAAAAGTGCGCCAAAAGTCGGCATTTCGACAACTACTCATGGCGCAGTGCTACCGGTCGTTCTTGGTCCATCCCGCACGAACACACTCATGTCCCGCCGCTGTCCACGTTGCTGGCATCTGGGCATACCGCTTACTCATGTTGCTGAGCATGCGATTCCTGGGGCGGCTTTAACTTGTGCTGGAGCGTTGTTCTACTCAGCAATCGCACGGAAATTAGACCAACGTCGGGCACGCTCAGTTCGGACGCGGGATACATTGTAAAGTCAAGCCATCGACGGCCCGCACCTCTGCATGAGACGTCCGCACGGTACTCCGTCTGGCGTCTCAACCTGCCGCACGCGTGCTCGCTGTGTAAAAGGCAGCGCTGCATTGGTATGTGTCGCTCATCTAGGAGCTGCACCGCTACTGACCACTCCAGGTCCCTTAGCGCGGGCGCGACACGGCCGTGTCATCGGTACAATCCCTGCAACGTGGTGAATTATCCACTGAATGCGCTTATGGTAGGCCCCATTGCAACGACCCAAGGCCGTTGCGAAGCATCAAGGGTGAGGAAATCCGAGTTACTCTCGAACGTACATTCACCTCTTCTGATAGCTGACGTGACAACAAGGACAAGCCCAGTAAAGCTGCGTTAGCACGCCACACTTTTGTCGAAATATGGCTCCTAACTTTGAAATGTTTGCCTACTACGAATCTGAGAATTTCAGCAATGGCTGAGGATGGCAATACTGCAACATTAAAATGAGCAGCGAAGTGTCAGGTGGCAACCCTTTGTCATAATGCTACTACGAAAAGATGGGGTTTGGTAGGTCGAATATCGTTTGATGTGGAGCTGGTATGTATACTCAAGGACTGGCAGGTGACAAAGATTGCCAAAGTGGAGGAATTGTATTATTTGCACATACAAATTATCCTGATGTCTGTTTTTACATCATCACTAGTATAGCCATATACTAACATAATAGCACACATTAGTATAACCCATACACTTTAAAAAATTGGACTGTGACAGGGGCAAAAACTAGACCCAGCACAACACCGTGCATGTTCGGGACAGCTGTGCGTACACTGCCTGACCTTGGTGTGGGGAATCATCTCAGAAATTCATTAACTGAACTGAGTTCAAGGGTTTGGACCAAGATAACGCCAGCACATCCCCAGAACTAATAGAACCATCAAATCTGCATACATTTAGCTGTAAATGAGGTTTTAAAACTTCAAAAATTCAATCCTCTGCAATTCACAACAGTTTTCAAAATTTTGTTTAAGCATCTTCTGTGATATGGAATCAGTAAATGCTACTGAGTCTTCTTCTGTTTCCATCAAAACACAAAAGGTGTTCAACCCACCTGTGTGCTATTGAGGTTCAGACAACAATGACACCAGTGGTGGTTATGCACATGCATGATTCTACAGGGGCATATCCCATCATCAAGCTCACAGGCATACCTATTGGTTTGGGAGTAACAAAAGTGGTACTTTCATATACATGAGTAACATATTGTCAATCAATGTCTGCTTTTCAAAACTGTCACACATCTCTTTTCTCATGAACAGACAAGATTACAGCTGGCAGGCATCTCAATAGGCATCTGATAGTGTCAGTAACAATCTGATTCAGGGACAAATGCTTGTCCAAATAAGGTGGTTCAGGAAACTCTATAAAGCAACAAAGAGAAATGGTCCAGTTTATAGTTTTATTTGTTGCATAGCAAGGTAGGTTAATTGCTGCCTCCCTGGGCGATTGCCCACAGTTGCTAAACACACTGAGCTGGGTGGCCCCATATTTCTGTGGTGCCTTTATTCACTGTTGTTTCATGATCTGGAAGATGACTGCAGGACTGAGAGAACAGCAAAACAGCTGATGGCAGCTTCTGAGAGCAATTTCAACCAGATAGTGAGCAACCCAGTAGTCATTTGGCACAGGGTCTCTCCCACCATTTTTTGTTTGGGATAGTTAGATAAGAATTCTGCCATTCTGTGGTTTACAGATTGCTACATTGTTAACATGTCAGCTTGGAGCCATATCTGCAATATAATTTACAATGTCTACTGAGGTCAGTTGTTTGTCCCATAGTGGACAATTTTGCATTAGACCTAGTGATCAGTTAAGTACAGTTTCCCTCAAAATACGACGTCATTGCCACAAGCCGCACAGGAGGGCTTTCAAACACTGTTTTTTTATTTTGCCGGCAGGAAAATCTCGATATAATTCCTACCTTATTGCAATTCCCACTCTTTCAGGCACGGCTAAAACAGCCTCAATGTTTCACACCGGTCCCTGGATCCAAGATTTGCTCATCAGGAAGGGTAAGGCCTCCATGGGGGAGAAAACAAAATTGAAACGAGAACCCCAGGATGGGCAGGTGTCAAGATTACTATACTATACCTGCTAGTGCGCGGTCCCTGTGGTGTAACCGGTGTAAGCTCCACACCAATCGCGCAGCCCTCTCGCGTCCCCCGCGGAAATAAACGCATTGCTAGTTGTCGCAAAAGCGCAGGTTTGGCGTGGTTTTGTGTTTTTTCGCCTTTTCGGTTGCGCTGGTTTTTCTGTGATATTAATATTCAGTGGGGTGAACGCGAGGCAGTGTAAATGGTGGACGTGTCTTGGGATTACCCTCAGGCCTGTGTTTTGGATTGTATTGGCTAACTAGTAGTACTGAATCTTCTTGTGCGGGGCGGGTGATAGTCGCCTTTGCATAAAGGCTTGACAGAGAAGTCGAGCGAACAAATTAACGGAGAGGTATGCATGATAATGCATTATGATCATACCTATGGCTGGGCGGTGACTGACACCCACATCCGATATTGCCTTGTATTGTCATTAAGGCGCTGGAGCCTTGAGACAGACAACATAAGGCTGAAATCTGGAGGCCCTGTTTTTTGGTCATGGGTTTTAAACAAGCCATGTGATGAGGAATGATTTGTAGTACATGTTTCAGACTATGGTCTTGGTAATTGTTCTGTGTGAGATTTTTTAACATTTAACATAACATTACTGCATGAACTGCACTTCCTTTCCAAATAAAACTGTTTATAAGAGCACATTTAATGGCTTTTATTTTTTCCCAGCCAGCAAAAAATATGTGTTACTCCAAGCAAGTTGGCATAGCAGTGACACAATTGTAAATGTGCTAGTACTTATTCTTGCCATATTGCCATAAACCTAACTGTTCAGAGTCAGCCACTTGGTTTTCAGCTGTTTCAACACAGAGAGCCAAACATCAGGCAGTTTGTTGTTATAGCCTAGCATTTCAGTAAATTTGTTGTAAAGGTACTATGAGTCAAAAATCCTTCAAGATATTATCTGCACAAAGATAACTTGAAAACTCAAAACCAGCTGACCAAGCTGGAAGCCACATTAATTGTAATGATGGAATGGTTTGAAATGCATGTAGCAGGTGATATATGGTCTAAAATCACAGCTAAGCCTCAGGTTTTGACTTTTTAACATTTGACTTAGCACTGTGTGACTTTTGACCAGCGAGTTGGAGTTTTTTTGCAGTCATCAAAGTTTTGTGGTTGGCTCAACAGCTCACATGAGTGCTATATGCCCTTTTACAGATGGCTATGGCTATGATTGCTTACAGCCTTCTGCCAGAGTTTGCTTGAATATAACATTTGATGTACAATCTAATGTTTTGTTGTTATTGTATTCTAACTTTATAATTTAAGATGTCATACCTTAATCTCACCACATGTGACAGGTTGAAAATGATGTAACATGGTTATGCCTTGAAGGTGCCCTTCACCAAGCAATTAAGGACTGTTTGGTGTAATGTTCTTGAGGTGTGTGAGAACCACATAATAGGATGCAATATAACTGGTTCTTGCCTTATAGACTGAATTAGGTTGAATTTGCATCCATGTGAAGTTTAAGTGTGCACTAACAGCAAATGTTCATGCAAGCTTTTTTCCACCAGAATGGCATCTATGCTGCCTCCTGATGTCATAGAGGAGTATGACCCCTACAAGGAGGAGCGTCTTGGAAGGGTTCGTGAGGTGGGAAACCAGGCAGTTTGGAGCCTCTCTACTTGTAAACCAGGTATGGCTATGCAAAATTGAAAGACCTAGGATTGTTTTTGTATTTACGTGTTTTAGACTGGTATGCTGCAAAGCATTAGGTCCACAGCCTTTGCATGTGCTTATGGGCACAAGATTGGTGTAGTTTGCACCCTGGGGCATATCACCACATCTCTTAATGTCTAATGGCATGAAGAGATGTGCGAATTGTCCCAGATGCCTTTTGGCTGGAGGTACATAAAGGTGTAGCAAACTTACCTACATGTTTTTTCATGTGTTATTCTACACCTTTGAATTGGTGGATTTTTATTGGTGCCCACACTAAACAGCACTTGTGTGAGCATTTGCCCTGATACCCAATCTCTCCCACTAATGTAATGTCATTTTGTTCTGGTGGCAGGTTTTGGTGTTGATCAGCTGAGAGACCACTGTTTGGAGACCTACTGGCAGTCAGATGGGCCACAGCCACATCTCATCAACATACAGTTCAAACGAAAAACAACTATACAACAAGTCTGTATCTACTCTGACTTCAAGCAAGATGAGAGCTACACACCAAATAGGTATGCTGCAACCTGTTGCAGTACTGCTCAGGCTGCTTGCATTAATGTCACAGCATCCTTGCATTTTGCAAGGCTGTTTTGATTTCCAGTTCAAGAGTGTTCCACAACATTGGGTATTCAACAGTGTTAACAAAAATCCTGGTTTTCTGGTTTTGAACCAATGGATGATGATGTTTGTAAAAGGTAAGTGGTGTTGTCAGACCCTGAAAGTGGGAAAATGTCTTGTCATACTTCTGAAGTGCATACAGCTAGTGGTCCAAACTCAGGGCTATCCTGCTGCATGACCTACAGCAGTTGATGCGCCCTACCCTTCCCCCCACACACACTCAGGGTTATCTTGTGTATCCAAACTGTGTCTTGAATGCCAGGGTAGTTGCAGTTTGACATGACTTAGTTACAAAAACAATGATTAATCATGTTGAAACCCATAAATTGTAGCAAATCGAGATGACACCTAAGGCCATATGACAGACCATGCCACATAGATCTAAATATATCAAGGTTTCAAGGTTTTTCAAGGTTTAAGGATATCAAGGCCTGAGAAGCATTGTTACAGGAATTGATAGAGCATTTACAAGCTCATTCCCCATGTCACTTCACGACGCCGTGCTCAGTAGCGCATGTTTCTTATTGGAGGCTCCCGCGCAGTTCACGGGCCGCCGTTGTGCGATGCGTCCGCCGTCGCGCCGAGTTTTGTGCCGTGCGCCCTCCCAGTGCGTCTCCGCGTGCGCGCGCAGGGTGTCGATCCGAGCCGGCACCAGCTTCCACGACCTGCGCGAGCTCGAGGTGAAGGAGCTGACGGAGCCGTCCGGCTGGGTGGTGTTCGCGCTGCGCGGCGCCGACGACCGGCCGCTGCGCACCTACCACGTGCAGATCGCCGTCATCACCAACCACCAGAACGGTCGTGACACGCACATGCGCCAGGTGCGCGTGCACGCGCCCGTGGAGCAGCGCGGCGTCATGGTCGATCCGGTCGGCAGTTTTGTCAGTGTCGAGTGCTCCCAGTTTGCGTGCGTGCGATAGTGGAGTGCGGCGGCGGCGGACTGTCTGGGGGACCCGGGCTCCGGCACGGATCTGCAGACTGCATGACCTGATGTCGTGCGGTAGGCTGGGCTCGGGCGGACCTGCGGACTGTGGTCGGCCTGTGTGGTCTAGTGTCGTGTTGTTGGCCATTATCGGGTACGGACCTGCAGGTCGTGTGACCTGACTGTGGTCTGGTGTGCGGTTGGCCAGGCCGGAGATGGATCTACAGGTGTCACCCGTGGGGAGACGTGTGGCCACAGAGGTGATGTGATGCCATGTCAGGAAACTGGTCTGTGAGAAGACATTCCAGTACTTGATGTTATCCACCCATTTTTGTGCACCAGCCGGCATGGCTTTATGCAGTATGACTTATTCAGCTCAGCGTTTAGTAATTAAAAAAATGAAGTCTACGCATTCGCCGCCGTTGCCAGTCGCCTCTGTCGCCTAAACATGTTCTGGTTGCGCACCGATTGCTGGAGTGTCTGGTGCTCTTTTCACTTTCAGATTATGTTTGCATCACCTTTGTCATCTGCTGGTTGAGGACGTGTTTGTGTATCGCCAGGTTTTCTTGTATTGTCCGGAAGCAGCTGAAAGATAATGGCATTGATGGCAGTTGCTTTGTGCTACAAATACGAGCATCTGCATTCTTCTCCAGAATAAAAAGGTTAAGAACAAGTGCAAACTGATAATGAAGGTATCTTCGGTGTATTTGGCGAGTGGGATATTCAAAGCACTCACCTGGTTGGCGCTGTGGGCGCTGTCGCTTGACATCACCAGCGATCTGGTCAGACCGCGGCTGCTAAGCCTGGTCGAGTCCCTGCGAGATTAGGGTCCCGGCAATGCTGAACTTGAAGCGCAGACCGTATGATCTCGGTGCTGAAGAAAACCAAGCGTTTGAGGGCCTCATTTCAGCGGCGGAGGTGATCGTTATTAATAACAATACTGCCAGTGGTGATCAACACCTATTTGCCGGCATCATTTATCGGAATTTTGATCCTCGCAACATTCCGTGAATGGGCGCGGAGGAATTCGAAGGCTTGTCTGGGTGGGCACAACCCGATATCGCAAGCGTCGTTTGACTGAGACGATCTTATCCGTCTCTGATCCTGACTGCTTCCTGCCTCTCTTTGGCCATCACCATACCTTAGCGAGGCAATCTGACAGGAAGGCATCGCAGCGGCGACGGATGGGTACTAGGGAACAGACTGAGGGCGTATTTCTCGAGCGATGCCATGGACACACGTCCCCAGTAGAGCCGGGGCAGACGGCTAGACTGCGCCGGCCTTGCTCCGCCGGGGCAGAGTGCGGCGGGGCGTAACCGGACCGCCACTTGGTCAGCGGCAGCCGGCGACGGGGCTTGCGGGGTTGGTTTCGCGGCGCGGCTGCCGGCAGTGCACTCCTGCCGACAGAGGCAGCGGCTGCGGGGCCGCAGAGGCGCGGCCCCTGTGCGGCCCCGCCTCCGTGCCGCACAGGGGCCGCGGAGGCGGCGGCTCGTCCGGGCCCTGCCTCTGTCGGCAGGAGTGCATGTGGCGGCTCTGCGGATGGCTACGGCGCACGACCTAGGCACGGTCCGGGTGCGGCTGGACCTGGACGGGTCGCTGTGTGTGGCTGAGGTCCACGGACTATTTCGGTATGGTATGGATTAGAGCCCATTCATAAAGTTATAAAGGCATGAGGATATCAGGCCAACAAAGAGCCACACGGGCCTATCGAGGTCGGCCTACCTCAGATTTCGCGCACATCCTTGACACTAATCTTACTACCTGACCTGCCTGAATTTATCTATGAATGATATCTTTAGACCAATATAATAGACCGGCAGAAATTGTCCAAACGATTTTTAAACGTTGCTGGATGGGGACTTCCTACAACTTCGTTTGGCGGTCCATTCGATGGGTTTAGTACTCTTTGACTCAATGGCATTGGGCCATTCAAAGTAATACTCCTTCCGTTTGCTAATCGAAACTGGTTTCCTCTTGGTTGCGGGCCAATTTCCAGTGCTCCTTGCAAATCTACCCTGTCTATCCCTTCCATAGTCTCGAATACCTCTATCAGATACCCTCTAAATGTACGATATCTCAGTGAATACAAATCCAAGGCCCTAAGCCTATTCTTGTATTCCAAGTTGCCAATCCCATTCATCATCCTAGTTGCGTCTCGCTGTCTCTTACCAGCCCATACATATTTTCTTGGGGACGAGGCCAGTATTCAATGCTCTAGGCGTGAACTGACATAAGCTAAGCACAACTTCTTAACAACATTCCTTCTCTTGTAACGGACAAGTCGCCAATCATCCTAGCTACGTTTTGCTGTCTCTTACCAGCCTGTGTATATTTTCTTGGGGACCAAGCCAGTACTTAATGCTCCAGGCGTGATCTGATATAAGCTAAGTAAAACTTTGACAACATTCCTTCTCTTGTAACGGATATTCCTATTAATAACATTCCCGTCTGACGGCCTCTTCAGGGCTGCGGGATGAATGAGCGTGGGGAGGGATGGGGCATGACCACGTGCAGCGAATCCACCGCTGCCAGGACTTGCTCCGCACAGGGAGCCAGTTTGGGGTTTTGTGGGAGCTGGGACCGCGAGGGGAGGGGCACCGAAACCCACTCACGGCTGATGCACGCGGCTTGCTCCGGAGATGAGGGTTTCGGAGATCTAGTAAGGTGCATGACGAGGTACGAGGTTAGAAGGGCTGATGCCCAGACTGGCTCTTTAGTCAGGTTCAGTGTCTGCGTCAGCTCCTGTAAAGTATGTCGCTTGTCAGATGAGTGACGTCCAGAATTCAAGCACCAGACGGGCGCCGGAAGTGCATGCCAATTTCACGTTGACTTCACGTTTGATGAGTTTCGTTTTACTCTGAGCTGGCGATCATCAATTTGCCGGGAGGTACTGGTTGAACAAGGTTACAAGCAAACATTGGTTATTTTGACAATACTCCTCTCAAGCCGTGCTGACGAACAAGAGTGTCAAAAGTTGAGGTCTAGCAACAGTTTCACCTGAAAACCACGCGTAAGCCCAGAATTCGGTCCACGATTATTAGAAACCACGAGCATTATCCGAATTTCACGAGCATCCGGGGACTCACGTTCTCGCGCCGCATCACCCGATACACGGTAATGACGTCAGATAGTCTCGGAACTGACAGCGGCCGCCCGAAACATGGGCGACTAGGCCAAAAGGTTACGATGACCCGCACCCAACATATCAGGACGGAAAAAATGTGCAAATGGACAGCGCTGGCGTCACAACGAAAATCAATGCTTATATTAACGTGCATGTCATAAGCCATGCTGCCCATCTAGGTCCCAGGTGAGAGCCTTGGATGGAGGTAATACATGTGCAGCGATTCTAAGATCTCGAGGCCCGCGTTGTCTTTAGCTGACAAGAAATATAATTTCGAAGTTGGTATTGATTGCGTTATGCTCCTCTGCTGTGTCTCGTTCTGCCATGTGTTCCGCTATAGTAGAGCATACGTTCGTCGCGAACGCGTCTCTAGGGTGCTCGTTACACCGACCACGAATGCTACGCTTCGTTTCTCCGACATGAAATATCCCTTGGCATAGATTACAAGAGACACCATCCGCTGCGTCCTTTCGCGTGCATTTATCTTTCAGCCCATGCATGTTGCAAATATTTTCGTGCATAGCGAGTCCCATTTCCAGCGGGAGCGACGACATCGCGGTGCTGGACGCCTTGAAGAGGGATGGGGTGCCGGCACAGCAGGTGGGGCGCACGGGTCTTGTCAAGCGGTCTCAACTTCCGTCTCATACCTATTTAGTCCAGCAGACTCAGCTTCCATCGCGTGTCTGTCCGGTTCAGCAGTGTCAGCTTCCATCGCATACCCGTCCGGTTTATCACTCTCAGCTTCCGTCGCGTATCTGTCTGTTCCAGCAGTCTCAGCTTCCGTCGCTTATCTGTCTGGGCAAGAGCTCCAACACGCCGGCATGGCCCCATGCGCACAACAAGGATGGACGCCGCTTGAGCAACTCCAGCCTAGCCCACGTGGTGGATGCGATATTGCTGCTATCTGGGTGTGCTAGCAGCCCTAACTGCTGCCGTATGGACAGATGCCGGCAGGTGCTGTTGGATTTACTCAGCAATTGTTATGCGCCTGGCCACAAGGTGGATGCGACTGCATCGGTGGCAGACGATCATGTCATGCCCCGTTACGACGGCCTCGGGGCCCATGCATCTGAGCTAGATGTCAAGCTACAGCAGGGATGAGCGGTGCGTCTAGTGAACAAGGTGCTGTGCATTTCCCGCCACTACTGCATTCTGCAATTCAAAATGAAACCACACATAAGCCAAGCGATTAATTGGTTGAGGTAAACAAACAACCATGGAGCCTCGACTGCAAATTGATGCGCCGTGGCAAACCATTACATTCCAGCTGGTCGGTGCAATGAGCCGAGCCTTAAACGATGGTCGATCCTGCGCGGAAACATCTACTACAGGCATGCTACTCTGAAGCACACATGGCTCGCCTGCAACATCAACACATCTGAACATACATGACAGCATGTTATTCTGTGCACCAGCACTTCAACGGTATGCGTGCCAACAGCGGCCACCTCGCGGCGGTGCGACGATGTCAGCCTGGCTTGCGGGCTATGCTTCGCATTGCTCAGCAGTTAGTACATCGCATGTCGACCGGCGCTGGTCTCAGCGCAGCGCCGAGCCCGGGATCACTGCCACAAAAGCACGCCAACCCGCGAAAGCAACGCGTCGGGAATCACAAGTATTGAGACCTGTTACCACGCCGAGTGTGCGTCGCAACCACTGACCTCGAGCCAGCTCGGCAACAGCGTAACCGGAGCCGCCAGAGTGGAGCCAGCCCAACAGCCAGTGGGTGACGGGGGTGGGGGGGGGGGGGGGGGGGCACCTCAACAGCCAGAGTGGTCCCAGCTCCACAGCCAGAGGGGAGGGGGAGGGGTGTCAGTTCAACAGCCAGAGTGGTGCCAGTTCGGTAGCAGGGTCTCGCGCCGCCGCGGACCTGGTAGCAGCGTCTCACACCGCCGCCCCTACTCAAAGGCCTCGGAAAACGCCACGGGCAGCGGCAGCTCGAGGAAAGCCTGTGAGGAGGTGAAGATCTCGTCGCGTTCCTCGCGGGAGAGCTGGGTCGCCTCGGTGACGCGCCGCTCGTGCGGTAGCCAGCCAGTCGCGTGGTACAGCAGCTGCAAGGTGAACTTCGCTCGCGAAGAGTCCTCGGTCCTCACCGTCAGGCCTATGCGCACGTTGCAGCAGGCTGGGTCGTACCAGATGTGGGAGCGCGAGGGGGAGAGCCGAGCGCGCAGGTCCGACACCTGGCGGCGTCGGCGCGCATACGCCTCTACGTCCGCGGCCAGGCCGTACACCAGCGCTGAAATCTGTCGGAAACAGAGTAAGCTGCATGACTACCGGCCATAGTCCGTGGTCCAGCAAAGGCACATAACGAGGAGGTAGCGCGTGGCATGGTGTGCCACCCCTACCCGCACAAAGGTAAATGGGCAGCAAGTTACAGTCATCGATAGCGGACCAGAAGACATAAATATTATCGAAATAACATAACCCTTATTTCTGAACGTGAAATGGCATGAGCATGATGCAGGGTATTCACAAGCCAGCTGATTTCACGGTTACTGCCAATGTCGGCGCTCAGCTGATTGCTCACTGGCCCAGCTCAGAGTGCGCCGCCGCACGTGCTGACCTGCTCCCGGTGACCGTGCAGCTCCAGCAGCAGGGGCAACCGCACACCGGCCGGCAGATCGTGCGCCGGCGCCGACAGCGCGCCGTCGCCGTCCCTCCTCCAGCTGCACCATATATGCCGGCCGGTCGGGCTCGGGACAGAAGCGCACCACCGTCCGCCGCTCCGTGGCGCAGACCGTCCACACGCCCAGCTGGTGGGCGACCGCCTGCGCCGCCAGCGCGCTGAAGCCCCCGTGCACGGCCGATGCCGGCGCCGGCCGGTTCAGCTGGCCCCGCAGCTGGTCACGGCGCTCCTCCAGCGCCAGGTTCGCCTTGCGCAGCGCCTCCACCTCCGCCATTAGCTCGTCGGCACGCTGCTGACGGCCTAACTCTTGGGAGCGGAGCAGAGCCAGTGCTGTTGGGTCGGACAGCACTGATTCTGGCACCGTCCCCATGTCTGCAAAGCTGTAATCAAGCACACAATCAGCATATGGTCACTGATAATGCCCTGGCCAGATGATCATGATACTGGTATTTTGGGGTGTGCTGGTAACTAGGGTCATTTAGAAAGTCAAGGCTGGGGAATAAGCAGGGGGCAGGAGTTGAGTTTCAAAATTTCTTCAGTCCAAAATGTAGTATTAGGAGCATGGTTAATGCTTAGCATTTCTTCTGGGTTCTCAATGTGACACCCCTTTCCTTAAACAGGCTGTTAAATGTTTTAGTATAGCATTTCAGTTTGCCTCTACAGCAGACATGATATTCTACACAATCAGGCATGTATGTGATAACATTTAGATACAGCTCCTACCTTGCACTGGACAGATTTCTGCTATAGCACCCATGCTTAACAGCTCTTGGTGAGTAAACCCTAACCTGTGGCATGGCTGCTAACATTAGCTACAGGCCATACCAATCAGTTGAAAAGGAGAGCCTAACATGGCTGTGGCCCTCTCTGCCATAGATGGTAGGTCCAAAGACAGATGCCCTAACTGCCTCAACTACTGGGATGACTGTCAGAACTTGTGAAATCTGGTAACAGCCTGTGGAAACATGTAAGGCAGAAGACAAAGTCTCCAACAGTCAAGATGCTCTGATTTTGGTCATATCCAGCCACACAAGAAAAGCATGTTAAAGATTGTCTGCACATAGAGGGGTTAGGGAACGAAAAATGCATCCACTGCACCAGTCCACTACAGAATATCCATGAGCTAAACTTCACACTCATGTGTGCCAAACTCAGGGCAGGTCAGATTGTGCTGAATCTGCACATAATTTTTTAAGACAAAAACATTTCCTGGGTATTTTAGTCTAAAATTATCTTTCCTGCACCACAAAGTTTTCAAGCATTGGCTCTGTGCTGAAATTGGTGCCAACCATGCACAGAACAGACCACTTTAATTTATGATGTACATGTACTGATATTGTTGCTGGATGTTGCTGCTAGGTTCAACATGTTCCATACTTGAGGTAGCACATATTTTTTAAAGTCAGGACTGGGGGCAAACATCACATGAACAATGATCAAACCATAAATAGAAGTATATCAGATCGAGCACCAATAAATACCAGTCAACACAGATAACTAGGGGAATTTATAATGTGAGAAGGTAGGTGGCTACCTAGGTGACTACCCAGATATGTAGATAGGTACCTTTCTTCCTTCCCTACTGTTTCGAAATGCGCGCCAGAGGCAGCTGCGGTCGAAAGTCCACTTGTTGCTCAACCTGGTTAAAAATATATGGGAGGCGGAATACACAAATACTGATTTAATGCGCACTTCAACAATGCCGACGGCTTAATTTTAATATTTCTGAGTATTTTGAACGCCCTCCGCCCCCTACCTTGTACGCAACCCGAAATCACGCCAAAGTTCCCAGGCAGTGTTCTATTATTCTGGTTTCTGGCTCTGGCCAAGTAGTCCAATAGACGTTGGGTTTTGTGTTCGTATGATGTCATGCTACTTGTACATTTCTCTGGTAAGCTATCGGTTTTAGTGAATCACGTCTTATAACACATTTAAATTTTAAAATTACGTTTCAAACACTGAAATTTATAGCAAGCAGACATATAAGAACTTTTGTAGCACAGTGATGACAGAACGGATGCCACAGTTCACTCTCCTTTACGTCATTTATATTTTTTGAAAGAGAGGTGGGGAGTGAATGATTGTTAGTGCGCCGCGTTTGCATTGGCTTACGAAGACGTGAGGGGCGGTGAGAAGGCGTGTGGTGGCCCCGCCTTTTGCAGGATCTGCACAGGTTGGTGCGAACCAGTTTGACGGGGTATGTTGTTCAGATACTTGACCAGTGTTTTGCGTGTTAAGTTGGTCTCACTGGCTCAGCCCCTGCTTCCTTCAGAGTGAAATTCTGTCTGAAATCTTCCACAATGTGGGTGCCAAAAATTGTCACGTACCACTAGGTGTAGGTAAATGCATCAGTCACCCAGTAGATAGGTGGGTGCTGCATGTAGGTATGCTATCTGAAACTGATGCCTGTTTCCCATCTCAAAGATAACTTTGGTGCATGTGTCGGCATGCTGCTTAAGTGAGGTTATGGCTTAGAGAGTTTATGGCTGGTTTGGAACATGCTGAGATGGGCTTGGCAGTTACATTTTTCTCTTAAAAGCTCTCAATAGAAACTGGCACTATGAATCCCTTGACAGGGCCTTACTCAAAAGTATTGTTTAAAAATCTGGCATAGATAAGTCTGGCATTGGTTAGAATAACCCATCCCCATATTGTAAAGAATGCATATTACATAGAGCATGTCCAGCAAAGCAGCAACATCACTGCAATGATTTTAGAGCATGCATGCCACATATCTACTTTTCCTGTAATGTTTTGTTGCTCCCATGCTACTGCTATCGAGCCAAGCTAGTAAAAGGCAAATTTGCTTGGATCTTTCCAGTTGGGTGGAATCTGAGGAATGGGTACTATGTTGTATATTATGTTGAGGTGTTGAAAGCCACTAACAACCCTTTTCTTGTGCTGTTTGTTAACTGTACCATTCTTGAACTGTAGGGTTTGAATAACATTGCTTGTTTTGCTTGGTCTTGTGTATTTATATTTTGTAATTAGCATCACTAATGCCCTGACTTGCCATTAGTGATTCTATATACATATATATATATATATATATATATATATATATATATATATATATATATATGTGATATACCCACATTTTGTTTCAGGTGCCTGGCAAGTCAGTTTCCAGTCAGCAGTGCCCAGTGTATGGCCCTGCACCTACGTGCGCTAGTCAAGTTCATTGCCCGACCTGGTAGCAAGCTTCAGCTGTCAGTGAGGATGGCCAGCACTGAGTCATCGGCCACCTCCGCTGTGGCTCCGGCCGCACCCCCTGCTGAGCCACCAGCCGAGTCGCCAGCCGCGCCACCAACCAAGGATGAGAACCGGCAGCAGTCACTGTCTGCCATGGCACGAGCCTGTGCCCTGCTCTTCCAAGATGACGTCAGTGAGCACGGCCAGCGGCTGGCCATCGGCTTGACATCACTCGCCGACCACTACGAGGCGACAGCGACCAAGGCGGACAAGGTGCGCCGCGTCTGCCGGGACTACGACTTCTCCGAAGCCGTGCCGGGCAATGGGTACCGCTCGTTCGTCGACATGTTTGACAAGATGGTCAACGCCAGCCACGAGACTTGTCTCAAGATCCGCAACAGTAACGGGCGTCGCTTGCCGAGCCGCAAGGACTGCGCCAAGGACGTGGAGGCCTGGTGCCAGTGGATGGTCTCGATCGGTACCATGATGGAGCATCTGAACACGCTGATCGGCTGGAGTGAGCCCGGCTCGCTCTTCCCCGACGCCAGGCACTCGCCGATCGAGCTGCTGAAGAAGGCGGAGGAGATCAACCAGTACTGCTTCTACGGCCGGATGATGGGCTCTCAATACTGTCCGTCCATGCAGGCCGTGCTGCTGCGCATCGCCTGCTTCATGTGCATGTACAGCCACTACTTCTACAACTCGGGCAGCACGTTCCGGCGCTGGGCGACGGCGTCCGTCTTCTTCCGGCGCATCCTCACCGACCCCGAGTACCGCGCGAAGCGCATCGTCAACATCTCGCGCTATGCCGACATCGACTTCTGCAAGGGCTTCTGGTCGCAGCAGGAGAGTGAGTTCCTGCAGATGTACCCGGAGGTGGCGTGTCCGGCAGCGGCCGTCAACATCACGGTGGGCCTGCCGCCGGAGCCGCTGGTGCTGCCGCGCGCCGACGGCGCCGGCTCGGTGGAGGTGCCGCCGCCCACCGTGCACATCGGGCCCGACTCCGTGCACTGCCGGCTGCTGGCCACGCGGCGGCGCGAGGGCATGCTGGGTGGTCGCGCTTCGCGGCCCGCCAAGCTGGCCGCCAGCCCGTGCCTGGTGGTGCACTGCCACGGCGGCGGCTTCGTGGCCCAGTCGTCCAAGTCTCACGAAGTGTACTTACGTGAGTGGGCGCGCGACTTGGACGTGCCCATCTTCTCGATCGACTACTCGCTGGCGCCGGAGGCGCCCTTCCCTCGCGCCACCGACGAGGCGTTCTACGCCTACTGCTGGGCCGTCAAGAACTGCCGCCTGCTCGGCTCCACCGGCGAGCGCATCATCGTGGCTGGCGACTCGGCCGGCGGCAACCTGGTCGCCACCGTCACCATGCAGGCCATCAAGCGCGGTGTGCGCGTGCCCGACGGCCAGTTCCTCGTGTACACGCCATTCAACACGTCCTTCACGCCGTCGGCGGCTCGCCTGCTCTGCGTGATGGACCCGGTGCTGCCGCTGGGCTTCCTCATGCGCTGTCTGCACGCGTACGCTGGTCACGCGCGCAGCGGCGACGCGCCGCCAGCGGTCGAGCCGTCCCCAGAGCCTGGCGACGGCGGCGGCAACGGCGAGGCGGCGGCGACGGCGGCGGCCGGTGGCCAGGCCGAGGTCAACTACACGCTCAACCCGAAGCGGCGCAAGCTGGGCCATACCCTGGCCAGCCACGACCTGGACACGCTGGTGGCGAACTCCCTGACAGACGAGTTCCGCTACTTCGAGGTGGACCCGGACCCGCGGCTCAGCCCGTTCTTCGAGCGCGACGAGGTGCTGGCGTGCTGCCCGGCCACGCACCTGCTCACATGCCACCTGGACCCGTGTCTGGACGACTGTGTGTCGATGGCGCGCCGCTGGCGGCAGCTGGGCGTGCCTGTCGGCCTCACCGTGCTCGACGGCGTGTGCCACGGCTTCCTCAACTTCGCCCGCTTCAGCGCCGAGGCGCAGGAGGGCAGCCGCCGCTGCGTGGAGCTGCTGCGACAGCTGCTGTTGGAGAAGTAGGCGCTTGAGGCTGGCACGTGACGCCAACGGTCGGCGCGCCCCCCGCCAGCGCGCGGGGGCGTCCATGCCGCGCTCTGCTCGGTCGCGGGATGGCGCTGGTGGTAAGCGGGCCCGCCTCTCAATATAGTATTATCCACAGACGCATGATGAGCTGTCGGACAAGCCTTCCTGCAGACATTGGACAGCTTGGTGGTACTGTCACAATCTAGCTGATCTTCCTTCAGAATAGACCTTTTGCCAACATATGAAATTTTGCATCCGTGGAAAGACTTTCTGTATGGAAAACGTCTTGCCAGAGTTGCAATTGACGATGATTGCATGTCTGCAATGTTCTGATTCGTCCGAACTGAATGCCTTGATGTGTAAATTATGTGATAATATTCCTGAATCGATTATTGTTACGATCGCGATAAGTTCTTGTACACCAAAATGATTGAGTATGGCTATTTTAATACCATCATTCGCCAGGAGTTCTGCCGTCCAACTGCGTACACCATATATTGTCATGGTGTCCTCTAGCTGACGCACACACGTTATATGGAAGTGGTGTCCCGCGGCAACTTAGTTGTAACGTCACACGCGGCACGATGATCCTGTTAAATTCTCACAGCGTCCGGCCGCAGCAGGCGGCCTCGCGATATTTCTGACTGATCTCCCGCGTGTGCCCGGATGCTGCTGGTAGTAAGACGTGCGTGGATAAGCGGCGCGCGCCTGTGGCCTCTAATTGGTCTTCCGCGCCTCTAAACTTCGGGTCCGCGCGAGGCCGGTCACAGTCTAGCTGTGCCAGTCCAAACGTGGCACACCGCTTACTGGTGCTGTGGGGCGACAGATGGGGCTCATGTTCGGTGTGCTGAGCGGCCGTACGCGGCGCGTTAGAGCGCTGCGGCGGCTGGTTGTTGCTGTCGCTGTGTAGGTCTGCTTATTAGTCACCGGTTGGGGCCGGCGCTCTGTTTATCTGGGTGTAGACGCTGCGTCCCTTGTACTCTCAAGTGTGGGCTTTGTAGTCACAAATGTAGGTGTTACGTGTGAATTTGTCGCCGACCTCCAAGACCAGTTCGTTCCGTCGTGTACCTGCGAGTTTTCGCTTATCTTCCGACCTCAAGTCATCCATATCATACGAGCCTTCCCTTGAAATGCACTCTGTTGAATGCGTCTGAGCCCGTTGTTGGACTACGTGACCGCGGAGGATGTTGCAGGCCCTCATGGTTCATATGGTTCATGATGTGCGAGCTTGATGGCTAGCTCTCTCGCGGCTTCGTCACCACCGAAGATGGTGTTCTCATCGAAAGACATTTTAAACACGGTGGTATTTTTTGCATTTCATTCGTTAGCATCGTGTCTTCAGGCACACCCTTCGTGCGACGACATCCACGCCCGTGAAGCCTTTACGCCACGACAACGAACCCCTGAACGCCATCGCCACCCGCGCTCGTGACGTATCAGCTTCGTGAGCGTTTGCCGATGTTCGGCGTGATGTACTCGCGGTTTGCGCCGTGCACCTGTCCGCACCGTGTGCTCACGAGCGGCGGCGTCTGCCGACTCGGCCTGCCGCGGCGGCCGGTCCTGTTTGCCGTCGGCGCTAGCCGCGCACGCGGTCGCATCTTCAGCGCGCCGCTCCGGGCGTGTCAGCTGCCCCGACCGCGGCTAGCCACGGACGTCCGTGCTGGAGACTGTTGATCATCGGTGCCCGCCGGCCCCAGCCAGCCGAACCCAGCCATAGTCTTCGGTTCGGTGGTCTGGCTGCTAGACGGTGCTGTGTCAATGCCGCAAAGAAGCCAAAGAGCCCTGCTGGCCGTATCTGTGTGACGAGTATGGGGCTGGCTGGTGCGCGTGCGTGCTTAGTGGCGCGCGTTGTTTGCATACGCTGCTCGTGCGCCCCCCCCCCCCCTTCCCCTGTTTGTTGATGTTGTTGCCAAAGTATTCGTCATGTGCAGATATGAACGTTTATCGGTTAATAAAGGACTGACTGTAAATGCGGTGTAATGTGCAACAACACCGGGAAAACTGGAACGACCAAAGCCAGCTGATACGCCGACGTCTGCGGATAGTATCCGCTTCCATGATCACACACGTACTCGAGCTGCTCCTGTTCCGAGCAGTTCAGGAAGTAGATTGGTCAACGGGATACACAAGCTCAACTTTCTGTGATAGGCTGCAGATTGTCCGCGCCGGGCTCGCCGTCTTCGCCCTCACTACCGTCACTTGTCACAGTTGCTCTCGGCCAGATACGCCAAGCTGCTGTCAGAGAGATGTTGCACCTGAACGACCCTCGCTGCAATTCAAACCTCCGACAAACGACGAGCCACAAGTAAAAATCACGTGTTGGATCACATGCCGCAGCGCAACGGAGAAGATCAACAACGTCCGTCACTGGGGCTTAACAACGCACGTAGCTGCTGAGACTATAGGAAGTCACTTGCTTTCCACCCTGGCAAGAAGAGCGGGCACCGAGGGGAATCGGACCCTGTACCTGTGGCTTCCCGAACGAGCAGTGGTTAACGCGGATGCGTCAACCTCAACATTATCGGTGTGATCTGCAGATCATGTGTTACGGTACTAGACTTCCAGACCCTGTGAGACTGTCGAGTCCAAACGACATTCGGCAAAAAGCTAAACGTCAGAAATTAACCGTTACTGTTTATTGATACGGTGTTTGCAACAGCTTACATTAAATATTAAATAGGTCCATGCGCTCACCTTCACCACAGATGTTCGCAAACAAGGAAAGATGAGCAGACTGCGGCGGTGCATCTGCGTCCTCGGACAGCGTAGCGCATCAACAGGACCGTTCAAGCGCATTGCGTGTGACACTGGTACGGCATATTACCAGTACCACTTAACAAAACAACACCACGCTAGCGCCGACAGAATCCGGCGGCCCCGGTGGGAGCCGGCCTCCGCCGGACCCTGCACATTCTCCAACCTGGCACACACACAACACGCGTCAACGTCACACGCGGCGGAGGACCTCTGAGCCGTCCAACGCCCGCGCATGGAAGATTTGGTCGGTTAGCACAACACAGCATATGTTCGTCGCCGTAGCTAAGGCGTGTAAACTGGTCCCGTAATTCGCGCACGTGCTCCGCGCATGAAACGATCGTGGAAGACAACATTCCACGTGCCGATAGTGTTCAATTTAACCATGCATGTTAGCGCTCATGCTGGTCCGTTAATTCAAGCATACGAAACCAGAACGCAGGACGGGAAAAACGGGTCATGCTCGTTACCCCCACAACCTCTTCAGGGAACAGCAGCTGCCGTAAATACGCGTGAACTGGGGAGCGGGCACGCTGCCTTCCTCGTTTTAAAATCCAGCTAGCTGGTGTTCGACCGGGGCCGTTTGCGATGGTTATCACTCGTCTGCGCTGGCCAGCTGGGGTTCGGCTCGTGTCGGGCGCCGGCCACCGCCCACACATTTTGGGTTCGCCTCTGCGGCCGGGCTGGGGCAGAGGTGCCAGCAGTGTGACGCCGTCCGGTGACGCACGTTCCCGCAGCACCAGTGGGCGACGGGGTCCTCCACGCGCGCTTCCAGGTACGTCCCACTGGCGCCTGGTGGTCGCCGTGGCGCCAGGCACGTCCCGGCGGCGCCAGACTCTTCGCACGGCATCAGACACGTCCCAGCGGCGCCAGACGTTTCGCACGATGTGAGGCGCGTCCCAGCGGCGCCAGACGCTTCGCGCGGTGCGTCACGTTACATCGGCATCAGCCAGGACGCGGTCCCGGTGCCACGCCCGCCACCTCCACGGCGCAGCTCAAGCGGCGCAGCGACGCCAGCTCCGCCCTGCTCGGCGCTCAGTCGCTGGCGCATGCGCACTCCCGCCGCCGCTTGCCGCGCTCAGTTCTTCTTGGACGAGTTGATGAGATACTTGCAGCAGTGCGTGAGCAGGTGCTTCTCGTTGGACTCGTGCTCGCCGCGCTGCACCTCGCGCGTGTACACGTCCATGCCGTACTGGCCCTCCTCGGGGAAGGTGATGCGTACGGTGACCAGCTCGCCGCTGACGCTGTGGCTCACGTACTTTCCGAGCCGCTTCTCCTCGGTGCCGTTGCGGTGCAGCGTGGCCATGAAGTCGGTCAGCGGCCGCGACATGCGGAACTGCACCTCAAGCTCCCGGTTGCAGAAGATCAGGGCGTCCGGGTGTGTCACCGGAATGAGGCCGAACAGCCTGCGGGACGGAGGAAGGTCACCAGCGCTGTTAGGTGGGGCCGAGCGGCAGGTTCATCACAGATCTCCAGGTCAGGGGGGGGGGGGCAGACGGTCTGACCGAGACGGAGGGAGCACGCCAGCTTTGTCGCATGGGGTAAAACGGCTCGCGAACCGACCACCAGCCTTGTCAGACGGGAAGGAGACGCAAACAATCTCTGCCAGGTGGGGTCAGACAGTCTGTGGACAGGACGCTAACAGCTATGTCAAACGGGGCGAACGGTCCTCCAACGGGAGGTGCGCCGGCTGTGTCAGACGACTCGAAGTCAGTTGAACAGCGCAGGAGAGGGGCGGCCGCCTGTCGCGAGCGTGCAGTCGCGGAACGGCACCATGACAGAGTCATCTAATGTGGCCACAGGAATGCGTAATAAAACCATCGCGCACAGGGATCTCGGACGCGTCATACGAACTAATGTGATGCGGCTCACTTCAGTTTGGAGCCCGGGAGCACTAGCAAACACCCCAACAATTCTGCGCGAATCATGCGCACGCACATGCTCATGTACGCATCGCGATCATCAAGTTTTACCACGTGCAGACGACGGGCTATGGCACGAATAGCCCGCTGACCCTGCCAGCCAGCGCTGCGCCACATCACAACACGGCCATGACAGTACATCCGAACAGCGCGAGGGGGCTCCTCTGTCAGCAGGGCTGGCGGAGCGCGCGGAGGGCCCGACGGCGATGTCGTACCTGTTGGCCTTCATCGGCCCCCACTCGCCGCTGGCGCAGTCGGGCAGTGGCACCATCACCGTCTGCAGGTCGCGACACACGATCTTGAACTTGCAGACCGACTTGAACTTCATCGGCTCGCCGGTCAGGTACTCGCGCGGCGTCACGGCGTTGGCGAAGATGTCGAGCAGCAGGGCGCCGCTGGTGGGCGCGTGCACGCGGAACGCCACCATGTTGCCCACGACCGACTGCGGCAACGCCGAGCCGTCGGGTCAGCACACGTAACCAGCTGGCGCCCGACCAGAGCCGACGCTGCCGATAGCCGCCCCAGTAGCCGTCATGTGGACTTGCATCTAGTCACGTTTTGGAACGTGTTGAATGTGTGTGCGCGCTTTCGTCGCGTAGGTGATAGTTCATTTAACAGGGTTAGGTTCGATAAACTAACTTAATGCGACAGTTGACATGACACCGATCGCATCACTCAAGCTTAGTTGTTCTTTTCAGAACAACCTGCCCTTAAATCTCGACGGATGATGGAGCGGTGCCAAGTCGCGGCAGCGGTGTACCCCCCCCCCCCCCCCACCCCGCCCCCTAGAACCCACTCAAGGCCCCCGGCCGCGGCACCCAGCACTCTCACCTGCATGACAAACCGCTTGAGGCTGACGCCTTCGTACGTGTCGCCGTCGTTGTCGTAGAACTTGAGATTGTAGTGGAAGATGAGTGAGGACTGCATGTGAGTGGGCATGCCGATCCGGATGGTAGCCGCGCCTGCGGAAAAGGGCAGGTGAGGGAGCTGTAAGGCGGCGCCCGACATTCGAACCAACATCGTCCCAACACTGCCGTGAGAATCAGTCGAGGCCGACTCCACCGAATGGATTCGCCTAAGCGCAAGTCTGGCAACACTGTGCCCGGGTAGTTCGCACGTCATATATGTGCTACAAATTTAAAGCCCCACTGACGTTTAAAAGTCACAAATGTCGTCAATTCATGACGCAAGTGATGCTATCTTCGCTCTTCGACGAATCCTGCACATCGTATCAGATCTACAAGAGATGTCATCAGAGGTCCACTCCGTTCGCCGGCACAAAAAGAACGCAGCGTGGAAACGACAACTTGAAACTCGGAACACGTGGATCATGTACTGTTAGCACGACACAGATTTGAATGTGCGATGCACGGCGGAGGACACCTGATAACAGATGCCCGGGACTTCACGAGCCCGTCAGCTTCACGCCGTCACAGGTCCGACCGGCTGACCAAAGTCAGGCCGGCGTGGCCGCTCTGCCTCACCCGTGGAGTCGGTGTGCATGACCGCCTTGGTGTCCTCGTCCGGGAAGCAGAGGCCGTAGCGGAAGAAGAGCGAGCGCACGAACGGCAGCTCCTCGAACTCTTGCAGCGTGATGGGGTGGCGCAGCAGCTGCCACTCCGGCTGCAGCGGGAAGAACTCGTAGATGAACTCCTTGGAGTCCGTCAGGAAGTAGTGGTCGTCGTACTCGTATCTGGGGGAGCGGGAGTCAACAGGTCAAGGGGTGACCTCAGCCGGCAGACTCAGGACGACGTTTTCGCCCCGCGTCAACGCTCTAGCCCGGTGCCAGACAAAGCTGCTGTGGCTCTATCTTTCAGCAGCACCCTCGCACAGTGTTTGAAAACGCGAGGAGTAAAGTCGTGAATGACATCCGCCTTTCTTTCCGCATTCTCGCTTCATCCTGCGTCCTCGCGACGCCCTGTTGACCTGGGCCAGGCTAGATGTGCTACATGATAGGCTATGTGACCCCTGGCCAGGGACCCGTCCGAGCGCAGAGCATATGCCCGTTATACAGGTCTCTGTGTCGGCTAAGTACCCGCAGAGGACACCGTGCATGCTGTTTCGTCCCACCATTATCCACACCCTCATCGCATAGCCCTCAAATGGTCACTGCTGGCCGAAAGGTCTCTGATCCAAACCAAACAAAATCCTCCGACTGCAAGAGCGCCACAGCAGGCCAAAGCACAAAGCGCCGTTTGGTATTGGTCATGGCCGGAGCTCCCCTATCTGGTTATCGCAAACCGCGCCACCTCCCCGGTCACCACTGCCAAACACGCGACTGGAGGCCGAGAAAAGCCGCATCCCTTCCACCGCATGCCGGATCTGAACTCCGCATATGGGCTCGGGCGAGGCCGTGGCCCCGGCTGCCGACGCCGGGACGCGCTCGACACCGCAAGTGACGCCTCAGCCTGCCAGGCCCGCAGTCCGCCGGACGGCGCCGCATCGCTGAATCTCCAGCGGCGGCCGGCGCGCGCCCGTCCGTGCCGGGGCCAGTCGTAGACGCGGCCCGGCCAGGACGGCGCGTGGGCGGGACGGGTCGCGTCGCTCACCGCAGGCTGTCCGACTTGTTCTTGTTGCCAGGTTTGGGCACCTCCTTGGCGTTGACCAGATGTCGGGCGCCCCAGTTGCACTGGACGAACCGCCATGCTCCTGTTGTTGGGGTACGGGGAAAGCATTTCAGTAACTGAGCACGCAAGAATTGCAGGTGAGAACTGGACGTTCTCCAGGACTGGGGGCACGAGAGACAGGGGACAAAGACTTAAGTAGTTTTTCATTGGCCACTATAGGATTGGGGCTAAAATTTCCACATGGGGAGGGAGGAGTTTGATATCCCAAACCTCCCCCATCACGTGACAGCTGATTGCTCCCACGCCTATCCCACTGCACTTTAGGCTATAAGACAGGAGACAGTGAGCAAGAGCAGGTGAGCGTCACAATGGCCGCTCACATAGCCTACACAGCTGCACGCCACAAACACCGGTGACAATGACACGACCGACAATGAATTACATCACGGCACATGCATGGCGTTTTTTTGTGGAATACCAAAACCGGTCAGTCACCAGAATCTGGCTTACGTTTTAGATCGGGCAAAAACTGGTCCGGTCATGGAGTGTCCCAGTGAGTGTTGTGGCGGAACAAGCGGCCTTGTGCCTCTGCCAGCCCACCGGCGTCCGGCGACCGGAGCCCGTGTCAGCCCGGCCCCACCTGCCGCCCGGACCGGCCCGCTCTTGACAGCGGACGCCCGTCCCGCTGTGCCAGGGCAGCCTCAGCTCCAGCCGGCGCCGACGCCTGCCTCGCAGGCACCACCGCAGCCCGCGCCCGCCCGCAGTCGCCGCCGCTCACTTACCGGCCACGTAGACGGCGTTCCAAGAGTTGCGGAATCGGTTGTCCTCAAACTTGACTCCTGGCTGGTATCCGGCAGACTTGCTGTAGCCCTTGATGACCACGCAGTGGAGGCCGGCGTAGCTGCGGCCGAGGCGCGATAGGTCATTCCGGTCACGGCGCAGGCGCGGCTCTCACAGAACGCTTCACCAACCTCGAGCCGTTGTTCGGCTTCGGCCGACCGCGAGACGTGTCAACACGAGCACTTAGCGAAGTGCACCGGCCGGGCACAGTTAGATGGTGTACTGGAGCCAGTGACTGTCAGGCATACTGCTGGCTTAACGGCACACTGTTGACAATTAGGCAGAATATGGATGAGTGTAATTGCAAACCACGCAACAATTAATGAACCAGTTACAGCCAAAAGTCGGTCGCACCCAGCGGCAATATTAATCAACTCTGAAAACGAGAGGAATCAGGAACAATTGATGCCTAAGACATGGTCTATGGATCTGATCGCACCAATGCCTTACGCAACCCCAACAAAAAAGTATATCAATTAGAGGTTGTCACACAACAAAACCACTGCATAACGCAACAACAACCCGCATTGTCGACAACGAAACCCGCTCTAGCATTACGGTCTTTTTGTCAGCAGTCTTGCTGCATTTCTCAGCGTTTGCTTCCAAGACTACCAATGTGTAGTACGTGAGCACAACGAAGCACCGTCCGTTTTTCTGCGACAGCCAAATACGCCATTTGGACAAACGCCTGGGTTGTGAGTTTTTGTAACGTGCACTCACAAGGCTGTAGGTGGCATTTCGGCTGCTCGCTTCGATCCCGCCTGACCGCTAGACACAAGCGAAGCCGTGACCTCGAGCAAAAGCATCCGGCTCCCCGAGCCGAAGCAGCCCCTCCCCGTGAAGTGGCAGTAGCCCTCGAGCCAAGCTAGTCGTTCTGCGACACGAACCACACGAGCCGAACCCCACCTTCGGGCCGCAGCCTCCGTCCCCAGAACAAACTATCCGTCTCCAGCCACCGAGCTGCCCCCCCCCCCCCCCCCCGGACAGACCGTACTAGACGTACCCGGGCCGTACCAGTCGTCCACTGGGTCCACTGGTCCAGTCATTCCCTCGACCGGTCCAGCCATTCCATAGATCGTACTAGCCGTCCCCTGGACCGTACCAGCCATCCACTGAACCCGTCCAGCCATTCCCTGAACCTCACCAGGCATCCCCCGGGCCGTATCAGCCATACCCTAAGCCAGAGCAGTCACAATCAAATCCAAATACAATCGCCTGAGCCAAACCAGCCCCTTCTCCCTACGAACCGTGCCATTACCTTCCCCTGCCCCCCCCCCCCCCCCCCACTCCGCGAGCTGTACCACCGGCCGTCCCCCACGTGAGCGCCCAGCTTTCCTGCTCACCTGCAAAGCCGCTTGAAGAGCACGTGGTAGCTCTCGGTGCCGTACTTGATGCCGCGCAGCAGGCCCATGGGCGTGTCCGTGCGCACGCCATCCTCAAAGTTCATCTGGTTGAGGTTCTTCACAGTGATCCAACGGAAGATCGTTCTGAAAGCCAGAGCGCTCGATGATTGTGGCTGGCGCCACAGCGATTGTGCCGGTGTTGGCTCGTTCGTAGCGAGATAGCGTGACGTGTGAGTGTATGTCGTTGTGGGGGGGGGGGGGGAAGGGGGAATTTTTCAGCCTTGTGATAACTCGACCAAAGGCAGCACGAACTGTGAAGTGAAGCGTTAAATAGTTCCCTCACAGCATGCATGCCATGAGCATCAGCGTGTAAAAATTCATGTTTAAACCTTCCGTAATCCCAGATGGAATACACCGGCTGCCGTAGCATTGAATAGTGTAGCATTGAATGATTCACTAACAGGACGCATGCTATGAGCACCAGCATGTGAACATTCGTATTCAAACCTTCAGTAATCCCAGAAGAACACAGCGGCTGGGGTAGCATTGAATAGCGTAGCATTGAATAGTTCGCTAACAACACGCATGCCATGAGCACCAGCTTGTGAACATTCGTGTTCAAACCTTCAGTAATCAAAGATGGAACACACCGGCTGCCGCATGCCGCAGCATTGAATAGCGTAGCACTGAATAGTTCACTAACAACACACGTGCCATGAGCACCAGCATGAGAGCGTTCATGCTCAAACCTTTAGCAATCTTAGATGAAACACACCGGCTGCTCACACTTGGCTCCGCTTTGGGCTGAACACGCGATCTTACAATACACCGACACTGAATCGGCGACAGACGCGTGCTGTAATTTCACGAAATTATCGAGACGAGGTGTTAGGATTACGAATGGAATAGCTGTTCTGATCACCGCCCTCGCCTGGTGCGCTAAAATGTACGAAACGTTTTGGCCAGTTCATTGTGCGGTCGTCGTCAGGTGTTCTTGTATCCTGAAAAAGCTAACTGAGGCAGCCATGTACGCGTTACAGCTCAATGGTTCTCCCTGGAATCGCTCAGATTCAGACCGGGATGCTCTGGCCATGAGATCAGCGCTGTACCACCGAGGTGCCCGGGAAGAGCGTGCCGACTGTGACGCGTGAGTGGCGAAGAGTCGGAACTCCCTTCAATCCTTCTCAGGACTCCACAACGCTTCCATGGTACATAATAACGCTGTGTGTACATACTAACTCACCAAATGGGACGATAGTCCTCACAAGATTTTTCATTTGTAAGATCAGTGCTCATATTTCACTCATGCTATATCGTTAGTTACCCATGCTGTGTCTGTAGTTAAGCTACACAAGATGCCTGAGCAGAGGAAGCACTGATTGTTTTTTGTTTCCTTTTTGCGGTGAGACACGCGTACATCTCGGGGGGGGGGGACATTTTTGATTCTATTGGCGGGTGGCTGGCGCGCGTGCGCTGCGGCGGCGGCGGAAGTGAGAGCGCCAGCACGGCCCCATCTGGCGGCGACGGGAGGCGGGCAGCCCGCCCCCGGCCACACGAGCCGTGAGATCGCTCCCAGAGAGCCGTGGGAGGTGTGCGGCGCGGCGCTCGTCGACTCTCGCCATGCCCGGCCCGGCGGCGCACGCTTCAGACAGGCGGGCAGTGAGCGTGCCGTCTCCCAGCGGTCAGGTGGACTCTTGCCTCGCCGCCATCCGCTTACAGAAGAAACTCGCGCTCTCATCGGACAACAATCTCCAACATGACGTGCAGCCTGAGCGCGGTACCCAACGGGACATTCACCCATGCACGGGAGACGGCACACGAACGAGGTGTGGGTCCCTCGCTCCCCCCCCCCCCCCCCCCCCCCCCCACTGCAGCAGACTCGGCCGGGCGCGGGAGGCGCTCGGTGCCCGCGCCGCCGCCGTCCTTCACTGACCGGGCCTTCTCCACGTCCGACGCGTAGTTGCCGAGCAGCTGGCGGATCAGGTCCGTGAACGTCTTCTGGTCCTCTTGAGCCACCTGCAGGGAGAGGTCAGAGAGGCTCAGGCCCCTCGCCCGGCCAGACGCGTCGGCTCACGCCACGCCAGTGGCCGCTCATTAGTAAACAGAGCTCGCGCCAGCTCGTGCCGGCGGGGGCCGTGCAGCCAACCGTGGGGCTCAAGTGTGCCAGGCCGAGATGGCACGGTTTGATCAGGGATCTCTTTGACGTTGACAGGCTATTTGTGATAATATTATCCGCAACGAACATTTTGTGAGGTCAGAACAGTTCGCTGGAGGTCCCAGGGTTGTCCCAGTCACTTAATTAATTCCCTTGACAGAGGTCTAATTGCTCGGGTCACTTACCGGCGGGCGTGACACAACAATGAAACAAACATGATGGAGAGGTGTGTCGCAGCTGCTATAAAAGCCCCCGGTCCATTATCTTCCTACAATCTGTTGTCGGAAATCGGGCATCAGTGCCACGGTGTGACCCAGATCCTCCGCGTGACGCATCATGGACAAAGCGACGGCCACTGACCACTGCGGCGTGTTCACGACGCGCAGGGAGTCCCACAACGCGCGACTATAATAGGTCCTGGCAGCCAGGCCGCCTCCCATTCCCATCCAATCCACGATATGCGGTCCCCATCTACACCCTCTGTGCAGTAGCAAGTGAATAGCGCGGAACACGCGTTTGGAAGCCGGTCGGGAAACTGAACGCAACAGAGCACCTGACGTCGAGACTTGGGCGGAGCTCGCTCGCCCCGCCGCGAGAGCCGGCCGGCGGCGTGACGTCACGCACCTGGATGGCCAGCTGGTCGACCTCGCTGAAGACCTCCGGGTCGTCGTAGATTTCGATCTTGCCGACGGTGGCGGGCGAGGGCGGCGGCGGCTGGGCCGGGTACTCGTGCAGCTCCGGCACGTCCTCCTCGCGCTCATCGCCCAGCTGCGTCATCATGTGTTCGATCTTGCGCTCGTTGATAAGGGACATCATCTCCTTGCTCTGTTTGTCGACCAGCGCGGCCGTGGCGGCTCTGACGTCACGCGAAGGCCACGGATCAGCATAGTCGACAGGTGGCCATGCGATGAACGCGGAATTGCCTACTACAGATTAAGCAAACAGTTCCACTCGCTACAGGCGGAGCTTGCTCATACCAGGCGCAAACTGGATGCGTCAATAATGAATCAAGGGCTGTGGGATATGGATACGGTCGTAGAATTGAGATACAGTACTCATACTGGACTAATAAGTGCAAAAAACATACCTTTCGTGTTCCAAAAGCTTTCTGGTGACTGACTCCTTCTTCTTCTCTCTTTTGATGGTCATGTTCTTCTCGAATTCTTCCTTTTCTTTTAGATGCTTCACTGTTAGAACCTTGACGTCGTCTTTGCTTCTCCGCTTGCTCATATCTTTTTCGAATTTGGCGGTGAGTTTTTCTAGTTCTTTCTCCCATTCTTCCTACAAACAAAAACAATATGCATAAATTGTTAGATCAAGAGCAGCAGGGCGTAATACACAGGTAAGGAGCCATACAAGATGCTACACAAAATACTAGGAAATCATTGCTTTAAGTCATATAGTTTAATGTTGAGCAAAATCGCCTCGGTTAGTAGGTTTGGAGATGAAACCCTCTGTTAAAAGTGTTCCTGGTCACTCATATCCCGCAATATTGCTTGTTAGATTGCAGAGTGCTCTTTAATGTGGCGAGCATAGCCATCCAACCATAACGAGGCAAGAACGCAATAGGTGTGTTATTTTGCAACATAATGCAAGCGCACAAAAGTGCCGTTTCGGCATCGCACTCGCCAACATAAGAGCGCATTATTCTGGACATGTCTTCACAGTGGGTGACTTATGTGCCACCGGTTTGAAAAATTCATCAGTTTCGCAGGGAAAGCTGGCTGTTGACGCGACAGGAAGGGGACAAGCCACAACACTGACTCACAAAGCCGGCTCCAGCATGTCACACAATGGCCAACTTCCGGCGTGGTGACCGAACGCCGGCACGCCGCACGCGGCGGCACGGGCCGAGGTCGCTCCGAACACACCCACCCACACATACCCACACACGAGAGTGCGGCCAACACCCGGTCAGAGCCAGTAGGGGTCGGGAGGCGCGTGGCGGACACCCGGCCAGAGCCGGCAGGGGTCGGGAGGGGGGTGGGGGGGAGATGCAGCCGACGCCCAGTCAGAGCAGGCAGGGGCCGGGTTGGGTGCGAGGGGGGAGGGGCGTCAGAGCCGGCAGGGATCGGGGAGGGGGTGCGGCCGACACCCGTTCAGAGACAACAGGGGGTCGAGGGGGGGGGGGCGGATGACACCCGGTCAAACCCGGCGGAATCCGCTGGGTCCGTCCGCCCGGGCCTGATGCGACCGGCCGCTGTTGGAGACAGCTAAGAAGGCAGCCTCCCAAGTATGGGTACCGATCAAGGCGTTGTAAACCACTGCTTCGCCCTCACTGATTGCGTTATTGAAGACCCACGACATCACAAATATCCCAGTGCATGGATGCGTAAATATCCTCACGGATCTGGTAGGGCCTCACAATTCAACCATGCAATTGCACCATCGTCATTTGTCTTTACTTAAGGGGAGTGTTCCACTTTGAAGATATTGAATCACGCATCAAATAGGATGAAAAAGTTCACTCATAACTGTTGGTGTACTTTCCAGTGAGGAAGACTGCTCTAGACAACATAATTTCTCTATTTAATAAATATGCCCCTCAATACGCCACTGTTTGATTACGTCATCGCACCTTGCACAACATTGATTAAGAGCCAGTTGCCAGCCGTTATGTCTGAAAATCGTGCTCACGAACACCATGTGTGAGCGCCTCGAAAGTAAGATCTTTCTTGGCTTTGATCGACGCACGTACAATCGAATGACAGGATTTAAATGAAATTATTGTGACATCATGCGTTCCAAGGTGAATTTGAAATGCTCTCCTAAACTTACTCTCCCACCACTTTGCGGTCTTTAAGCTCAGGAACCAGAGGGTTTTAGGATTTAAAAAGGGTCTGGCCGTGAGCTGCATCGAAAGATCTTCAATATGGCCGTTTCGGTTCAAAACCCCCTGCAAATGGGAACAATCTCTTTAAAGTACATGTTCCTGGATAGCGGATTAGAGACCAAAATTGAATTACAAAATATTCAGGCCCAAAAAAACAAATTTTGTTTCTGCGGCATGTCGAACCCAGCAACAATTGGCGGGTCAGTATGCGCCCAGTTACAGCGTTCCGACCGAACAGGCCAACTCAGCCCAGGGTAGACAGCGTCCGCACCTTACCGCTGGCAGAGGCTGGCCCGCTGATGGGTAGCCAGCTCAGCCGAGCCAGGCGCTGTCACAGCGACACGACACGATTGGGGGCAATCGAAGCAGGCCGGTGACAAGTATTTTACATTAAGTACCTGCGTCAGTTGACAAATGTTTCACGGAGTGAAATGCTGAACAAATCCACGTCACCCCGTCTTGAAAATAATCAGATTCTCATGAAGGCGCATCCCTGTCACGGCCCGTTGATGCCTAGGAATGGCGCCATCATAGTTTGTCTCCTGCGAATGTCAATCCGTCTCCGTCCACCGCCATGCTACTCGCCTCCCCATCCAAATAGTTGGTCTTCTTCGCTTCGATGCCACCCAGAGGTCAGCCTGGCTACTGACTCGCTTTATGCAGATCGCAGCGGTGCATTGACACTTTTGAATGCATGAATCGGTTAAAACGCAAGACACGTTCCCTCGCGGGCGGCTTCGTTTCTTTGCTTGCGCTGCGTGGCCAGCCGCCAAGGCGAGGTCGGAAGCGTGGGTCAGAGAAGCCGCCACCGCATAATTGCGTTGTCACAATGGCCTGCTTCGACGGGCGCCACAATGCCATAGCCATTCAACCGGTCATTCTGGCTGCACGGCGGGCCAACACATGAAAATCGAGGACGCGCGCACGCATGCGACACTCGGAATCCAGCGGCCCGGTCCATCAGGGGCGTACTGAGCGCGCGGCCGAGGCCAGACGATGGTGCGGCCGGCGCGGCCGGCGCCGCTGACGCCGCCTCTGCGGCGCCGGAGATAGCCGGCCGTGGCTGGTCTGTCAGGCGGAACTAACAGAGAGCAGGCACCGAGCGGTCCCGTTAGCGGTGGCGGCGCGGGGACGGCTGGCGGCCGGGTCACTGATGCCGCCGTCACCGGCGCGGCCCCGTGCACCGCTGCACCGCTGGCGACGGCCCGCTGGCTGGGCAGCGCCGCACGGGTGGCCGTCGGACGTACCAACCAGTCACCACTGCACCGGTGGTGACTCGCGCAGGATGATGCATAGGAATTCGTCGCTGCATGGGTAGTGACGTCACACATCGGTCATGGCCGCATGTGTGGCTATGGTAGATGTAGGGCACCACTGCACGTGTGTTGGTGGGACGCATTGGGCCTCCCTGCACGCATGACAACGGAACACACCATGCATAAGTGCAAGCGTGCTGCGTGAACATGCTGCGCACTGCGGCACGTGCTATCGGGGCGTATGCAAATCTTCACAATGATGAAGGAAGCAAGCCTCCCCAATATTCGCTAAAAATCCCGTTTGATGCGCCGGAAACAAGCATACCCTTCGCGTGGCGTCGATCTACGTCGCACGTTTTAATATATTTGTTTTTATTGTTTCCCCGTATTTCTAATTGTTAACATTTATTCACGAATATCTTAATGAATGTTATGAACTTTATAGTGGCATATCCAGACCAACGTCCTCTCACACTCAGTGCGACCGACAGTTCAAATATCTCGTGTTAATTTAGACCAAAAGGTGCCATCCCACAATCGAACCAAAAGCCATAAGTGCATATCTGTCGTCACTCCATGCTGTCAGCACGAACAACAGCGTCCTTGGCCAAGTCCAGCCAATGTTTTTTCAACCGAATATTTATGACAATGGCGGCATTGCACTGCACACACGGCATACTTACCCATTGTTCTCCATAATTGGAGTAAAATGCCGAAATAACGCATGCCATTGCGGTTACCTGTGTTACCGTCATGTACGTATGCGGCCATTCGCTCCATGACATACAGTGTGTACATATCTCATCGCTGTCAGCCCAACTGACCTTGAATTCTTCCTTTAATCGTTTGTCTTCTTGCTCTCTCTGCGAGGCGAACTTCTGGTAAAGTCTGTCCTCTTCTTCTCTGTGTATCCTCTCCAGTTCTTCCTGTTCGGCCTTGTCCTGTAAGAAGAAGGGAAACTGTGTTACATTGCCTTCACGATGCGAGCCAAGCGAATGCATGTAACAGGATTGTTCACGTCAAAACATTACCAACAGTGCTCCATGCTTGAACGAGATAATATTATCATCAGTTGCGAAACCCTTAGGGACGTTTAATCTGAAGCGAAAGGCTTATACCGTAGCGGGTAATTGCATGTTTTCACCACTAATTGTTCGGTGATTGATTGTGGCTTGAACTGTGGGGGTCACTGCCATCGCAGCCCCCGTTGGAAACGGGTCAAGTGAAAGCTTCCTGCGGATATGAAAAAAGCTTGATCCTTTGGATCGCAAGCATAATGCGAGCAAACATAGGAACGGAGAAAGCAATCCAGCATAACAGCAAGTTAGGGCAGACAATTCACAAAGTCACAAGCAAAAGCTTAATCGTTTGTAATTTGTGAATCCTGTCGTGTAAGCGTATGAGCCGAGGCCTTGACAGTCTCACTTCTTCGTCCGATATAGCAGTGACATAGAACCAATACGGCAGAGAAAACTGGACCGTTTCCGATGCATACGCTTACTGGGAAAGATTCACAAACGATTTCGTTTCCATTTGCGCCTTACAAATTGGTTGGGGCATTTTTAACGAAACATTCATTTGATACACACTGCGCTGCACAGCCACCACACATAATGATTTAACTTGCACGCTACAAACAAGCCCAATGCTAGGATCCGTATGACCAGACGTGTTCGTAGATCCCAGAAATAGATTACGCGACAGGATCGCTGAGTCCTTGATCTCTGTCTTTCCAAGATAAGGAATCTATTTTGAAGCTTTTCGAAGCATCTCTGAGATCCAGGATTCCTGTTAAGTTTTGTTGAGGGGCCAATGGAATTTCAATTTTTCACATGTCCTTTGAAGGATCCTCCAATAGGATCCTATGAGCAGGTGGATCCTCCAAGGATCCACCTGTTTTAAACCTGTGACCAAGGATGCATTGGAATCTAGACATTATCAAAAATTTTGTTTAACGACCTTTAAAACATTTTCACACAATGATATAAATTTTAAACAAACTTCTAGCCAACTGTGGCAACTTGAAGTGTCTTCCGAAAGTTAGGCTGAGGGTTATGACAGGCTACCAAAATGGTGGCTACCAAGACCAACTGGTGCACTAATAGACTGAAAAAATCCCTCCCTGTTTTTTGCCTGAGCATCCTTGCCACCTAGCTTCATAATCACTTCATCTTTATAATGCGTCTTTTCATAGCATGCAACACGGAAGCCAAACAGACTCAGCCAACAAGTTGATAAAAGCTTGCTGGCTTAGGCTGGTTAAATTGCGGGCCCAAGAATCTGAGCCTGTACCATAGACCACATAGATACGTCCTGGGATCAGACCCCCGCGTACCGGGCCTTTGCTCTTCCAGGATCCAACATCCATCCTTGCAACCATGCGCAAAGGTCTCACCTTGGGAGTGGATCCGAAATCCACTCCCAAAGTTAGACGAAAGGGTTTCCAGGATCGTGAATCTTTTCCAAGATTTTGCCAGAGCCCTTCAGAATCTTTGACCTCTTTTTACGTTTATGTATAGGATGTGTACAGAACCTGAGGTAGGCCAACCTCGATGGGCCCTTGTGGCTCTTTGTTGGCTGGATATCTGTATGTCTTTATATATTGCCTGAGGATCATTCGGGACTCAGGCTATGGTTTTATGTTTTTTTCAAACTTCCACTTCGAATTTAGGATTTTTGTGGGATCTCCGCACATATTCGCACAACATAATTGTCGTTTTAGGGTAGTACCGCGGAAAACAAACCTATGGAATCTTCCTGGTGTTAGTCGCTACGGTCTTGTGCAGTCTTTGCCAAGATGGTGGGAGACTGCATGATAACCGGTGAAGCACAAGAACACAGCACGGAATTCGGCCAGACCAACGTTCAAAAACACCCGGTTGACGCAACACACCATGGTCTGATGGAACTAACCACGCCACGCCTTCCAGCGCGCGCTGCAAGCATCAACTGGTGTAACTCACCGTCCAACCAACTGTTCCTCGCGCTTTTGCAATGACTCAAACGTTAGGGGAGCCCTCAACTTTGAACGCAAAGTAACCTAGGGAGATGGGCTCACCGGAAAACTTTTGCATAAATATGTGCGAGGTTGCACCACGCAGCCCTTATCCACGTGGCAGCCTTTTTTAGTCTCAGCAATTCTCTTTGCGTCGTAATGCTTCTGCAAGGTCTCCGCACGACCACAACACCTATGGGAAGTGATTACGTGGTAATGGTGCTTTCACTATGACACAGTTCTATGCGGTAACATAACGGTACAGACAAAGCGCAGTGCCAATATTTAGTTGCTAGGGGTTCGTTGGGATTCAAAAGCTGCCCTAGGGAAACGAAATCAGAGTTAGGTGCACTGTTGCCGGCGTACGGGGGAGAACTGAGAACGGACGCGGGGCTGTTGGCATCTCGCTGCCAGGCGAGCGCACGGTCGAGGACCGGCGGCGCCACTGAGCACCGTTCGGGACACGGAGGCCGCAGCGTGCCGCGGCGTCGTATCGCCAGCGTGGCCCCACCTGGGCGTGCCCCTGTCTGTCACAGCGTCACCGGCGCGAGCGCCGCCGTGCGGTGGGGACGGCTCCCAGCCGGACTAGCCCGGCGTGACGGCGGCCGATTACGGCCGGACGGCCAGCGTGACGGCGGCCCAGCCTCTCGCCAGCGAACAGAGAAGGTGGAAACGCTGCCCACCACCAGCTCATCGACCGCGTCAGCGCCAGTGGACACGCTACTCTCCCACATCATCCAGGTAACCACAGCCCACGGAACTCCAAGAGGCTCTAACTTGAAATACGTCTCAAAGTAGTTGGTCGCAGCTATATTTTGCGGTCAACCGGTGAAGTTGACACATAATACACAAAGCACACAATACGTTTAGGAGGAAGGGGTCACTCGACACATATTTTGGAAATCTTTGGACTTAAAAAGCTTGAAATGATACAAGATGCACTTGATGTCAGAAGATACGAAAAAAGCAGGAGTCAAGTATTAAAAATGAGTGGTGGCGCACGATGTGACACCCGCGCTGTGACAGAGGTGTACGGTGTCATGTTCTCCTTGTGTGGTGTCACAGTGTCATGACCACATGGGCGCAATCATGGTGTGTTGCCACTACAATGCAGGCACTGCGACAACGGACGCTGCCATAGCAGCCGACCGTGACGCATCTCTCTCGTTGACGCCGTTCCACCGCCGTCGGCCGACGCCGCTTGGCCGGGAAGTCGGCAGCGTGCTGGCCTACGGCGCACGCGCGGCACCGAGCCCGCCCGGTGGCCTAGCACATCACGGCACGTGACACCCGGCGCCGCTCCAGCAGCCCGCACGCACATGTTTTCCGCACCAGTTCGTCACAGTGAGTCACGTGCGCCCTGGCGTGTCCGCCGACACCGAGCGCCGGACGCTCGGCACCCGAGACGACCGGCCGCAGGCGAACACCCCACTCCCTGCAAATGTCCTGAGCCTGCGTTCCGACCCCGGCCGTCAGACCCGTCCCGACTGGCAGAGATGAGAGGGACACCTGGGCGGCGCTCGGCACCACTCCATTCGAGTGTTTGCCGCGAGACAGTGAGCACCATGTCTTTTAGCAGCTGCCTTTGTCACGCGACGGGTCAGGAGTGCGATCCGAAACGTTCGAAGTTAAATGGGAGCCGTAATCTGGTGGATCAGCTTATTACAGCAGGTTAAGAATGCATCTCATTAGCCGCTCAAGGTAATCTAATAGCATAATAATCCTGCGTTGGTTGTTAAATGGCAAGACGCAGTTTGCAGGAAGGAAAACACTGCGCGAATGACGCGCATGTTTAAAATGTATTTTTAGCAAGGTAGCGTCATTAATGCTCCAGGTGATGGAAAGCCATGACAACGAATAAAGCCCCAGCCTCCAGAGATCGCTGCCTGCTCTGGTCATTTGGCGCCCCTCGCTGGATGAGGCTCCAAGGTTGCGCCCGAGCCCAGCTGACTGCGAGGCGGCGCTTGGAGCGGCGGCTCGGCGCGCGCGGCGTCACCAGGCCGGTACCGTGCGGTGGTTCCGAACAGCTGTCTCCCGCCTAACGGCGCGCCAGCCGCCGCCGGCCGCGGTCGGCGACTCGGTCTCCGGCCGGAAGGGGACGCCGCGCGGCGCCAGCGACCGGCCACGTGCACCGCCACGGCCTGGCCCGCCACAGGTCGCCAGCCATCTGACGACGGCCGTGCGCGCGAGGAGAGACAAACTCGGGCCGGCAGGCCATGTCACCGCCGTGTGCCCACCGCCGTGACCATCGCCGTGTCAATAGACACGGGTCGGGAAATGTCACGTTACGGTGCGACAACGGCTACATTGGCTGAAACCGTTTTTTTCTACGTTGGGAGATGATAGCTTTAGTGGCTCTGCAAATCCAATGCGCCTCAACATTCTGTGTTCGTGCAACGGATATGTCAGATCTCACTGAGCCAGGAAGGACGACTTCCTCAGACATTTCCACATCTTCGCCAGGCAGAGTTGAACAGCCGAAACAGTACGCAGCAGGCAAGGTGATGTCTTTGCCGTGCAAAGCTGCCTCGTGTCCAGAGCCGAGCTGGGAGAGCCGACGTCCGCTCCAGCGTAAGCAAAGAGCAGACCTCTGCCGAAGTGAGGCGGTCGGCAGTGGAGCCGCCGCCGGCCCGGGCTGTCTCGGCTCTCGGCTCGGCCCCGCACCGCCCTCTGGGGCGGCGACAGGCGGTGCCGGCCGCCCTCCATCGGCCGGCCAACAGCCCACCGGTCCCGGTCCGCCGCCGTGCCGCGTCATGCACGGCCTGGCCAGGTCGGGACGGTAGCCCTGGTCACGTCAGGCCAGCGGCCCGAGGTTACGCAACGACAGTTGTTTTGGTGCGGGCGCTGTGCATCATAACAGTGTCTTGTGTTCATTGGGGCTTGATTCTCAACAATTTCACAGATCAGGGGCACCAACGAGACAGTTGGTACAAGAGCCTGTAACAC